CTAGATTTTTTTGGAAAAATAGTTATGCAAATAACTGAAATTTGAGTTGAACCCAACTACTTTTTTCTAATCATAGTAGGCAACTTTGCATGTTTAACTAAATTCCTAGTCAATTTTCAATAACTAGGAAAACCAGTCAATATTTCCAGAGTGGAGTTAATATTATGCGCGTGAGGTATGCTCGGAATTTCTTGGGTATAGCGGCTACCAAGCAATATTGCCAAGACTGGATTTGATTCATCTTGTTGATAGAGACCTCCACCGCCGAGGAAAGCTAGCCACTTTTGTCAAAGGACATGGCGACACAATAGGGGAATAGAAATCTATAGTCCTGGACCAAGACAACCGGAGAGAGCATCCTTTTTGAAGCTCCATGCTTAGCCTGCGATGGACTCTTGCACGGGGATATAACAGCTTCATTCAATGAAAACTTAACCAATGGTTGGTTGAGAAACAGTGTTCCCACTTCCCATCCCTATAGTATTTTTTTGCCAGGGGACGAATTCCCCGTTTTATTTTGAATTTGAATATTTACCTAAATTTTGAAAGCATTTCCCCCAACGTGTATTCCCTCATGCATCAACAGCGCCCCCTAGAAAGGTGTACAACGCTCAACCCCCAACCCACAGTGGCGTAGCCACGGGGGGGGGGGGGGGGGGGGGGCGTGGGGGCGACAACCCCCCAATGAAACCTTGTCACCCCCCCCCCCCCCCCCCCCAGTCGCCCCCCCACTGAAATTTTGAGTTTCTAAAAAAATTATCATTGATCTACATGACGCCCCCCCCCCATGAAATGTTCCAGCCCCCCTCCCCCCCTCCCCCCCCCCCCCCCAGCGCCCCCAGTGACAAATAAAGAAAGTAAATAAGCAATCACAGTCCGCCCCTGACATGTATATCGGACGTATGGTCAATTCGTTACAGTCTTCACAAGAACACCTGCTGCTCATGTACTCCGTACTGGATATTTACACGTCGAAAGAAAGATACTAAACATGCGCAACATTATCAGTTGCCGCAGACATAAATTCGTCATTTTTTTGTGTCAATCCGACCCACCGTGTTTGTCGGGTTGACTGTTTGTTCGTCTGTCTGTTGTGCAGTGGTCTCCTTCATTCTGGTTAACGTCATTAATTTGAATCAGTTTTATGTCCATCTCCAATTTTGTTTCCATGACTCAACTCCAATGCATCCGTTTTCATTAGTAGCCCTACCCCTCCCCTACTTCCGAGATTTTCGCCCCTTCATAACCTGTCACTTTGTGGTCCTCTCGTTGTTATGTCAGAAAAGGAAGAAATGTTAAGGCATATATCAAATCACCGATTTACCATGCTTCGTTAGAGGAAAAAAACAAACGCATTCTAAATAAAAAAAATGCATCATAAAAGTAAGACCAATCACACTTACCTGTCCTTTTTGTATGCCTGTAGCTTGAGCTGTCTTGAAGCATACGAATCTGCAAGTATGTGAACGTCCGAGGAGAGCTAATAACTAGACCCAAACAGTTGAATGTTCTTATATTCGAATGTTTTCTTCTCGCTCTGTGGGAGACGAGTCTCATGACCCGGGTTTAACCAAGAACCTTGAATCATCGAAGGCGACAAAAAATCTCAGCATTCCCCTAGTGCGGAAGAGTTGCGTTGTTTGACAGCATCCGGTGAAATCGGAGCTGTTCACCCCAGAGGTTGACGCTGTCTCCATGGTAACGTGAACTAGGGGTTACGAGTGGAACGTGTAAATACTCGGGTCCATCACCAAAGGTCTCAACACTCAACTGCCCCACAGGCTATGTTGTAATGCGTGATTCATGTGGAATATGATTTAATTATGTGATTGATCCGATCGAACACGTGGACTTGGAATCTGATTAGTGGATTATTGATTGACAGACCGTACTCGGATGCAAGGTGGCGTGCAGTGGCGTAAGACGTGGGAGCAGTGGCGTAAGCTCGAGGGGCAGTGGCGTTAAGTGGGAAAGACGACCTCTTCCTCCTAATTGCGCCATCCCGCTCAAAATTACCGAGCCAAAAATGATTGTTTTTTTAATTGATTACACTCCATTGAGTGCCTCCGGCGAGGAAAGGAGGTCCCCCTAAAAAAGTGCCTAAATGCAAATTAAAGTTAACCCCGTATTTGCTGAAAGGAGATTTGCGTAATGCAGTGGGCAAAAGGGTAAGGGCATTGCCTTACTTGTTTGAACCATGTGTTGAACGAATGGTGGATGAATTAAGTCCTGATTTTTTTCATTATACGAACACACCCTCGAGTAAATCAAATCAACAAGAAAAATCTAATCCAGTCCAATTGGGAACTTTTTCCATCGGACCCTAGAAATTTCGGGCACTACCGCTTACGTTCGCAAATTCAAATGAGGTATGCTTGGAATTTCTTGGAACATATCTTATCTCGCAATGGGCTCGTCAAAAAGTCCGTCCAGGATTTAGGCCCATGCCATGCTTTGGTTATAGTCTATCTATGTAATTGAGCCAGCCTCGTCCCCAGTGCTTACTTTATTTCCAACGTCGTTTCCAATAGACAGCCCTGGATAGGAAACTTTCTTCCTGTATCCTGATTCGATACTGCAATTGATTAGAAATGGATTTATATCGTGTACTTGGTGTTTTTATTCACAACGAACAGTACGTATTTTCGCGATTCGTCCACGCCTTTTCAAAAATATTCATTTCCTTTCCATTTTGTTAATATTAATATGACATACGATACTGCATGTTGTCTCGTAAAGATCGTAACAGTTTAATTAAAATAAAATCGTCTTTTCGTAACTCACGCCATGCTCGATCGCGCTGCGACAATTATTCTGTTTTTACCCCAGACACCGCATACAAAAAACAAACGCAAATGTAACGCGCGGGCAGGCACCAGACTATTCCTCATTTGCATACGTGTTCAAAAATCTAGCACATGCAAATGATCCAATACCAGGGTGAGAGAGAGCAGGTAGTGGTGGGCGCGTACTGCTCGACACCCTGGGGACGAGGTTATATGTGAGGATAAATACGCTGATTAATTAGGCAAGACCCCAACCTCGTCCCAGTGCTTACTTTATTTCCAACCGCGTTTCCAATAGTAAACCCTGGATAGGAAACTTTCTTTCTGTATCCTGATTGGATACCGCAATTGGCTAGTAATGGATTTGTATCGTGTACTTGGTGCTATATATTCACAACGTGCAGTACGTGTTTTCGCGATCATTCGTCCACGCCTTCTCGAAAATACTAATTTCCTTTCCAATTTGCTCATATTAATATGAAATATGATACTGCATGTTGTCTCGATAAGATCGTAACCGTTTGATTTCAAAAATCGTGTTTTCGTAACTCACGCCGTGCTCGCGCTGCTACGAATTGACTCTGTTTTTTACCCCAGACACCGCATACAAAAACAAACGCTAATGTGTAACGCATATCCAGGCACCAGACTGTTCTCATTTGCATACGTGTGCAAAAATCTTGCACATGCAAATGATCCAATACCAGGGTGAGAGAGCAGGTAGTGGTGGGCGCGTACTGCTCGACACCCTGGGGACGAGGTTGGCAAGACCCCGCCTTTTGACCTCCTAGATTTTTACCAATCAGCGGGCGCTTTCTATATCGGGTCTTCGGTCATTCACCCATTGCGCGTCATAGACAATGGATTAAACAAAACTGCCTGCGCGTCACGCGCTCTGTATCATGTTACGCGATAATGCGCCCGGCTGTTGTTGCATTCGAATTGACCAATCAAACCATTTAGTCCTGATTAGGAATGAAATGACGTCACGATTTCAAGTAAAGTCGACTCCAATTGGCTGGCGCACGGCTTGCATAGCTTTATGGTCTAGCCATATCAGACGTCATACAGGAGTTTTGCTTCGTGGATAACGGGTGATACTCAGACTATATGCTTTGGTTTGGAGGAGTTGAAATTTCTGTCGTCAAAACTATGAAATAGGGATCACTCCATGGCGCCACAAAGTTGAAAAGGAAAACAAAGTAAGGGGCAGTGCATGTGAAAGTCCAACTCGATGAAATATGCACAACTGAGAAAAGTATACGGTTCCGAATAACAAAATTTGGAAAGAATGCAGTATCCACACTATATGTCTAGTCTAGACCTATGGAGAGTCGAGTGCATGTTCAAAGTATTTTCTAGCAAAGTTGGAAATGTTCCTCAGTCCCCGATTCATGTCTTTTCATTTTTTTTGCAATAATTGGCCTTCAATGAAATAATATATGATGAAAAATGTGGCATCAGGATCTATGCAACATTCTTTCCCAAAATTTTGAAACTTTGGACTGCACCAGAGTTAAGAATAATTTACACCATGGAGCTTTTAAAATAAAGATGCTGCCAGTCTTCGTTTGGACTGAATGAAAAACAATGCAGATTGCAGATAAGCAGATTCGCGTATAGTTGTCCAACAGTTTTATGTTCATCCACAAAAGTAATGCTCTGACTTAAAGCCAGTAAATTGGACACCATTTTGCGAGCAAAAAAGGGTTTTAATTTGCCGAAAATCTGAGTTCAAGGAACAACACTCAGAAGCAATCTCTTGGAAAAAGTTAACCTGTCCAATATTCAGGTCCGACGCCTAGATATCATACTTCAGTACTATTAAAAGTGCATCTTCATGTTTCTCGATGCAAAAGCATAGGTTTTCGTTGAAAGTGCAATGGTTTGGTCCTTAAGTTATAAGGTTTTAACCATTGCGAGGAAATGGATGACGGTAATTCCGCTTTCTAATACAACGACTGCACTCATTATAATTACTAGGCGCAATGATTTCACAGGATGCTTGCTTGATCCTATTATTTACTTAAAATACGGTAGAGTATTTCATGATATATTAACAGTTTCATTTTGAATGTTCGCTAGTGGTGTCCATTGCCTTTTAATTATGACAAATTAATGAGAACCGTATTTTTTTTGCAGGAGGACTGGTAACAAGTTTAACCATTGGTTGCTACCCGCTGCGGAACCAGTTGCTAAGGGTAAATAAAGAGCGCCCTCAATAGACAAATAAACAAGTATTTAATGATCGACTCGATATCACATCACACGATACTGCATTAAAACAGCGGACAGAACAAAACAAAAATCACCGAAAATGTCAAAGAATTCGGCCCAAAATGGTGGCAGCGGTGAGCCGAACATGCACGAGATCAACATGCAGCGAGAGTCGTGGTGCACGGTGGAGATGAACAGCCGCCAGGACTGGTGCCGGGCCGAGCGGAAACACGACAAGAACGCGTTCAAGAGCTCGGTGTTTAGCGAGGGCCAATCACAGCCCGATAGCGATTCACGGTGTACTTTCGAGGTGAACGACAAAACGCATAAAGAGCGGAGACATTTCCCCAACAAATCATGTGAGTTCTACTGGTTCAGGAGAATGTGCCAGTTGTTGAAGACTGAAGTGTTAAAAAGAAATTAGTTATGAAATTTTTTTTTTCTAGGCAGTGCTGTGGCTATATTGTTACGGAAACCGCCCTAACCATGCTAACACAATTTACAGCATTGCAAAAACACCATTGCGAATCTATATCAACCATCTGGTTTCCTGACAAATTAAGAGTATTCATTGTCAGGATCTTTGGCTTGGCTGTTGGACCTGCTGTTGTGGAAACAGACTTACTTTTAACATGAATGGTTCTCGGAACCGCATTTCCCTTTAAAAAAATCCTTTAAAGCCATGGATTACGAACAATGAAATCTACTTAAATAAAGAACCAGTAATAAAAAAAAAATTATGTTTTTTAAAAATGGAGCAGCGCAGCAACGGTTTCGAACCCGAATCCCTGGCAAGTAGTGTAATTGTTACCAATCGAGCCACCAAAGCATTCTGGTTGGATAGGTAGATTTTCCGATAGGTAGTTATAAAGGTGATAGAGATTTGCAATAACGATAGCAGTAAAAAATCGCGTTACGTCTGCCGTAACAGTAGCCACTACATTTTGTCTAGGCAGCGCCTATTGTTACTGCAGCCGTAACGAGAATTTCAACTGCTATCGTTACGCCACTGCTAATGCTACACTGCTCGTCAATTTTGCCCCCTGGCCAAGGTGGCACTGATAATCGTAAATGGGTCTATTTGGTCATTACTTTACTTTACTTTATTTCATCTATATTGTGTCAGATTATTAGGCAGAAATGTGTAGATACAAATACTACATTACTTGCTGTCAATAGTGTGGCATTAACTGTGGTAACTAAACCATGCATTAGACTAGAGGAAGAAGTTGGCTCAGACAAAAATCTGACCAAGCTAGTAACAGTGTTGAGCTGCAATCAATTTTATGTTTTGTTTGCGTTTGGTCCACCCATCTATTGAAACTTGTCACTTTTTGTTTCTATTGCAGATTACAGTCATCTAGCAATTTAACTACCTAGCTGACTACACTGGGCTGAGTGCAACACCTCAATGAACGAGCAGACTTCACGGTGTCTTCTGTGGATCCTGCTTGGCTTTCTTGGAATAGTTGAAGCTACACTGAATCTACACTGACTGACTCTTTATGATGAGCTACTTTACCGGAGTGGAACAAAGGCCTAACTATCACCACACTGTTTTATTTTCAAGCAGGGATATCAATATTAATTCATATTTAACAAATGTCATATGAGCTAATTTGCAGAGTTAAGTAATCTTTTTTCGGGGGGGGGGGGGGGGGGGGGTTCCATCAGTGGTATTGCCCACAATTTCTATGAAGTTGATATAACTTAAAATATTTTGTTCAAAGTCAGTTTTCCTTTGTGTTTATTTTTAAAAAATATATTGCAACTGTATAACTTTCTCCCGGGGCTTATTAAGAACACAGAATGTATAACATTTCTAAATACACGTATTAATTATTCCATTAGCTTGAGTTTAATGCAAGATTTGAATCATTTGCGCTGATTTTGTTTTACAAAAATGCTTTTGTGATATGTATGTTACTGACTTGGTACTGATTAGCCACTATGCAATTTTTATTCATTGGCTGAACCATGCCAGGCTTGTATGGTTTACTGCAATCAGAAATTTTTTTTTTACTCTCATTGGCCAAAACACTGTGTGTGCAAATAAGTTTTATTTTCTGTGTGCAGGAATAAGTTTGAAGCTTTCTGTGACATTGGTCAGTCATCCTTTGTTTTCTTTTTTGCAGAAATAATATGGTTTGGCAGTTTAATCCAGGCTGGACTTAATTAATGTACGCGTATGCAATTGTGTGCATCATAATGCTTCCTATGCTGCATGAAGATTTTTGTTTTGTTTGAACGTCAACATGCAATGGGAATTGTAACTGCAACATGCAATGGGGATATGAATGTGCTTTTATTTTTGTTATAATATGTGCTTATCGATATATATCTTGGTTTAGCTTGAACAAAGTGCTTGTATGCAATGTTCACTCTGTCACACGAATGCACTATTTTTTTACATTATTTTTAATAGCATGTATATTTTAAAACTCATTTACCATTGGTAAATACATGTACAATGTACAATGTACAAGGTTATATAAAATGCATGTGAGTGATGGGACATCCATTTAATGACATGGGCTAACTTCTGTGAAGTAGACTTGTATTTTAGTCACCAAACAGTCTGAGTCTGAGTCACCTCTCCCGAGTCCGAGTCATGTAGGTCAAGTCCGAGTCACGAGTCACAATTGTCGACTCGAGTCCGAGTCACGAGTCATGCAACTAAAGTTACAGTGAAACGCCGCTATAACGAACACCACTATAACGAACATTTGATTATAACGAACGACCCCACGGGCTCCCGAATTAGTGAATTCTATTAATATAATGCACAATTACTATAACGAATAACCAATGTAGCGAAAACTTTCTGTGGACCCCATCGTGTTCGTTATAGCGGCGTTTCACTAGTACTAAGCGAAATTCATTGCTCAAAACTGGTACCTCTACTATTAAGCAGAAAATCATCTGAGCACCATGCAATACACTCCATAATGTTTTATTTTCTGCTAACCGTTGCAAGTTCTTCTTGCTCAGCACTTTGTAAAAGTGGCACAACATCATACATGTACAAGTATAGACAAACTGGAGATGTTCACCTTCAAATTAAACTTGTAAAATACTATGTATTTTGGTTTAAAATCTACATTTTTGATATAACACGTGTGTAATCATAACCTTGGTAATCACGATTTTAAATATAAATTACTTTTGATTTGTAAAAAATAAAATAAAGTATGCTTAATGACGTTTCAAAATTGTGTGGTGCTTTCGTCTTATTCCAGAGAAAAACAGGGAAAACATTAAAACATGTGTGGATATTTAAAGATTGGCTTAATAGCAACTCTGGTGGAAGTGTTGGTGCGTCCAAATTCTGCAACTTATGATTCTAAACTACATGTATATCATCTATTGATAACAATCTTGCCCACTCTTTTTTATTGAAAAAAAAATAATCAATTAATTTGGTTGCGTTTTGATATTTTACAATCACATGCTGTTTCTCTACCATATCTTTTCAAACAAAGCCCACAAACTCTCAGCCTCTGAGAATTTGTGGACAATTATGCGATTTTGGATAAGTCCATGGAACCGTAGAACCGTCGCTTTGGAGCGAGTCGAATTTTCAACCCGCCAAAACTGAGTCAAGTTCACTTGTTTCCGTCTGCCTGAATTTATTTAAATGAGCATTGAAGTTGACAAAATTACCACGCCGCGAAAAAAACGATGTTGTAGAACTTCAATGTCTAGAAAAAAATTGCGATCATCGACAGTGTCGTGAAATAAATTATTTAGTACGTCTTTAGTTGTCCCTAGTTCGGGCCGAGGGGCGGCGAAACCGGGGTAACACTCTGAGTAATGAGTAAAACAATGTGTAATGCATTCAGGAGAATTAATCATTAAAAAGTTCAAAAGGAACATTGATAATTAAAGTGTGATAATTAACTAAAAATTAAGACGAATTGAGAATTGATAATCTGAAAACGCTAGCTACAACTTCATGTAAATATCTGCTCGGTCACCATGGCGTCTGCATATTACATCCCTACTGATGAGATTATGCATGCAGTATATTCCACCAGATACAGAACCAGAATAAAATGGCCGGTTTCGAACAGCGCTCCAAGTTTTGTAAACTTGGTACCAGCCCAGCCCCCCCCCCCTCCCTCCATTTGATTTACGGAGGCCAAGTGTCCGGTGAAAAATACATGTCGACATCAAGTTCAGCACGGATGTGCCCCCCCCCCCCCCAAAAAAAAGCTGGATACGCTGCTTCACCAACGGAAGATGCCTTTTATTGAGCAAGTGCTCCGGCGATGCGACTGTAACCGGTCAGTCCACAAATTCAAAGTGGGTGCAGTACATTTTGTTTTCGTCCTTCCCAAATTTATTTAAAACAGGCAATTGTTTTCAACTCAAGTTGATCAGTATGAAACCGTGTTCTCCCTCTAAGTAAGTATCGTGACCAAAATGTAATCGCCCATCGCCGGGGATTACGTCATTAGCATTCTATCCGATTCTCATTTCTAACCCAGGCTTGTGCTGAATACACATTATGCAAATAACGTGTTTAGAAGATTTCCACTCAGACTCCAGCCCTTTTGTTACATTCATGCCTCGCTGATCACCACGGTACAGAGACCTAGCGTGCACGAGCTTTATCTTAAGCTGTTGATTCGATACTGGGGTAGGCCTTCATTACTGTCGTTGTGCTCCTCACGCTCACTGCAACTCTCACAGTTCAAAATTATTAGTTTGGCTCTGTATAAAATTATGTTTATTTCCATTGAAAGTGCACATTGTGTCTGATTTATATTGTATTAAGAAAGACAACATTACCATTTACACCAAGATCAACATCAAGATGGGCAATATCTTCAAGAGTAGAAAGAGGTACGTTACACGTCTCTGATTAATGTACATGTGTATAAGGTTCTCCTACAAAATCTAGGGTCTCTTTAAGTAAGTGTAAGGCCTTTATTTGTGTATAAAGTATAACTTGAAGATAAGCAATAATAATAAAATTTCGTCAGACACGTGCAGTGACATTGTGTTCGCACGTATAATAAAAAAAAATTCATAAGAATCCATCGCACACGTGCAGTGACATTGCGTTCGCACGTTTAACATAACATTTGCATAGGAAATCGATAAGATACGTGCAGTGACATTGCGTTCGCACGTGAAATATAACATTTGAATAATATTTCGTCGTACACGTGCAGTGACATTGCGTTCGCACGTACAATATAATCTTTGCATAGGAATCCATCTCACACGTGCAGTGACATTGCGTTCGCACGTTTAACATAACATTTGCATAGGAAATCGACAAGATACGTGCAGTGACATTGCGTTCGCACGTGAAATATAAAATTTGAATAATATTTCGTCGTACACGTGCAGTGACATTGTGTTCGCACGTATAACATATTTGCATAGGAAGTCGACAAGATACGTGCAGTGACATTGCGTTCGCACGTGAAATATAAAATTTGAATAATATTTCGTCGTACACGTGCAGTGACATTGCGTTCGCACGTACAATATAATCTTTGCATAGGAATCCATCTCACACGTGCAGTGACATTGCGTTCGCACGTTTGTAAATAAAATAGGGCGTGGCTATAGGCTCCGTTAATCCCAAGCAGTTTAGATATAAAGTTTGAGACTGCAAAAAACAAGCCACTGGCCGGCCAGGTATTGTTTTCTGGCTGAGCGGATAAATTACTTCATTTCAAGGCAGTAAAATACTTTAATTTTTTAGGAAGCTCAGATAAAAGTAGAGAGTTTTGTCACCTAAAACAGAGAACTCCTTAAATCTCATTGGATGTTAAAAAAAGTGTACATGAAAGATAAATTACAGCAGAATTAAGGTTGAACGAAAATGTATTCTATTATTCAATAATAATGCAATGCCAATAGGAATTCGTCAGACACGTGCAGTGACATTGCGTTCGCACGTTGAGTATAACATTTGCATAGAAATTCGTCTGAAATGTGCAGTAACATTGTGTTCGCACGTGGGGAAAAAATACAATTTCGAAAGAATTCGTCAGACCGTGCAGTGACATTGTGTTCGCACGTGAGTTAATTTGCATAGGAATTTGAAACGTGCAGTGACATTGCGTTCGCACGTGAAACATTGTTTGAAATCGTGAAGCCTGATCGAGCTTCTATTAATGCCATATTTTTTTTCGAGCTATTATTTCAGGAGATGTCTGTATTTTTTTTCTTGAAGGGTAGCATTCCAGTGGCAGCTTTTTTTCCCTTCAAATTATAGTCCCTGAGTAATTAAAATTGCTAATTTACACCAGTATTTTCAATGATAAACTTGTGACAGTGTTTCCTGCATTGTCACTTTGACTTCCAGGTTTTATGTAACTCCCTTTCTGGAGAAGGTTAAAAGACGTTCTCCACCTCAGTCTCAGAAACTAAAAATAATTGAAACAATATAAAACCTAATCAACATTCTGGGCAAAACGTTGGTGCACTGATGCAAACAATTAATTTGGGTTTTTTTTTGTAGGTCAAGTTGGGAGGAGTGCAGACGCTGCAGGCGTGCATTATGCAGCATCCGCAAAGCAAAGCAGCTGCTGGATCTGTAGGAGTGTTAGGATAATGATTATAGGCATTTAAATTCGCGAAATATTCTCATACGCGTTTAGAAACCTCCGCACCGCGTTCTATCGCTTTTCCGTTCGACAATAAGGCATATTCATACGTAATGTTCGGCAAACTCGTGGTTTTTTTTTTTGGCTAGACCGGAGACGTTTTGGTACGAAGACCGTGAGGGGACATAGGGAGTTATTTCGTTTTTTTCGTAATACTATTACGTATGTGTTATTGACACGTACATAACTCAGGCACGTACTTGAATATTATCACGTACGTAGGTAATATTATCACGTATAGGGCCCACGTGATAATTATTACGTACGTAGGGCCCACGTGATAATTATTAAGTACGTATACACAACGTATACTCGTTTAAGGACACACGTACTATCACGTACATATGCAATACATGTACGTACGTAATATGTATTTATCAGGTATGTACGCAATAATAATACTAATATTGCGTTAGTACGTAATATTATATTATCACGTACGCATGTGATAAATTAAATGTATCACGTACGTACGTTGTGATTGTCATATGTATAGTAGTAGGCCCTAAGTAAGAAAAATATGTTCATCTTCTCTTGGTCTTCGTACCCACGTATCCGCGTACCCGCGCGATCGCGCGATTTCGTGTGATAAGAAGTGATAAAATCTAGGGAACTGTTTAGCAAAGTGCAATGAACAGTGTTAGGGAAAATGAAGCAAACGAAAATTAGGGAGCAAGCATAGCCCGCTGCGAGCATGCGCACATTGAGCCTGCAGGCAGTGCGATGGGGAGTTTTAGAACTTTTTCTAAAAAAAAAAAGTATAAAAATAACACTAACTTAATGCAAACGAAAATCAGTCTAATGAATAACACTGTCCCCCTAAACTTGAAAGTACTGGTGTATTTTATTTTATTTTCGCTATTAAGAAACTTCACTCGCAAATTTAAAGTAGATTTTGCAATTGATTGAGAATCATTTTGTGATGTTTTATCGATCAACTGGAATGCTGCCCTCAAACGGACATTGGCTGGTACTTTGCCCAACTCAAAACAATAATTAAACAAAGTTAGTAAAACATCTACAGAAAGTGGCAATGCCTGGTGTGTTGTCCACCAACGACGATATAATTTCTTTATAATTGTATAAAATGTTTAAGAGCAAACAAGATTCATAAAATCTAGGCCATCGGCAATTGACAGTGACCATGCCTGGTGCAGTGTCACTTATAAGGGATACCCTCTTCGGTGCATATTAGTAGCGCCGATTTCCAAGAGGCCCCTTCCTTCAGAAGAACTTAAACATTAAAACTTAAACCATTTAACAAAAACACTAAAGGATGTTACTACTTAAATAGCCATACATAGGAAACTGTTGGTTAATAATTAACAGTAATTCCTAAATGAGCTCTCTGTTAAGGTGACATATACGCTCTTATATTAACACTAAAAGGTCAAAAAATCTGGGATTAACAGCGTCTGTAAAAGCGCCGCATTGTCTATACTTCGCTAGTCTGTGAGCAGTGAGGGCACAGTTGACCATATTTTAATGATCGCAGTAAATTCAAAAGTCATAACTTTGGTAAATTATACTTTGCATAAATTTATATAAAATACATTTTTATTCTGTGAAGAGCTTTTAAGCTCGGTTCATTATTAAGTATTTAAAGATAAACTTATCTGTGAGTAAAATAATGCTTACAGAGAGAATGACTTTTGGAGAAAAAACTCAAAAGTAGATTGTATTTTGTTTCATTGTAAATGTTGCATGTTTGATTTTTTGCCTTTGTGTGCATTGCTCTCTGTGTGGTGTGCTTTTGTTAATGGTTTCAGTCTGTTGTCTGACAATAGACAAAATTAAATGTTTTTAAATCAAATTTATCGTTGCGGCTACGAAAATGTCAAATCGTTAAACAAAATCGAAGCAAAGTTGAAAGGAATAATACTTGAAATCAGTGTTATTTTTTTTCTCAACTGTAATACGTCGGGCAAAAAATGTTACGGTTTTGAAGCGGCAAGCCTCAAATTGACGAAAATACGAAATCAACTTTAAAATGTTGGGCAGTATTGGAATAAATAATACCTGAAATCGGTGTTATTTTTTACCTTTTCTGCAAAACCTACCCGGATATTTACTTGACTACGAGTATGACGAAAACTGAAAACAAAATTCAAATCGGTCCAAAATAAATTGTAGCGAAAATCACATCGTTAGCGAATTTTTTTTCTTCCGAAAAACAAAAATCACTCCGCTTTCTACGTGTAGGCCTACACGCTAGGAAAATGATGAAAATAACGCGAAGAAAACATCACAGCGTTAGTAAGAGTAAAAATACCCGAAATCAGTATTATTTTTCTTGCCACAAAGTAAACAAAATGGGTTATCGAAATAACAAATCAAAATGACAAAAATAACGGCATAAAAATTAATCATCCGCAACGAGAGAAGTAAATACATGTACATGTACATGTACTTGAAAATTGGTGCTAATTTCTAAACTTCGAAAGTTCCAAATTTGGCCACAGAAAAAAGACCGAAGTTAAGATTTTAAAAAAGTATGAAGTTATGCTTAGCGGTAAATACCGGTTCTACATTGCCTCAAAAAGTCGGAAAGCGAATTTTGGCAAACGATGGCAAAATGACGGCAGCAAATGAAAATGAAATTGACGAAATTACGAGGAAAAAAATCACACCATAATGAACAAAATATCTGTTTAGAAAATGACTGAATTTCAGTTATATACAGTGGCATTTCAAAACATTAAAATTGTTGGCATTGTCGAGAAGTGCCTTCCAAAAGACCTAATTACCCCCCCCCCCCCCCCACACACACACCAAAAAAGTACATTGTGAAAGGGTACAACTTATTGGCAACCTGCCATTATCGGCCTCGGCACATGTTCGTGTGCATTATGACAAAAAATATCATGTCTGTTTTTAAAAGTAGATAGTGGAAACATGGGTAGAATCGTTTAGTTTCTATTTGGTAACAAGTGGCCTCATTACAGGTAGGCTTAGACGTAATGTTTTGGAATGTTTCACTTCAGTAACAAATGGGCTAGGCCCAGTGTTTTCGTAACCCTCTTCACTTAGGAAAGAGTTGCAGCTTTCATCAAAGAAACTGATGATCTAAGAGTTGAGACTGCATGGATGAGCTAGGCTGCTTTGTCTGGACGAAAATGAACCCTCCAAGGCTCCAACAGCCTCATCACACAGAAACTCGAGGAACCGGAAGCAGGGAGGAGGACCGACAGATGAACGGATGACCTGCTTGCTGGGCTACCCATTACTGATTCTTGAGGTTAGTTTGCATGTTGGCTTCCTCTTCGCAGGATCAATCAAGTCACAGAACTCATCAAAATGGGCGATCTGACTCTGTTATAATGTTCTTCCACAAACAACGGGTTCTGGTAGCGGGCTTTGCTTTGTGGGGTTAATTCAATGTTTTCTTTCCCCTGGCACAAATACAGCTCAATAATGCAAATGTTTTCTTTCGTATCCTTTCAGAAAAATGAGGACCACTGACTGATGAGGGAATTGCTTTACTGAGATTGATGAGCCTGCCTCAAGACTTCGTCAGGGCTCCAACAGCCTCATCACACAGAAACTCGAGGAACCGGAAGCAGGGTTGAGGACCGACAGATGAACGGATGACCTGCTTGCTGGGCTTCCCATTACTGACTATCAGGTTTGTGTGCATGTAGCCTACTTAAACAGAAACATCAAGAACTAATCAAAATGGGCGATCTGGCGCTCTTCTATGTTCGTCTTCTATGTTCGTCCAGTTCTGGTAGCGGGGCTTTGCTTTATGGGGTTGTAGTCTTTCCCCTTTGTAGCCCTGGCACAATTACAGCTCAATAAATCAAATGTTTTCTTTCGTCATTTGAATCCTTTCAGAAAAATGAGGACCATTGACTGATGAGAGAATTGCTCTACTGGGGTTGATAGCCTGCCTCAAGACATCGTCAGGGCTCCAACAGCCTTATCACACAGAAACTCGAGGAACCGAAAGCAGGGAGGAGGACCGACAGATGAACGGATGACCTGCTTGCTGGGCTTCCCATTACTAATTCTTGAGGTTAGTTTTTAGTTACATGTACCTAAAGAATAAGCAGAAACAAGTAATTAAAATGGGTGATCTGGCGCTATTCTATGTTCTCCCACGAATAAAGAGTGCTGGTAGTGGGGCACTGCCTGTGGGGTTAATTCGAACATCCCCCCCCCCTCCCTCTTGCTCTACCTTTCAGATATTTCTTAATAATAATTCGGATATTTTCTTTCGTCATTTGAATCTTTTTACAGACATGAGGACCATTGGCTGGCCCTATGATGGATGAGCCTGCCTCAAGCTGCCTCAAGCTGCCATAAGTTAGGAGGACCGACGGTTGACTGACTCTGCCTGCTCTGTTGGCCATTACCGATTCTTGAGGTATGTTAACTTGAAAAGAGACCAGGGATATGTAGGCCTACACTTAAATTTGTTATTCCTTTAATGCTATGTCACCTCTTACGATGCTTGATAACCTCTTTAAATATTAATTGTAAATTTTGCTAGTTTACTCCTTTTGTCATGTTTTAGAAGATGAGGACCGCCAAGCTTGGATGAGACTGGACAATTACGAAGCTGCTGTATCTGGACAAGGATGCCCTCATCAGATACTTTCCAAGTGCGGAATATTGGATCAAAAATCAGAATGCATATTATTTTGCAATATTATAAAACATAAAAACGACGAAAATACGAATTCTTACGCCAAAGTTGCCGCTATAATTGGAAGAAATAATAACTTAAATCACTGTTACTTGTTAACTTTACTAAGATACCTATACCTGAAATATTAGACGACGAATATGACAAAAATTAAGAAAAAAAGTCAAATGTGTGTAAAATACATTGCAGTGAAAATCAAATCATGAGCGGATTTTCTTCTCACAGAAATGCTTCTCCGCTTCCAACAAGTGGCTGAGAAAAAGATGAAATTTACGCCGAAAATAACTGAAATCAGTGTTGCTTTTACCTTCACTGCGACACCTACCCGAAATATTTGACTACACGCGTGTGACGAAATGTGGAAACAAAAATCAAATTGGTCCAAATTAAATTACAACGAAAATCACATAGTACGTGGAGTTTCTTCTCGCAGCACGGCACTCTGTTTCTACAGGTAGCTTCAGGAAAATTACGAAAATTACACCGAAAATCAACGCGGCATATAAGTGAAGTGACAAAACATAGTTAACACGGCTAAAAAAAATCACAGCGTTAGTGAGAGAAATAATACTTGATATCAGTGTTATTTTTCTTACCTACAAAGTAAAAAAATCGATTGCGGAAGGACAAAATTAAAGAGACGAAAATTACGGTAAAAAGATTAACAGCGGCAGCGAAATAAATAAATATTTGAAAATCGGTAATTTTTAAAACTTCTTGGCCCTATGCCATGCAAAAATTTGCTAAGGAAAAATGACCGAAATAATGTTAGCAAAAAATTTCAAATTATAATCGGCAGCCACTTCCGGTACGACTACACTGCTTAAAAAAGTCGGAAAGCGAATTTTGGTAAACGGTGGGGAAAATGACAGCAGAAAAAAAGGTTAAAAAAAATGACGGAAATTAAAGAAGAACTCCATTATATCGATGTAAAGAAAATGACTGAATTTTAATTAAAGCAGCATGTTAAAGGCATTCCCCCAAGGTCTAGGCCTACACCACATCTTTTAAGTATTATTTGTCAGCGAAAATACCTGCAATTGTGTCATTGTCAAGAAGTTTGCCTTCAAAAAGGCAAGAAATAGCCAGGTTATGCATGTGAAAGGGTACAAAAGTGCAATCATAAACAAAGCGATAGGGAAAATGGCTGTATAAGACATGCGACATATTTGCTATCGCATGCGACATTTCTTCGTGTTTTTGTAAAGGTTTAAACTTAATCTACACCATTTATGTGAGTCCGATTTGGAAAGATCGGCAGGGATACATGTTTTCATCAAGTATACATATCTCCTTTGAGTTACTCATTTGGTTGTCTTACTTTGACCTTTGATAACGTATAAGGCCGACAGTGCTGTTTTATTGAAGGGGAGAACACGAAAACCATAACGGAAAAAAGCGTTGCAGTAGTTAAAGAGATCGGTCTATATGGGATGAAATAAATATTATATCAAATTTACGAAAAATACGTCAAAATGTGCAGCGGTATTGGAAGAAATAATACTTGAAATCGGTGTTATTAGTTTAAATTGATCTAAAATGATAAATCGAAAATCACACCGTAACCGAATTTTATTTCGCGGAAATAGCGCACCGCTCTCACCAGTCGGCGATGAAAATGACGATTACATTAAATAACTCAAAGCGGCTAGAAAAAGTAAAACGAAGTTCATTTCGCAGAAAAATAGCATACGTGTCTCATCAGTCGGCTTTGAAAATGACAATTATACACCAACTGAAAGCGGCTCGTACAACGACGAAACAAATATGGCAAAAATCACAACGGTAGTGAGAAAAAAAAATATTTGATACCAATGTTATTTTTCTCATTCTACAATCGTTCTACAATCTCAAATAATCGGTTACGGAATCAAAGCATCTGAAATCAAAATGACGTCAATGATTACGGCAAAAACATGAAAGCACTGTAGCAAAAGAAACAAATAATAGAATGTTAATTTTCCAAACCACGATACCACGAAGAAATTGGTTATGTAAAAATGACGAAAATACACATCGGCAACGGATCATATCGGCAGCAACTACTTCACAATATCCAAACGTTGGAAAACGAAATTTGGCAAACGGCGGCACAAATAAAGGCTATAGCAGCAAAATAAACTTAAAATTACGGAAATTACGGCAAAAATCACAGCAAAAGAAAAAATATATATAATCATCTCGAAAATGGCGAAATTTATAACGGCAGTTATAACGGCAATTACAGCGACACTGAAAGGTTTTTGTTGCCCTCTCGCAAAATTAGCCCATCCTCATATTCGTCTGCTAAATTGCAACACCTCTTCAAAAAGTTTGCCTTCAGAAAAGACAGAACTAATTGCAAACCTAAGTGCTTGGGAATGAGTAAAAGATAGGGCCTACTGCCAAGACTTTTTTTACCAACATGTAGGCCCCCTACTTGTATTTCTTTTTTAACATTCTTCTTCGTCATTTTGTGTAAGTCCGATTTGGAAAGATCGGCAAGGATACATGATTATGTATAGTATTTTTCAAAGTAAGTCCGGTTGCGAAGATCGGCAGGGAATTAGAAGTCATCTTTTGTCTTCCCTCGATGTAATGTAGGTCCGATAGTCAAGCATCGGCAAGGAAATTTTGACATAGTGCTGTTTTTACTCAGTGGCGGGAAAAGCAGAAAACTACGGCAAAACTAACAGCGTTATGGTAAAGGAAATACCTGATCACAGAATCAATGATGTTTAAAAATAATTGTTTAATGCCATTAATTTAAAGCCGAAATCTTTGTGCAGGGATGGTGAGAAGACCGCACCTCCCAGACACGACCTTTTGAAGGAAAGTTTTGTAAGACATGCGACACATTTACTGTCACATGCAAGGGTATCATTTCTCATATTAAATGTTTGTAATAAGGTATGCGTAACCCTTCTTCCGCCATATGTTTTATTTAAGTCTGATTTTGAAGGATCGGCAAGGATCAAGATGGCATTTTGCCCTCTTTGAGTTCTTGTAAATTTCTGTGATGTTTTTGAAATGTGAGTTTTAAGATACTGTCATTTTCTTTCAACGCGCGAGCGAAATGGTGTATTAGCGTCTGCACCTTATACCCAATCTTGTCTCATTAAAGGTGATTGTTAACATTAAGTTATTTTTTTTTTGGATACTTATAACGACTGGTTATAGGTAAGCCTAGACATGGTAGATGCAATGGGAATGGTTTGAGTCACTTGCGGAGCTGGGCTAGGCCCAGTGTTTTTGTTTATCCCGTTTACATAGGAAAGATCTGCAGCTTTCGTCAAAGAAAAAGAGGATCTAAAATTCGGGACAGATTGGAGGAGAAGGGTGCGTCAGGACGACGATGAACGAACCCCTCCCCAACCTCATGCATCACAGGCGGAACCGGAAGCAGGGAGGAGGACCGACAGATGAACTGATGACCTGCTTATTGGGCTTCCCATTCCTGGTTACCAGGTTAGTTTACTTGATAAAAGCAGAACGTTCAAGTACTTTCAACAGAATGAAGAAAGAATGTAGTATCCAGACGCCACTTCTTTGTAAAAACATGATGCATTTTTTTTGGGTGATACATTTTGTTTTTACAAAATTGAAAATGATTTTCAGTCCCAGATTCATGTCTTTTCAATATGTTGCAGTGACTGACCTTCATTGAAATAATGTGTAATGAAAAACCTGTGGCGTCAGGATGCAACATTCTTTCCCGTAATTATTCAGTCATACAGTACTCCTCTAATGTTGCTATTTGTTTCTTCCAACTTAGTGTCGGTAAAGTGGGACATTACTTTTTGAGTGTTGATTGAAAGGTTTCTTTCTCCTTTGTTTTAATACATTTTAGAAGACGAGCAATGATGGGACTGTCTGGAAGAAGGGACTGCTTGACTTGGGCAAGGATAAGAGAATGACCCCCACACATATCAGACGAAACCTTAGGGAAGCAGGGAGGACCGACAGATGGACGGATGACCCTGCTTGCTTGCTGAGCATATCACTTCTGAATCTCAAGGTTAGCTTACTCCGAACCGCAATGAATTTGCAAATACTGTCAACAGGGTGAAATTGGTGATGTGTCACTCCATTGTTGATGATGGCTTGCTTTTCCCACATTGCTAATCTTTCTTCTAAAATTTATCATTTCAGAGGATGATGGCTGACTGATGTAGACGGACGTGCTGGATGAAGAGGTGGCATCGTATGGTTTGGATAAGAGGATCACCCATGCCCAAATCTTAGAGAAAAACAAGGAACTGCAAGGAAGCAGAAAGTAGGACCGACCGATGAACTGATGACACTGCCTGCTAGCCATTTCTGATTCCAGAGGTGAATATAACTCGAGCAAATTAAAACAAGAATTGAGCAAGGATGAATGTCATACCTCTTGTGGTAGATTTCCCTACCTGCTGAAAAACTAGAATAGTATATTCCAGATTTTCTATCATTGCGAACAAGCCAACCCCAATGCATCAAAGATGAAGCTGAGGTATCTTATAGGCACTCAGGATAACAACCAACAAAATAATGTCCGGAATAAAGTATGCAAATTGCAGTCGAGCACAGTAAACTTAAGTGGAGAAAATAACTCCAGCAATTTCATCTTGAATTTTGTCAATTTTGATAAGTGTTCTACTTCCGAGGGCAAACCTTTTGGGGCATTATAAGTAGCACTGATTTCGTAGAGGAATCGAACTCTCAATGAACTTAACTCCAAAATGAGTAGATTTTTCAAGTGAGTCACTGTTTGGTGCTCCTTGTGATTTACTTTTATGCCAGGGTTCTGGATAATTTATTTAGTTTCTTCTTTGTCTTTTCTTTCTTTGTAGATTCCCCAAGCTCTCATCAGCACTTGAATGATGCACAGATGACTCACCAAGAAACTTCAAATGAGAATGTTTTTTGTAGACTGCAATACATTTTAAAGTTTTTTATAGGAATAAATACTTAATGAAAATTGAATCCAAAATCTATTTTTGTAAAATACTTGTAGCAGCTTGATTTTAGATAATTGAACAATAAAACAACTATCGATGCTTTAAACTATAATCTATATCAAAGCCTCCAACAGTATCTAAATCCGATATAAAAAAAAACTTTACTGGGTAATTACAGATGTTGTAATTAGTCATATTACAAGTAATTTCATTCATTGGCCTTCTCAAAGTGGCATGTCAATATGAGAATGGAGGTTTCTCGTAGTTGCCCTCAATCACTTGGATAAGGCTTGAAATTACACACGAGTCTGTGTAAAGTGGCTGCAGACACTTCCCATGGACGGTGTGTAGTATCAAGCCAAATACTTTCCGAAGTATTTAAAATGTAGACCGTCCTTTCCTTGAAAGGTCTTAACTGTATTTATAAGGTACCGGTACATCAAAACTATACTATCATTAAGTTGGCGTGACAGAACAGAGCACTAATTTAAGCCATAAGAGGTTTACACACTTTCAAAAAGACAATTTTAAGTCATTGGACACCCAAACCTTTTAGTGATTTTCATTCCAATGTTAATACCATTTTTTCCTCTGTTGAATAACTGACGACGCAAGGAAATGCTTGGCTACGCAAAATGTTAAAGGGAATATGAAACCGGCGAGTTTTAAACTATTTTAAAGAATCACTTGAAATTATCCAGGAATATTTTCACCAAGGTTTTTAATAAAACCTCAATGTAACGTGGCTTGCCTTACGGAGGCAATTTCTTTTTTTTTATTTAGAGAACTCCTTAATTAATGCATTGCAACAGGAAACTGACACTCAACTTACATTTGTGTTTATCCTTTTGTGATTTATATTGCACTTTTTCACTAACAATTTGTTTAAACTTTCACGTTGTGTTTATTGTTGATTGTGCACGTCGCTTCACTTTATTAACAGTTTAATTACCCAAAACAGAAGGATAAACACAATGTAAACCGAATGTTGAACTTGTTGCCTCAAAGTTGTGTTCAATTAAAAGGTAAATTTCAAAAAGAGATAAAAGTACCTAAAATATTCAAAAGAATCTTTTTTGATTTTGTTTTGGTTGTTTATTCATTTTTTATCCACAAGGGAACTAGTATGTCATACAGTGGCGTAGCCACGGGGGGCGGTCGCCCCACTGAGATTTTGAGTTTCTAAAAAAAAATATAATTGATCTACATGAAGCCCCCCCCCCATGAAATGTTCCAGCCCCCCCCCCTTCCCCCCCCCCCCCCCCCCCCCCCCACTGAAAAATTCCTGGCTACGCCACCGTATGTCATACTAAGCATCTCCGAACTTGAGTGTATATGATACCTTTTAAGCCAATTTTTTTTCACGCGAAAATATTTCCAAACCTGAACGCTTCCAAACAATATGTATTGTTTATGTTTTTAAAAGATGTTTATATATTTGACTTCCACGGGCATTCAAGGGTGTCCCAATTTAAATGTACATAATTTTAAATATATTTCAGTCCTTCATATAGGAATATACTGCGTAGCACTGTGTACAGCGCAGCAAAATGTGAAAAAAAAACAGTAGCTTAATAATCACTCTGGCAAGTATACCCGTTGAGCACTGTAATGAATGTAATGATTTTTTTTTAAAGAGTTTTATGTACTGTTTTAATTTGTGTTTTTGTTTTGTTTGTGAGAAATTTATATTAAATGTATACGACTTACATATCTATTTATTGTGCATTTTATGCGAATAAAGAATCTGAACTAAACTGTTTCACTTCTGTAACTTACCGTACCTTAAGGAATCGTATTTAATTGTTTTTGTCTTGGGCTTTATTTCAATCACGTTTAAAGAATAAAAAAAAACCTGCAAGAAAATAGACCCTTGATGTATTTGTAAGATTGTCACTTATATTTGCCTGTACATGTTTTGGGTGTTTGGGGTAAGCTACTACATGTACAGGAAATAGTCCGATTATGTCACTCCAGGAAGATAAGATAAAGTTGCATGGTTTTTACAAGGAGAATCTATAATAAAAAAAAGGGGGGGGGGGGGGGTTCTAGACTTCATCATAAGCCCATAAAACAACCCGAGCATGTGACCACTGTAAACACACCCTCTACTAATTATTGGGCATGCTGTAATTTAACAAAGCTCCATGGCTTTTGCCACAAAAGGTGTTGGAAGCGCCAAATTTCAATGCAGGCAGACCAACCAGATCCTGCCGATGAGGGCAGTATATCAAATTAACGGTGCATGAAAACTGGCAAATCATGACGATGAGGGCAGCATGCCAAGATAATAGTGCATGCAAACTGGCAAATATCTGACGATGAGGGGAGTATGCCAAGTTAACGGTGTGTACAAATTGGCCAATACCTACCGATGAGGGCAGTATGCCAAGTTAACGGTGTGCACAAAATGGCCAATACCTACCGATGAGGGCAGTATATTAAGGGGTGTTAATAATGGGAAGAGGATGAGGGACCGAGTTGCGACTTTACTAGTCTTGATTCAAGGACCCCCCTTCCCGGTTATCCCTATGGCATTATCTGTGTACATGTAATTCACATTACATTTCTTTCATAGTTTCTATATCAAGAATTCACAATCTATCAGTTTGTGGGACACATACACATCAACACCAAAGACAAAAAGTTCTGGCAAATATTTATTCACAGAAAATACAATACACAGCCAGGGTCAATACTGTGACCGGCTCAACAAAAAGGGTATTATGTTGAGTTATATACTTGGTTGGAAAGCCCACAATGTAATTATTCATTTAGTATATAATTGAGCCCCATATAGCTCCTCCCGTTTTGGAGATATGACATATTTGCATATCCTTGGAGCTCAAATTACACAACTAAGAAAACAGGCTTTGAAATAGCTGGCTTTAAGTTGTTGTAGAACAACAGAACGATGCACACAAAATGGTTGTTTTTTCCACTTTGTTCATCAAAATCAACATTTCTGTTACCTGAAACTGTAGGTATTAAAGATGTCAATCATGACAAAAAAATGAAAATCACATTTTGACTATGATGAAATTTTCACCCTCTCAATGTTGCGCGGGCCATTACACAATAATGCACAGCGCGACTTAATACTCTTTTTTTTTGTGGAGCCAGTCACATTTTTCTATAACTGATTTCTTGTAATACCCACCTTGTTTGTTTGTGCTTTTCAAATTCTTAATTCCAGTACAAAGTTGGAATTCTTAGCAATTTTTGTTAATGCAGAGTGCGCCCCCCCCCCCCCACGCCCCAAAACCTCCGAAAATTTGCAGTTAAATTGTCACTTCAGTTTGCTTCTTGTGAGTATTTCCGAGGGCTTTAAATCATACCTGCAGTTAACTAAAGTTAACAGCAGGTGCCTTTAAATGGACTGAGTAGTAATGTCTGTTGTAGCAAAGCGTATGGTTAAGGCTGTAGTCAACTAGTTGGCATAAAAAAAACAGGCTTTCTGCGCACAATTCAGGTACAAAGTGAAAGAAGTGGATCATCTTGTTCATGTAAAAATAACCATGGTCCAAGATCGTAAAGGCACAAAGTGTACATATAAGATGTTCACCTTCAAATTAAACTTTGTAAAATAATATGCATTAGCAGTCTGGCTTAAATCTCTACATTTCTGATAAAGCATATGTTCAATCTCATAACTTAAAGGGAATATACATCATTTGCTTTTGCTGTAATTTTCAGAAATGGATGGAATTGGGGGGTTGGAAATATATAGCAAATATAGTTACACTGACTTTTTTGAGGTTTTGGGTTCGAAAATGCTATAAAAACCAAGAAAAACAATCATTTTCCTGTAGTCTGGTTCCCTGACTCCATTTAAGAAGAAACAGAGCAGTTTACATATATTGGGGAATTGTAAGGTCAGGGAACCAGTCTAGCTGGCTTGTACCCGTTCATATAGGTGTGTAATCGATTGCAAACAAGTGCGATGGTCAACTGGGGCCAGTATTTGAAAAAAGCCAGTTTTTTCCAACGCTGATCGGCCGATCAGCGTTGGAAATTGATACAAAAATACCACTTTTCTTGAAAATGACAGTATACCAGGTGCCATGATTTTACAGGATGCTTTACACTGTCATTCACTAACAGTCCAGCAAGGTATTTCAAAATGATTTGGTAGTTTTATTTTTTGATGTTTGCAAATGTTGTATTTTCCCTTTAAGAAGTTAAACATATATATTTTTTTATTATAAAATAAAGCATGCTTCAATATAATGAAATTTCATAATTACGTCTACACGTGGTGCTTTGGCTTAAGTATCATTTTGTGTAATTGCAGAGAGACAAATCAGAAAAAAAGGGAAAAATTGATGCATTCAAATATTGGCTCCATTGCAACTCCGGGATAAAATTGTTGGTGTGTCCTTGCAGTTATTCCCTAACTTTTGGTTTCCATACTCCATCACCTGCGTATCAGCTGGCTAAGCTTTGGGAATAATCTCAGGGCATTCTCAGCAGTGATCCGCATGACTTCCTCTGAGGACACATTCTTTATTTTGGCAATGTACTCACAGCTGATGGAGATGTTCTTGGGTTCATTTCGCGTCTGCGAGGAGTGAAAAATATGACACCAAAATCATCATTAACATTCTACACACACTACACTCAGAAACCACAGTTAATGCACAACATTGGGTGTGCCCCGGGGGGGGGGGGGGGGGGGGGGGGGTGTTAAGAATTGCTGCTCAAGCAAAGTCGAGGAGGGGGGGGGGGTGTTGCTTCCATTCACTACTAGATAGATCCACCATTGTTGAAAGGGGTGGAGTTATGTTCCCCCCCCCCTCTGAAATTAATTTCCCTTTCCCCATGATTCAGTGGGTTGGCTATCACATGACCAATTTGAAATCGGGGATTATAATGTAAAATTTCGGACGGGCCATTCGGGGCAGGAATGTAGGCAGGAATTTCCCCATGGTTAGCTGCAGTTGCAAACTTGAATAGCAAGGAGGAGACACAAACATGTGGCACTAAGATATGTACATGTAGTTCAGTCACTTGTTTGGTATATTACATTGTTCAATTTCTAATCTTTGGCATGTGAAAGACTGTGAAACAGGGTATCAAATGCTCAGTGTGCCCCCTGTACACCTGTGGTTTCATTGTCCCTCTCCGCCCCAAAAGAAAAAAGAAAAATTAATTGAAAACTATTCAGCCAGGCTATACTATTGGCCAGAGGTGGTACCTGTTTCTCGGCAGCAAGTGCTGGGGAGTCAGTCTCCAGAAGGATTCTGTCCAGAGGCAGGTGTTTCACAAGTTTCTGCTTCTTTGAAGAAACAAAAAAGAAAAAGAAAAGTCTAAGAAGACACTGGTACTGTTACGGTTCAATGTTTAATTTCACTACTTTGTATTTATCAACAGCTAAGTTGGCTCAAGAAATGAGAACCTTTTTGAAACTTCCACTATTTTACTCTTGAATGATTTCATCCTGCCACTTTTTAAGGTTAGAATTTTGAGAACAAAGACACAAAAAAATAGCTGAATAGGCTGGAAACTATTTTTCCAGAATTGTCTGTTGCACTAGCGTTAAAACAAATCTGTCCCAGTTCTCTTACTTTCCAAGGCCAAACAAATGGTTGTTCCTCCCCAAAAACCATACACTGTCTGTGAAGTTAATTTCTGCAATATGGAAAGATAAACAGGCCTCCATTTTTGTTCATCCCCCCCAAAAAAAAGAACACCACTCCAATACACCTTCTTTGATCAGGTGATGGTTTGGCAACTTTTTTGTTTGTGTAAATGGGGGAATAAATAACAGAGATTTCATCAAGATTGATAGTTTCACTCAAAATTGAATGCTTTGCTTTTTGCCCTAATCTTTGGATTTCTTCTCGATGACATCATGATTTATGAGATGAAATCTGCATCAGAGCAACGTTAATTTTTATATTGGGTTTTGTGGAACCTGCTGCTATGTCAGACTCGAACCAGCCAGCCAACCCCGGCAAGCTCGGTGGTTGAGTGGTAAGATGTCTGCACTAGTAAGCAGGAGGTCGTGGGTTCGAGTCCCACCCGAGTAAGTTTGTCAATTTTTTCTTGCAAGCCCTCGGACAACACTGAGTATACAGTGTTCAAGAAATACATCGAAGAAGGGCAAAACACAAAATAAAAATCATGATTTATGTTTGCAATGTACATTCTCGTCTGAACAAAAGTTTTTCTTCTTAATTACCTGCTCACTTCTGACAATAGAGGGCGGTATCGAGAAGTAATAGCCACACTCGACACCTAACATGGCATTGGATGGCTTGCCATCGAAAGCATGCAGTAAGACATGTTCTGCACCTAGAGGAAAGAAAACCCTCACAAAGTTTAACATAATTCATGGACAGTCTAAACTGAAAACTGCAAATGGTGCAGCCAATGCGGCATTAACTGCCATGCATTGGTCTTCTTAGCCATAGGCATTGGCCTTCTTAGCCATAGGCATTGTCCTTCTTAGCCATAGGCATTGTCCTTCTTAGCCATAGGCATTGGCCTTCTTAGCCATAGCCAACACTTTTTCAGCCAAAGTGGAACAGACAACTTTGGTGCATTATCTATGGTCGCCTTAATGACCGACGGAGGCCTACCATATGGTGTAATTTGTCAAAAGTGATGATGAAAAGTTTCCTTTCGAGGAGAATGCTTCGTGCCACACTGTACTGTGAACGGTTCCTTACAGCTGGGCAAACAACTGGTCATTTCTTTCAAACTTCTGTTTTGACTACACCTCATAGTGTAAACTACGGACTCCGTACACAAGCTGTAGAGGGTGCTTTGTGACCAATTTCGCAAACCCCAATAGGAGGGCGCTGACACTGGCTTATCTAGCTCCCAGACCTACGTTCTTAAAGCTACAGTCCATCATTTGCAGCTATCCAAAATGTGACTGACGTAATTATTGTTGAAAAACATACTTGGTTGAAAGATAACAGGGGGACTAAACCCCCTGTGAAATTATTCTTTCTGGCAAGCTGTCATTTTGAAGAAATCAACAAAAGGCGGCTTTTCCAACGGTGCTTAAGACGCACCGTTGGAAATGTCCGTTAGTAGTTCGTTTTTTAATTTACCGAAACACGCGCAAGCGTTGACACGACGCACGCGCGCCATCTATAATTCGTTGGATCAGTGCGCGACATCGCGTAAGCTGCATTTGGCTCAGTAAGAACGTGTCTCGGACGCTGAATTCAGGCCCAATTCAAAACACGACTCAGCAACTTTTGATTTGAAATCGAGATCCTAAAATGCTGTTTTTCTTGAAATATGCTGAAGCTGAGCTAAAAATTCATCAGGTTACTTGTTCAGAACCCTACTTTAGATTTTGAGCACGAGCTTCAAACGAACAAAATGCACAAATTACAAATGATGGACTATACCTTTAAAACTCAACGGTTCTTGAGTCTGGAATTCTGAATGGTAACACACAGCAACCGATGAAAACTGGTGCGCAAAAGAAAAGATATTTTCATCGGATGATATCAGCCAGCTCCCACCTCAGGGAGGGACACTGGATGCACGCACTGGTTCGCACCCACATGGCGCAAAGTATGCGTGACTAATTTATTCTGAATATATGCACAAATTCAGTTGTAGCGTCTTTGGGTGAGTGTCACGTGTCTTTAGAAATGCATCCAAACATCCCTCCAAGTGGCCTCTGCCAATAAGCCATTTGCGAGTTAAATTTGAATAAAATCTGGAACGCTGACTTAATACAATGCTTTGCATGTTTTAACCTAGCATTCTCCCGACCAAAGAGACTGTTACTATATCACATGATTCGGGGCAAGCCTTATGCTAGCAACCCCAGCTCCGGCATGGTCTGGTGTCTTTGTGCCATTCTCACCCATTGTGAACGATGTATTAGTGCTGAGCGTCTCTTACGTAACTATGCAAGAGCTTGCCCCGAATCTTGTGATTAGCAACAGTGTCTTGGTCTGGAGAATTCAAAGTTAAAATGTGCCAAGCATTCTGAGCAAGTCATTGTACCAGACGTTTTTCAAATGTAAATCCCAAAGGGTATAGGTTACTCGCAAATGGCTTATTCATCCCTTGTAACATGAACAATTAAGTGGTACACACTGAGTCAATAGCTCGGAAAAACCACTGGTTAAACATGCATAAAACTGTACGTTTATGAAAAAATAATAGCATCAGCCCTGATTACCGTGTTCTTTCAACAGACTTATTGTTGGTCTTCCAGCTGATCTTGAGTGGACATTTCTGAAGAGTAAAAGTAAGATCAAACCTTGTTCAAGGTTAAGATTCAGTAATGAGTAAACTCATCCGCTTAAGTACAATCTGCTTATCTGGTATCTGATTAGCAGAACAGTGAGAAGCAGGTGTTGTCTAAGTGTTCGGCCGGCTTTTCTGGTTTTTCTGGAAAGAGAAAATGAAGCAGTTGGCTACTTTTTTCTGCTGCTTTGGTAAAATCTGTTTTTCAGCTAGCAGAAAAGCAGAAAATGTAAACATTCAAAATGTCCATTCTGATTTTCTGCTCCTTGCACAAGGGAAAAGCAGGAGGGAAATGTAATACCTGCTATATTCAGGTAGCAGAAAAGAAGCAATGCAGAAAATTGGATTTGATTGAAACATAAATTCTGATTTTCTGGTGGCAGAAAGGCAGAAAAGCAGAAAAAAAATGAAACCTTGGAAAACGTTCATATCTGCATTTCTGCTGTTTTGAAAGCAGACAAGCAGATGTCCACTTTTCGTCTTCCATACTAAGTATCTTGTACGATGAAATTTTGGGTTGGGAAATATAAATTGTAATACTGTTTGTATTTCAGCTCAATTTTGAAACAAAAACTGAAGCAAACATCTGAACTAAGGCTCCCATACAGGTTTAGTTTTGTCTTCCCTAAAATGAAAGAACTAACGATAGAGGTTGTAATTACATCAGTACTGTCTTATTAAAATATACATGTACCTAAAAACTTCAGAAGAAATCAAAATATGTTTTAACAAAGTTTGTTGAAAATTTTAGCCTTAATTTCCCGATACGTGTTTAATGAAGCAATTGGTGGATATACGAGCACAGCGGTCACACATACCCAACTGAATTCAAGGGTTTTTTTTACTCACAAAGGCAGATGTAACCTCTTGGCAAGCTCAATCTGTCTGATCAGAACTTCTCGTTGTTCCTGTTTCTCCTGGTCGGTTTTAACAAAACGAGGTGTGAAATCCAGTCCCACCTGGTGATGGCAAATCGTGAAAGACAGCGGTAAATTGTGACAGGAATCGTAAAATGTGCATGGTACTAATAGAATTAAGCCCCACCCACTGTGCTACCCATGAGCAACAACATGTGCACCTGTTAGTGGAAGCAATGAATTTGATCCCGCCTACCTCACCGATGGCTACTAGCTCATCACTGTGAGCCTCAATGAATTCAACAGCGCCCTCAAGGTCGGAATGACGCACACCTCTCTGCTCCTTGGTAGGATCACCCTGCAACCAAGAAATATAATCTACAACCATAACTAATGGGGTTTCATCTGTTTGATTTCATCACTGGGTACTTGAATAATTGGAAGTATCCTCCCCAAAACAAGGATGAAAAGGGATAATGCCAATGGATACTTATTATACGCTTCAATCTTTCCTACATGCAAATACACATTTATTCACCCAGACCAATTCCTGAAACAGGCCAGGCTCCATCATAAAAAGCGTGGGTCATTTAAACAAATTCTTAGGCTTCATCTGCAGCTTCCACTTCAAGCTCCTCCTAATCTTTTTAAGGCTAATAATTTAGCAGATTTTAGCTTAAAATAATTTTCTGCTACAGGAACCTCCAATTCTAAAAAAAAGAAAAGGACTTAATGTTGAGTCATTACATTTCGTATACCCCATTATCTAAAAAAAACAAAAAAAAAACACACTAAGGTTTCAACTGGTGTGTTTTTTTAACGAAAAAAACTATTTTATTCTGATTTTTGGCATTTGCAACCCTCTGAATTTTTCTTCTTATTTTATACAAATTAAGCCGAATAATTGTCTGTTTTTATAATGTCTGGCAGCCAATAATTAAACTTTTGGGAAGAAAAAATTCAATAACTAAACGTTGGTGGATTTTTTCATCTGCTGTCTCATTAAAAAGTGAATAACTGTCACATTGCTAGGAAAAAAGCAATTGAAAAAACAAATCTATTTTTCGAGATGGAAAGAAAATAGAATTGAATGTGGAATACATCTTTAAGCATTAGAGACCAACAAAAGGATTCAGGGCTTGAGACAAAGCCAAACCTGGAGGCAATGCCAAGGTTTGAGAAATGACTTAGCTACCTGGACTGGGTGAATGCCCAGGCATGGCATGATGAAGCCTGCATATTGCTGACTGAGCTCCAGGATTCGGCTAAATTCTCCCTGATGTTCAGCAACGACAAGGGCAGCTCTCACTCCAACCTGCTCGACACAAAAATAAAATATTTCAAAATGTAGTCTGATCAAACTATTGTTGAATGGGTCATAATTAAGGCCAAATAAAAATAAAGTTTCGCGTCCAAACTTTGTAGAAAAAGGAGAATTGCAGACATTTGTTTGTTTTGTTTTGCCATTAAGGATCCAAGATGGCAGGTCTTTTTTTCAGTATCCTCCACTTTCGTGAGAATTTTTTCCAAGACGGCGGATGCTGTTTTTCTCAAAATTGCCATCACTTTTCTTAAGACTAGTTTTTTAACCTCAAAGTCAAAATGGCTACTCGTTCATGTTGAAAATATACATTGAGACACAAGATATTTCTGATTGTGACAATGTATGAAAATACAGCAGATTTTGCAGTTAAAAAAGTGAAAAGTAAAACAAAACAAAAATTCGGCAGGAAAAAAGGATGCGGGCGGGGAAGAGAAACTGGTGGTATATATTTTTTATTCAGCCTAATGGCAGTGTTTTTTTTTTTCAAATCAACATGATCAAGTTAAAAGAAGTTAGGAGAAAAAAAGGGAAATATTTACCTGTTTTGCTCTTTCAATCACATCTCCAATATCCTATTAAATGGCAAAAATCAAAGAAAAGTAACCCATGACTTTCATCGCAAAAGATCCAATAAAAAGTAATCACGTTCACACAAAGTTTGTACTCTGTACTCCAAATGTTGAACATAAAGCATTCTCTTCTTTTTCTATAATCAATAGACTGAACTGCTGAGCCGAAAGGGTTAAACTATTATTCAGGGCGGTAACTGCTAATCCCAAACTTTTAAGTTTCACAAAATGATCTTTCTTTTCTTGATTTGAATAATTGTTAAGTTGTATACATACAAACAAGCTTAGTGAACAATTGAACTCCTTTTTTGAAAATTCCTTTATGTCTTTGTTTGTTTTCGGTTACTGTTTTTTAATAGCTTTGAGTTTGAGTTGAGATGCAAATAAAATTAATTACAAAGTAGCATGGGCAGGGTGACAATACCGACATTTTGACATTAAAGGGAATATACAACATTTGCAAACATCGAAAAATAAAACTACCAAGTTTTTACGAAATACCTTTACTAGGATGTTGGTAAATGACAGTCTAAAGCATCCTGTAAAGTTATGGCACCTGGTGTGATTCATTTTCAAGAAAATTGTATTTTTGTATTCATTTCCAACGGTGGTCGGCCGACCACCGTTGGAAAAAACAAACTATTTTTCAACTACTGCTCCAACTTTACACTTTTTTCAGTCCAAATTTTGTTTGCTATTGGTTACATGTTCATGAACGGGTGCAGGCCAGCTAGACTGGTTCCCTTACCTTACAATTTTCTGGCATTAAATTATAAATTGATCCATTTTATCTTAAGTTTAGTGGAGCCAAGGAACCAGACAACTTGAACATTTTTGTTTTTCTTGGTTTTTCCAGCATTTTCGAACAAAAAAATTTCAAACATGTCAGTGTAACAATATTTGATCTATTAATGTATTATACTAACCCCTCAAATAGTTCATTTCTGAAAATTACAGCAAAAGCCAATGATGTACATTCCCTTTAATCATGTTACTGAATTAAAACAACAAAAGATGCCCTCTAAGATGGCAGCTATAAAAACGCATAAGCCAGGTCTATAAATGGACAATGAGGGTAATAGCGGCCATCTTAGAGAGCATCTTTTGTTATTTTAATTCAGTAACAACGAATGCAAAAAAGTTCATGCATATCCATCTAGCAGAAGTAGCACTAGCATCCGAGCAAAAAGGCATTAATGCCCTCTGAATGGCTGAATGTTTATTATTTACGACATTTAATTACGTGAAGATGCGTTTTAACACTTGATGCATCACCTCATTGAATTCTCCCGCAGACAAGTGGCAGTGAGCATCTATGTACATATAATCATTAGAGTCCGGGTCCATGATTTACGTCTCGAGCAGAACCGCCGGCGGCATTCAGTTGGAGATACTCGCCCGAGTTTCCCGACCCGGAGGCTGCGTAACCAAAGTGCAAAAAATTCCAGAAATAGCGTAGGAATTAAATATTGTGTGTCTCATACCCTGTCACCCTTAAGAAGAAATTTGTATTCATTTCAGCGAAGCTTTTGACACCCGACTAAATTCGCGGGAACTTTGTAAAATAGACTGCTACCCAAAGTGTCGAGCATCATTATTCACACACAAGATTGCCAGGGACACAGGGCACCATCCCATATATTTGATTCTCAAAATGGCGTCTGAATGCCCTGCCTCGACGTCAACGTCAACTGAAACAAGGATTTCATGTTACAGTAAGCGATCTCAAGAGGCAGCAAACGAAAGATTATTTACCGCCATTGATGGAGTAATCGGGAAGAATACAGAGTGGTCCGAGGAGCAGAAAGATCGACTTAGACGGAGGTTTCGAGAGGTTGGTATATGACGCCTCGGCCAGCGAACACTGACGCCACACACGGGCACGGCAAATGCACGGCCGGCCACGCGCAAGCCAGTGGCCGCGCGTGGTTAACTGGTGCGGTTGTGCGCTTTCTTACAATTTGCGCAATCTTAAGAATGAGCGCTCATTCTTAAGATTGCAGGGGAATATTACTTGCGCAATTTATGAATTTTGCGCAATCTTAACAAACACTGCACGGCATTATGTGAAATTAAACGTATTAGATTTAGAGTAGAGGTTAAAGGGGAAATAATCATATGGCAAGAAAAGAAAATGATCTGTGCTTCTGTACTAATTGTTGAACTACGATAATTTGAATTCAATTAAAGCCGTTATTATTGCTGTTTGCCTGTCCCCCGATGGGACATTTTTTAATAACCATGATAACGGAGGACTGGGAACTAGTCTGGGAAGTGCTTTGTTTAGCATGTCTATACGTTTTTATTCAGAATTCTTTCCACCAAAATTATGTCTCTTATTATTTCCCCCAATATGCATAAAACTTTCATCTCTACTGTACATTGTTATGTCTTTTCCCTAGTGAATTTGCATTGCCACAGTATAATTATTTATGTACGGCCAAAGAATTAATCAGTGAACGAGGATGCAGCTAGACTCGTCAAGCACAGCCGGTTCTCGGTATCGAAAAGATCGCTTCTCTTGTTGCACATTCTTAAGAATGTGCGCTCAATCTGGAAGATTTTTTTTGTCGAAGATTGCGCAAGGATCCAGTTGCGCAATCATAAGAATGCGCATGCACATTCTTATGATTGCGCAAATGGCAAGAAAGCGCACAACAACGCCACGCGTACGGGCACGGCACGGCCACGCGCACGCCGCGCAGCCGCGGCCGGGCGTGGTTGGCTGTACCACATAAAATTAAAAAGGCCCAGTCCTGGTCACACCAATCAACTGCACCCCACTTATGATTTCGAGCAATTTTTGGAAAAATTCCCAAATATCAGCCATCAGAAAGTGATGTTTTGTTTTACAAAGTCAAATTTTGCAGGGAGAATATTGAAGTATTTACTGAGAAAACACTCGAAAACGTCACGCAACACGTCATTTCGCCAGTATTATAAGTACTTACATAATGAAGCTTTCTGTAAATTCATGCGTGCCTAGGATTTTGCATTGCCAAGTAATTTGAGGGAAAAAATGACCTCAACACAGTCAACAAATGTACGAGCAGAACTTTTGATTTTCTGAGGTACAATGTATGCACGTTACGCATTGCGCTGGTACTCCAACTTCCAAGTCATGCACGCACGAAATGGTAGGAGCCGTCCGGGTACCTGTAAAATGTCGTGCGTCGAGTGTTTCTAGACAACTCTGGAGCTTGGCTATGATATTTATAGCCATGTTTACGGGTCTATCTTCAGGCAGGCTTGATTTTTTCTTGAAAATTAATATTTAGTAGGGGCATTTTACTTTTTGTACTTTTTTTTCGTTTGAAGCAGAAAAAAATAATTCACGGGTCTAGCCTGAAGATATCCTTGTGGTCTGTCAGTGAAACATGTGTGGAAAAACATTCAAATTTTGGAATAAGAAATTTCTAATTCCAACTAGAAAATATTTCGAAAAATTTCATGAATCCAGTAAACTTTGCTCACAACCATCAAAGTGGCAACCATTGTAGCATTAATTAAAGTTGTGAAGGGTTGGAGAGACACTCCCTTTGGTGACAAATTCACTTTTCAGTCTTCTCCTACGTCCTAGGCAGCCCTCACTGTCCCGTCTTGTCAATTGTTTGTTGCTGCTGTCTTTATGTATTAATTGTAGCAGCTTTTAAAAAAAAATCTCTGAATGTACTTGTATGTGAATTTGGTTTTTATGTGTTTATCTTGCGTGTAATAATGAATGCGTGGATAAACTTATACTATTAAACTAAACCTAAAACCTGTAAAACTCCTGGCTAAAACTAGCTTGAGAAGCTCCAGTTCCAACCTGCCAATGTACAGCATGCAGATCACTGCAAAAGTTAAACACAAACTGTCTGGTCTACCCAAGTGGAGTTGGCTGTCATTTTTGCAGGTTTCTGTATCTGAGCCATTCCAGCGTTTTGCAAATAAATAAAATATGTAATGCCCATGCCAGAGCCAGTTAACCATGAGATCTAATAAATGATTCAGAGAAATTATCCAAAACTCGGAGTCTGTAATCTCCTTGACCATTACCAGATGATGGATGTACAAGATTTGAAAAATGCATTATCAGGTTTATTCACTGAGCTCCTACAGTACAAAAAATTGTCTGATTTGTTATGTCCATGACTATGACGCTGGAATTGCCGCCTTCGAAATACAACCTCCCAAATTATACGTTTGAAAAAAAAACTGAACTTACCCCATATTTTACATTTTCATACAGGTGTACAAGAATTCCCTACATGAAAACTGCACTGTTGACGGCCAGTCATGGGCCGAGGCTGTTGATGATGCCGACACAACAAAAGGTTAGTTTGGCAAACTGCACCTGAAATCTTTTACTTTTCGGGGTTTTTAAAAAAATGCTGAGGAGAGATTCCCATATCTGGCCGTCACTTGTCATTCTGTGCACAAACCCTATGAGACTGGTTTGAAAATTTCTAAGTATTTTCTCAGTAAGTACTTTATAATGTTTCCCTGCTAAATTTGCTTTTTTTTTAGGACATGTCACTTTCTGATGGCTGATACCGGTAGGTCACTGAAGGGAAAACTTAGTGATGGCCAAATATGGGAATCTTTCCAATCCGAAGTGTAACAAGTTCAGCAAATCAAGATTTAGCAAGAGTAGCCTGGATGTCTTATGGACCCCCGTGGCTATTTTGAATGACCAATTTCTTATGCAAATGCATAGATAAGAGCATGAAACGTCATCAACGTGGACTCCCTGTTTTTCAATTCAAGGCAGATTTGAGCAACCACTTTTTAAGATCCTGTCTACAGCCCTGTCGCAAATGTGATTATTATTATTATCATGAAATAATGAGTAAACAATAAGCAATGGTTTTACACAAATAGAGTGTGCAAGTCTCGTCGGTCCCCGTTCACTTTTTATGTGAACGTCTTGGTACCAAACAAAAACTAGTTTAGTCACAGACCTCGCGTTTGATTTTTTTTACCCAATTGTTATCTGTGTGAGTGATTGAACGGAAGTTGATGTCAACATTTTAAAAAAATTTAAAGTCATAAATTCGCAATGTTTTGTAAATTGTATTGCTTTTGACAAAATACCAATTTATTGCCCTTGATTGGATGGGCCCGGTCAGGACACAAAATAAATGATAAAATTATACATGTAATATAGTGCCCGGATGTAACTATATTCTCATAAAATCTAGTAGGTTTTCGAGGTCGAATTGGACGCACTATTGACCCTAACTCCCTAGGCCTTTTTGCTAGGATGTAGCCTCAATCCTGCAAAATCCTCCATTTGGCATCATGGAAAAATAGCATATAGCCTCAATCCTGGAAATTCCTCCATTATTTCTTGAATGTGGTCTATGGAGGGGTGACCACTGCCTGAATCCTGCAAAATCCTGTGGCAGTGACTGTCAATATATTGAGGCTTGCCCAGTGACATCCTGGAGCAGTACGGAGGATTTCAAACATAATCCAGGCCTATATTTATGCATGGCTGAGCAAAAACAACACACGGTCCAGCCCAAGACCTTGACAAAGTGCATGCAACAGAATCAGTAACACACTTTTGCCATGTAACCTCAATCCTCTAAATTCCTCCACTTTGGCAAAGAGGATTGTGAAGGATTCAGGGCGGTTAGGGTTAAACAGAATGGAATGAACCTTGCATATCTAGCAATGTTGAGTAGTAGTCCATAATCTGTGTGGATTAAAATTATAATTTCTTTCCTTTTTTGGGCAGAATTTGAGCCAGTGGATCTGAAGAAGAAAGGCGATGCTGAGCAGATGGCCGCTGATCTGGATTCTCTGATTGTGGTGACAGTAGCCAAGAGGAAAGAGTTCCCGCCAAGACTGAGTCAGCAACTGGCCAAGAAGCTTCGATGTCAGCACACTGCTGCAGTGAGTATGCATATCCACAAGTGTAATTATGCCCACATTTTGGTTGAATTCAACATTGAATTTTCCTCCACCAGTGCATTTCATAAAAACCAGGGGTGAGATTTGTCAGGATTTGTTTTTCCCGATTTCAGGATTTTTTTGGTGAAGATTTTTTTGTCAGGATTTTTTCAAATATTGATCAGGATTTTTAAAGAATCCCTTTGAAGTCTGGAAATGCTGAGGTTTTACGGTAATGGTGTTTTAAGCTATTAATTTTTACGTTCAACAGAAGAAGTGGGTCTTAAATAAGTTCATCTGGATTGTTGGTCAAACATGAACTTAGGGTATTGAAAGGGGTGCCTTTAGGCAAATACATAGCATAGACCCTACGTCGTTTTGGGGCCCTCAGCGACCCCTAAACCCTCTGCTGATTATTTTGTGGATTTTTTCATTTTCTCCCAATCTCACTCCCGAAAAATTGTTAGGGCTGTGCCAAATGTACCGAGTATTTGAAAACTTGATCGTCCGACGAATATCCGGATAGCATTTTTCCAATTTGAATGTTTGAGAAAAAAAAAGTGGTCTCAGGAAGATGTACATGTAGAGCAATGCCTGTGATGTCAATTTAATGGTACATGTATAAGTTTGCATCTTTAAAATCTTTCAAGTATCAGCTAGTCGGCGACATAAAAATTATATATCAATAATGTTGTTCACCCGAATCCTGACCAGTGGACCATTTGATTTTCGATCAATGTAGTTAAATATCAACCAGGGCGTTGGTCTTGGTCCAGGACATCAGTGATTGATAGCGATGGTTGCATTGTTGTGGAGTGCCCTTGCACAATTGTTTTTTTAGGTTCTCGCACTAACGTCTTAGGAATCTTGCAGTAAGTGGGGCGTGGCTGTTTTATGTAAATTAGACCATTGGTGTAAATATTAATATCTTTAAATAAACAAACGGCGGCTTCCCATTTTTGATACCAGTAGTCACTCGTGTGGGGGTATCTTCTCGTTGCATATCTAATTTTGGCGCGCGAGCACGCGCGACTGACTATATCATAACCATTTCGCGATCATAACCATTTCGTGATCGCTGATTGGTTCCCTAGGAAAGCCTAGAGAGAAAATAAAGAAAAAGTTAAACGGCTTCTACAGGATTCCCAAGACGTTAGTGCGAGCAGGCGTGCTGGTCTAATCATGCCGTTAGATATGCAAGATCCACTATCGATCACTAGCAACTAGGGCCAAGACTACCAGGGCATGTGCATGCACTTCCTGACTGTCACGTGCAATTTCCGACTGGCGCATTCAGGCTGTTCCGGTGCAGAAATTATTTGCTGTGACTGGTAGAATGTGTTGCAGAATATTCTACAGAAAAGTTTGAAGTGATTTTTCAAATTGCTGATTGTGTTTATACTTTCCACAGGAACAGCACAAGCCAGTCATACCAAAGGCCATTGAGGACCACAGCCCAATACTGTCTGTACAAGGTCAGTTTTCCTAATGGAACTGAAACATTCAAAACACTCCCTGAAAGAATGTGTGCTTTTTACACGATTTTTTTCAAAGTTACAATGTTACAATCTTTTACCCTTCCAATATGCAGTATTACAGTACATAAGCAAAATGGAAAAGGGAGGAATTGTTTTTGAAGAATGGATGTTATAATTCACAATGAACATTAAAGCACGTAACACATGTTCAAAATAAAATTACCATATAAACAATATAAATCCATTACTTGCTATTGCGGTATCCAATCAGGATACAGGAAGAAGGTTACTGATCCAGGGGTTACTATTAGAAACATGGCTGGATATAAAGTAAGCCCTGGGGACGAGGCTGGATGCCACCTTGTTTATTAAAAAGACATTATTGGTATATTTTTGGTATATTTTAATGAAAACATGCCTGACTGAATAATTACATAGATTATTGGGTCTAAACTGACGTAAGCTATTTATGAAATATAGCACATTTATTCATGGTTTTGAAATGTAACATATTTCCTTTTGTTTTGTTTTTCATTTTAAACAGATGAGAAGGATATCTCAAGCCATGTAACCACATTTAGTGATCAAGTGTCTGTTCTGTCAAGGGTGAGAGTTTGAAATCTTTAAGTTCTTGTTAAAGTAGTGAGCACAAATTGTACCATGGCGTGTCCCTTAACCACTTGCCGCCGGGATTACTTTCAGCCGAAAAACGCCATTTTGAAAAAAATGGCAAGATATATTGGCCAAATTTTAAAATGAAGTCAAACACCACAAATACCGACTCTTGAGAGTCACTTGTACAATATTTGTACGATACTTCTCACCGTAACTTTGTATTTTGCAACACTGGGAGGCCCCGCCATGGAGCGATATTTACTACGACGACAGGCCGTGTGCAGCGGCCAAGTTCAAGTTCAAAACACAGGTGTGCATAAAACCACAGGGAGCCACTGAGGTGTGTGCACGTCCACTGCCAGAGACTCGGGGAAAGCTTGACGATTTAACCCGTCAGCCGCCCCTGCGAGTATACATTGCCAGATCGTGTTGACACGTCCTCCAGCGTTGACTGGTTAAGTGTGGTCAAAAGTCACAGTGTATGACTCTGCATGGGCAGGCAAAATCAGACGCATCCTGATCCAGTTTTTATTAACAAAAGCAGATGCATTCTCTTAAACTTTGCACTGTTACCACATTCTGAGGAAGCAATCAATGTTTGACATTCTGCATTGACGGTTCAGAATCAATTGTGCTAGTTTATGATGACCTAGCAGTTTTCTTACTTATTTCACCCTTGCATCTGATTTGTGTCTTGCCCATTGAGGTAAGGAGTAAATGTCTTGAAAAGCTTACTCCAAGAGCCTGAGTACCATGTTCACTGTTGAGATTTGTAATCGCACTTTGTTTTCGTAGTTTATTCATATTTTTTGGTTTTGCTTATTCTTTTTTCCAGTTATTGCCAGACCTGGAGGACAAGGCCGGCCGGATCTACGAATCCCTGAATATTCATGCCAGTTTAGCCACCAACAAAACCCAAAGAGTTATCACCCAACCCGCGAAGAACGAATCCAAGATGGCGGCCTCCTTGACACCCCTCAGGACCCAAGCCGAAGCCGATGAGACACCCACGGCCATCCCACAGAATGATGCTGCTGCAACGAAGAGGCAAAAGCTGACCGCTCAGATCCATAATCACCCAATCAAACGCTACAAGTCCAGACCTACAGACGCTGTCAATCCCACATGATGGGGGTGGGCTCATTTTTGGCAGGGTTTTGTTTTTGGTTCTGTTTTTGCTTTTCTTGGGGGGGGGTGGTGGTTACTTTCTGTTTTACTTATCACTATGCACGTAGAATTGGTACTGGTTTGTAAAGGGACGCCGTTGTTGTAGTGGAGTCCAACTCAGACGTGTGAGTTACTTGCTACCAAACTCATAACACTGACGTAAACTTAACTTGGAAGTCAGGAACACATGCCGGACAAACCAAATGTGCTTCAGGCATTGATGAAAAGTGCACTTTTATTTATTTAGGTTTTGATTTGTTTTCGAAAATTTACTTAATGTGCCTTTCATATATAAATGATAGATTGACTGATTGTTTTATAAGATGGAATTTGCATCAGGGTGATGTAAATCAATATTAGGTTTTGCCCTTCACCGATGTATAAACACTGTATACTCAGTGTGTTACCTCCCGAGTGAAAATCAGAACAAAACTCTCGGGTGGGACTTGACCACTGAGCTTGCGGGATTGGTTGGCTGGTTGGAAGCTGATGTAGCAGCGGGTACCACAATGAAACTATTTATCAGATTCGAACCAGCTAATAAACCAATCCCGCTAGCTTGGTGGTCGAGTTATAAGACATCTGCACTAGAAAGCAGGGTTCGAGTCCCACCTGAGTGATTTTTTGTAACTTTCACTCGGGAGGTAACACATTGAGTGTACAGTGTTTTATACATCGGCTGAAGGGCAAAACCTAATATTGATAAATGATTTTTGTAGAATCTCATGAATTAAGTTTGCCAGGATGCAGTTGCGTAAAAAAATCTGAGGGAATTTTGAGCCAGTTTTGTTGATTTTAATTTTTTATTTTCTTTTGCCTTGTTTTTAAATAGTAGAATTTTGTACATATATGTAGATATAGGTGTACCTGAAAGTCAGCATCAAAGATATTGGTTGTTATATAACTTGACATACAGATCCTTGTCATTTGATTGGTGGAACTCACATCACGTGACATTCGTTATTACTGCCATTCACGCCGGGGCTCAAAAAGTACTTTCCGCCCATGGAGAATGGGAAATACTATTGAACAGTTAGGATCAGTCTTATTCCATGACGTGGTATATGTGTGCAAATGCATGCTGGTGTGCGCATTCAGCGTTGAGCGTAGCGCGTAGTGTTCCAAAGAGCCAGCGCTACAGCGTTGGGTTCAAATATTTTCGTGAAGGGGTGGTTTGGAAGAGAGAAATACATTTTTTCACCAATTTTGTATTGAAATAAAAGTTCAAATATATCAAATGACAAGGATCTATATGTCAGTTATATAAAACAAATATTGAGTGGCTTTAAATTGTGAAATGGGAGGAATATTATCGCTCGTTAAAATCTGGACTTTTCCAGTTCACTCGGCTTCGCCATGTGAAATGGAAAAGTCCAGATTTTACCTTGCGATAATATTCCTCCCATTCCACGCTGAGCCACTCAATATTTGTATAATATCTTTGCAAACAATTGTATATTTTTAAAACAACATATTGTTGTGCACTGTAAAAATTTGAAATGTAAACGTGGAGGAACTTTTTTGTGTTAAATCATCAGAAAGAAATGTCTCCCATTGATGAAATGCAAACTCAACAGCTATGCAAAAGGCATAAAAAATTGTGCAAGAAAACACTTTGTGTGTAAGATCTGTTTATTTATTTATTTACATGTTGGCAGTGCTTTACACACTTACCAATGCCAGACCTTGGAATTTGTCATCAAAAAGTCTAGTTCCATTAAAGGTAGAGTCCATCATTTGCAGCCATCCGAAAAGTAACTGGCGTAATTATTGTTGAAAAACTAACTTGGTTGAAAGATAGTAAGGAGACTAAACTCCCTGTGAAATTATTCTTTTTGGGAAGCTGTCATTTTGAAGTAATCAACGAAAGAAGGCATTTCCAACGGTGATTCTTAAGAAGCACCGTAGGAAAATTTAAATTAGTAGTTCGTTTTGTTATTCAGCGAAGCGCGCACAAGTATTCGAGCGACGCACACGCGCGCGCGGTTGTTATAATTCGTCGGATCAGTGCGCGACGTCGCGTATAGTTGCAATTCAAAACAATTCAAAACATGATTCAGCAACTTTTGATTTGAAATTGAGATCTTAGAATGCTGTTTTTCTCGGAATGTACAGCTGAAGCTTAGCTGAAACTTCATCAGGTTAGTTGCTTAGTATCCTTCATTAGATTTTGAACACTTTTGTTGCTTCAAAAGAACAAAATGCACAAATTACAAATGATGGACTCTACCTTTAAAATAGAACATTGAAGCAGTATACATGAACAGTCGACTCTCGTTAATACAAACTCAGCCGGAACTAAATATGTTTGTTATATCAGAATTTTGTATTAAGCGGAGTGCCGGTCCCATTCATTGTGCACATAAATGCACCGTCTGTACCGAGGCCTTATGTTTGCTATAACCAGAATTTGTATTAACAGCATTTGCATTAACGAGAGTCGACTGTACATTCACATTTGGAAACATGCCCTCAAACTAGGTGAAGAGGATTATTTGAAATTCATGACCAATTCCATTCCGAATACAATTGAACTCCAAAAATGGAGAAAAATTTTTTTTTTAAATGTGGAAGTTGTAGCTCCATGGAATTAAATAATTTTTTTTCAAGAAACTCTTTAATTGGACTTGTGCACAAATAAAATTCTCTGTGGCAAAACAATTTAAAAATTTTTTTTTAGTGAGGGTTTCTCAGTTTCACTTGCATCATTCGCCTATGCTGGGGGTGTTCTCATGTCGGTTGAAACATATTGAACATGTTCTTAGCAATGCCTTCCCCACGCTGACTAACTGAAGTTTGATTAACATAAATTGGTGCACCTGTAAGGTGCCTTAACTTTGGTTAAGTATGATTCATGGAGCCACGTTACAGCTCTTGCGTGGAGCGTACGGACTTGGTTAAAAAAACATGAGACTACTTCAACCCTTAAAAATTTACGTGAGAAAAACGTTTACTTTCTAAAGTTAGTTGTACAGAAGTCGGTGGTGCTGGCAAAAGAACAAGCGTGCATGACATGTTTGTGACATTTCTTTAAAAACTAGACACTTCTGAATTGAGCTTTGACCAAAAAGTGATATATATATATATATTTTTATTTTCATTGCAATTTTTGCAATCCTACATGTAGATATCTCTTTTAGAAGACCCTAACTTTGCCTCTAAAGGTGATTTTTTTTTTAATGATTTGTAGCTATGTATCAATTCAAAGAAACTCTTAACAGGCAATGTTTCTACTGCCACTTTTGCGACATCACAATTCACAAACCTCTGTTTTGAAAAATGAAAGTGTCATTGTGTGAGGGCAGAGCTGTATCTTCGCAACACTTAATCAACCCGTGTTCAGCTAGTTGCCTGGAAGAGTGTTTTCGACAGAACAAGTCTCATATATGAGCGATAGTGATACACTCAAGTCCATTTCAGTGCCATTGCCTCTTTGGGCCCACGATTGATCACATTTGTCTTCAATTATGCTACAGGTGTTACATTCAGATAAAAATTGGTTGCGCCGTTCTCCTCGTCATCTGCTCTAGAACCAGGGCGTGCATGTACCTGTCCTTCAAACACTGGCTCTGATGAATTGCTAACACTAGTACCATCCACTGAATAAGCAGAGATTCCACAGGTCTGCAGAACAAACCACACTCCTGCAGCATTTATGTTCTATTGTCTTATAATGAAGAGTTACACAGCTTTGCAAACTGGAGTAATCTCCGTTAAGCCAGCCAGTCACTTCAGAATTCGGAGGTCAGCACATGTTGCCATGGTCGCTAAGTCGTCCGCTTTTCGTGTGTTACATTGTGGAATTCAAAAAGTTGAGCAGCTCGCGTCTATTCAGATCACGCTGTGAATGAAAAAAAAAAAAAAATTGTCAACATTCCCATAGTACTGTTTTATGAAGCCTATACCTTTTAATAGGACAACAAAATTCCACGATTTTCCATGACCAAATTATGAAAATCCACGACCTAGTTCATCAAAACGCAGATCAAAACTGTAAAACTTGTTCTGTGAAAAGTGCTCAACGGAAACAGAAACACAACCAAACAAAACAATAACGTCTTTCAAAATCATAATGCTTGTATCCTCAAAATTTGTCACATTTTGTTGGGTACAAAATCAGATTCCTGCTACTAAATGATGAATATACAAAGTTTAAAATTTAAAAAGTTGGTCCTCACAAAATTCTACCACTTTTCAAGGCCTGGAAATTGAAAATAAAATTCTATGGCTTTTCCAGATTTTTTTCCAGGCCACAGGAACCCCGATGAAACTTTTACTGGACCTAATGTTTACCAGTCATTATTAACTCTTTGTTTTGTTAGGTACGCTGTGTGGCCAAAAACTAGCACTGTTTTCTTGTGTTTAGGGCTGTCCCAAACATACCGAATACTCGAATATTCAATCATCCGAATATTGGAATGGCTTTTTGCCAGTTTGAATATTCGAAGAGAAAATCTAACTAGAACGGCGAAGCCGCCATGGCTCGCTGTCCAAGGCAGGAAGGGAGGCTGAAGGTAGGGTTGAGGATGGGCATGATGGAAGGGGATCAGGATTCTTGTTGATGTGCCTAGGTGTAGGGGTCAGTTTTTAAATGTCAACATAAAAAGTCAACAGATTACCTAATAAATACATGTGTATATAGGTTAGCCGTCACTGTATCATGGGGGAGTTTTCCATTGTTAGGGTAATTAGGACCCAGTTGTGGATTTTTGCAGCCCCAACAGTGTCTTCTGCTCCCCATACTTGTATTACCATGGGAAAACTCTTGCGTAGTCGCCACAAATGCAGAACAAGAATGGGTATACATGTACATGTAGACACAGCACCATCACCACCTCCCCCAAACCTTACCCCATCCCAAAACCTTACCCCATCCCCAACCCGCCCCCTCCCCCTCCCCCACCCAACCCCCTACCCACACCCATTCCATCCTCCCCTAATCATCCCCACCCTATCACCAACACATCCAAACCCCACCCAAACTCCAATCCCCATCTCCTTCCCCCTCCCCTGACCCGTACCCTCCCCTACCCCAACCCCCTACACCCACCTACCCTATCTTCCCCTATCTGTCCTTACCCATCCCTACACATCCCCACCCTAACCCTTACTCGAATTCCAATATCCCGCCCACCCCATTCCCCCACCCATACATCCCCAACCTGACCCCATGCAACCCCTACTCTGATCCCTATATACTGCCCCCTCCCCTTATCCAACCCCTACAACAACCCATCCCTACCCATCGCCAACCCAACCCCTACTCCGATCCTATATCTCGCCCCCTGCCCAACCCCCTCCAAACCCAACCCCTACATCCATGCCTATCCTCTCCCTACCTGTCTCCCCCTACCTGTCTCTCCCTACCTGTTCCCACCCCACCCCTACAAATCCCCACCCCACCCAAACCCAGTATTCCAACCCCTCTCCCCACCCCACCCCACCTCAACCCGCCCCGCCCCACCCATCCTAGCTCCCCTACTCATCCTACTCACACAAACCCTAACTCCAACCCTATCCCCCACCCCACCCCACCCCACCCTCCCCTACCCCATCCCTACTCCAACCCCATCAACTAAAAGATCAAACCAGAAGCTCATGCACATCCCCAAAATGCATAGTGTACATGTACATGTTATACCGGTATACACACATGTACATGTTATACCAGTATACATGTACATGTACATGTACATGTAACAATTAAAAACTTTAACATTTCCTTGAATTAAAGTTCCTCAATAAAATCATAAAATTTACTGCAATGATATGAACCTAACTGAAGTTATAGGCCTAGAGATGATACCTGAACACTGCATTTAATTTTTTCCCCCAAGTTATAAACTAGAACCAAAAACTTCAACATTTTTATCTGAACGCGGACGGACGGACGGACGGACGGACGGACGGACGGACGGACGGACGGACGGACGGACGGACGGACGGACGGACGGACGGACGGACGGATGGGCGCCTGGACAGACGGACGGAAATTGGTATTACATAGGCTCGCATCTGCTTCGCAGCTCGCCAAAAATGATGCACACACACACAACTGTGATGTTATTTTATTGTAAAGTTGTGGCATTTACTGTCAGGTGCCACTTTTTTGTTGAAGGTAACTTTTTTGTCGACGGAGGTTCATTGTTCCCATCCTTTTAGCAGGTTGAAGCCCTTTTACATTTATACAATAATTACTGCAAAACACTCCAGCGCCCCATATCAATCGCCGCATGCCAATTTAACCGGCACACTCTTTGTGCAACTTTTGACCGGCACAGCCTTGGGTTGCAGCTGGCAGTTTCGAATATCTGAATATTCAATCAAACGCAGTTTCGAGTAATTGAATACTAAATTATTTGAAAATGGACAGCCCTACTTGGGTTGCTCACTGCGGATCCCTTGTTCTTCGCAAGAGAATTTAGAAGTGTGCCCTCTTGGTTTTTTTTTGCCATGTGTTTGTTTATGAAAAGGAACTTTTGTTCTCAGGTGTCTGTCAAAATCACTCCGCCTGTTCTACACTCTAGAATTTGAAAACCTACATGGATCCAACTCAAAACCCATTCTACAGTTATTTTCTACAAACAAACACCATGACTCTTCAACTCACCTCTTTGTCTTTGCTGGATTTCTTGACTTTCATCTTGATCTTCTTCCCCGAGATTATACTCCTTTTGCCGTCCTGCTTCTTTTTATCCTTGATGAACTGGAAGCAGCAACAGATACAAAAATATCAACAATGGATATGATAGAAATTGCTGAATGTGGCTTTAAAAAACTGCTGGTGGTTTTTTTTTTGGGGGGGGGGTAATACCTGTCCATCCTCGGGAAGAACCTGCTCTCACCACTGGTTCATCAGAACCAACAATTTCTCCATAAAAGATGGAGTTGTATTTAAGTCAACAACAAGTGAATCACCAAGCAGGTAACCAAGTACAGGAAATGACAAAGAAATGCCTTTATCCTAGTTCAACTTAAAGGGAATATACATTTGCTTTTGCTGTAATTTTCAGAAATGGATGGATTTGGGGGTTTAGTATTTCATAGCAAATATTGTTACACTGACTTGTTTGAAGTTTTGTGTTCGTAGGTGCTGGAAAAACCAAGAAAAACAATCATAAGTCCTGTAGACTCGTTTCCTGACCCCACTTACGATGAAACGGAGCAATTTATAGACGCCGGGGAATTGTAAGGTCAGGGAACCAGTCTAGCAAGCTTGTACCCATTCATAGGTGTGAAATCGATTGCAAACAAAATGCGTTGTAACTAAATATGGTAAATTGGGGGCAGTATTTGAAAAAAGCCAATTTTTTCCAACGCTGGTCAGCCGACCAGCGTTGGAAATTGATACAAAAATACCACTTTTCTTGAAAATGACAGCACACCAGGTGCCATGATTTTACAGGATGCTTTAGACTGTCATTCACTAACAGTCCAGTAAGGTACTAAGGTTTTGTTTTTTGATGTTTGCAAATGTCGTATATTCCCTTTAACACAAGACCTGAGGATTGATGACTTGTGATTGACCTTTAACAACTCATGACCACTTTCAACTCTGACTATTTTTCAGTGGATTATCTGCAAACTTCATTTGGTCATTCCAAGATTCATTCCTACCATGCAAAGCCTGAAATCCTACTTGTCCACTGTTGTGATACGAACTGCCATGAAAATATATTTGGGGTTGGGTTTTGCTGACCCCTCTTTTCTACTAGCAATGTCTAAGTCATTCCTGACAAACCTGTCCAACAGGAAGCTTCATCCCCGCCCCCCCAAAAAAAACAATGGAAGTTTAGGTTATCATACCTTGGAGAGCGGCACTGGTCCTGATGGGGACTTGTCCTCAGTCTTCTTCTTTCCCTTCGACTTCTTTTTGTGACTCTTCTGTTAAAACAAATATGATGATATTAAAACAAGGATGGAAGTGCCATCATTAATTGTTGTTCATGTTAACCCTTTCATGCCCACATTGTTTATTGACTTGGCTCTCCCCAGGACCAAATTGTTTGCTCAGTCATGCGGAAATCAGTAGAGCGTGAAAAAAATGAGCACGAGTCAAAAACTCACTTTTTTTCAACCCAGATTTTCACTGCCAAGGAGTGATTTAAATCATAAGTGTTGTGTGTAAAGTTTGTTCCTTGAACCTTACTCTTTTATGTGATGTAAAAATGAAGTCCATACGTGCAAATATAAGAAAGTTATGCTTTTTTGTTCATCTGGTCCCAATTATCAAACTGCAAGCCATTTCACCACATGACCCAATGGCACTCCATACCTCAAATTGTGCGTGGATACTTCTGAAGCACTTTTCTCATTTTTTTTAAAATAGTAACACTATGAATAAACCACACAATTAGAAAGATCCGAAAACACTCTTTCAGCTGGTATATAGTTGATGTATGGGCGGCCAAACATATCAACATGCTGCCTTTCTCAAAAGTAGTGAATATATCTGTGTTGAGTGTGTTCTGTGTGTGGTTTCCTGGTCGACTAAAGTCGCCCATGGGAACCAGCAGGGGGGTACTTCTTGTCGACAAAAGTCGCCCATTGGAAGGAAAGGGTTAAGCTGATTGAGTACTTCTTTCCTCTGCTTTTTACTGCAAGCTCTGAGATCAAATTACAGACAAGCATGAAATCCCTCTCTCTCTTAATCCCCGTAAAACACCGCCTTTTACTAGTAGCTGTATGGCTAACGTAGTGCAAAACCTGTCTATAATCCTTTCATTCTAGGATATTATACAAGTCTTAAAGGCAGGGTCCCTGTGCTGTTTGGTTCGGGCACTCTAAAAAATAAATTTCAAAATTGAATTGATCATTTTGTTAACATTACAAAACTTGATCAAAACAGAAACAAATCGGTCCATGCCAAGTTATCAATTGTTTCAATTCAGCTGCTGTATTGGGAGCTGGACGCTCTAAATTCAGCATAGACTTGACTCAAGTTGGACTTAAGTCGATATGCACAACACACACTGCCATCATAACCCAGCCCTGAATGGACCGATCCAGTAAGCTCCGCCCAGTGCGCACGTGGGCAAATTAACACGTGCTCCTCTCCAATGCCTCGCTGCATTTTCCTGCCGCGCGCATCATACGCGCGTGCACGCATGTCGGACTTTAGTGCACGCATGTCGGACATAAATCACAGCTGTGATTGGTCAGAACACCATGGGGCGGTGCTTACTGGATCGGTCCATTCCATCATTAATTAATGTTGTGCCCAGCGTGCAACAAGTGCCATAAAAACAGGCAACTTCAATATTTTTTGTGTACGCATACTGCACAGACCAACTGCAGCACCTGACTCGGATCAAGTCGAAATTCAGCTCGAGCGTGAAAGAAGTGCAAAATAAAAGCTCTTTTTTAAGGAACCATTGCCTCTAAATAATATTATTTGTTCAAGAACATATTCTTTGAAAGTTCATTCAGGTAAAAAAATTGTGCAAAATCACTGGGATCGAGTTACTATCTTTAACCATAACCGCCCTGAATCCTTCAAAATCCTCTTTGCCAAAGTGGAGGAATTTGGAGGATTGAGGTTACATGGCAAAAGTGCATTACTGATTTTGTAGGATGCCCTTTTTCAAGGTCTAGGGCCGGACCTTGTGTTGTTTTTGCTCAGCCATGCATAAATATAGGCCTGGATTATGCTTGAAATCCTCCGTACTGCTCCAGGATGTCACTGGCCAAGCCTCAACATATTGACAGTCACTGCCGCAGGATTTTGCAGGATTCAGGCAGTGGTCACCCCTCCACGGACCATATTCAAGAAATAAAGGAGGAATTTGCAGGATTGAGGCTACTATTTTTCCATGAGACCAATTGGAGGATTTTGCAGGATTGAGGCTACATCCTAGCAAAAAGGCCTAGGAAGTTAGGGTTAATGACACTTTATCTGAATCAGATTTTTCTGAATATCAAAAAGTTACCTTGTGTCTCCTTTTTGACTTGGGTTCTTTCCTCCTCTTCTTTTTGTGTCTTTTTCTCTCTGTTATGAATACAATGAGGCAAGAGATGTCTAGGTGAAGTTGGTTGCTCAAATTTACAAGATTAGTGTGGTTGCTCTTTGGATATAAATATTAGCAAAGTACAGAAACCAGACTTGACGTTATCTCTTGCAAAACAATTAACATCATACATAAAAAAGCAATTTGTCAAATAAACTGCATCGGGAAACTGACTTGGTGAATTTTATTAATTTTTAAAGTTGAACAAAGAAATTGACTGGAGCAGGGTTTGAACGTGTTACCTCCGGACTGCCGTTCTGGTACTCTAACAACCAAGCTATCCAGCCCAGTTGGGGGTTCCCCATTTTGTCAATGTCTTTGTTCAAAGGCACTAGTCAGAAGCCATAAACCCGTATATGCCATGTAGCCAGGGATCACGCCCAAAGTCGCAAAGTTATGCCCAAAGTCACAATGCTAGCAACATTAGCAATGCTGCAAACGTGGGAGATAGAAACTGGGAAACACTCTTAGAGGATACGGCTTTTTAAATCTAAAAAACCCTGCTTCAAAATTGATTCTTCAAAGGGATAAATTGCACCAAATCTTTCATCTGAGTTGAGCCTTTTTCTCAAATACTTGGTTAACATTACATGGCAGTGGAAGTTGTCAGGGGGTGGGGATAGTGGTGTGCATTTACGGCTAGTACCGGAACCGGGTACCCTATTGAAGTAAAATATGGGTACCCAGGTACCCGTAAAAGAAACGCAACCCCAACATTCGAATCCAGGAAGTTGTCAGAAGGGCTTTACAGCTTCACGGTGTAAACTGCAACTTTCGTAAGTAAAATCTGTTTTGCTTTTCCATGCACCCTGGTTTTCATCTTCAAAATTCCCCAGAAATGGTATTCAAAATCTTTCTTTTCATTGTCTGAGAAGTAACTAGGTAATTTGTAAAGGGTACCCGACCCCATAATCCCTGCTTCCACTGCCTATGTAAAGAGCCTATTACATTGGAAGTAGATCTCTCACTCAGTCAACCATTACCTCGACTGGATGATGAACTGACACTTGAGGAGCTTGATGAAGATCTACTGGAAGAGGAAGAAGATGATGCCGATGATGACGATGATGATGAGGAACGACTCGATGAATGACGCCGTTTGTGCTTCTTCCTATGTTTGCTTCGCCCACGACTCGAAGACGATGCACTGCTACTGCTGGATCGCCCTCTATCGCGTTTACGACTCTGCCGCTCTCGATCTCGCCTCATTGTGGGAGAGACACTTCTTGGCTTTTCTTGGCGATCTCTGCGGTTTAAATCTCGGGAACTAGAAGAAGAGGAACTTGAATGCCTCCTTCGATGTCGCTCCCTATTGGGTGATACATCTGAGGAAGATAAATTAGGAACCATATTTGAGATAACATTTCTCAATAGTAACATCAAAAAGATGGTCTTGCCGTGGGCTGAATAATGTAGAAAGAAAAATGGTAAAGCAAAGCGATTTTGAAGACGTCAACAATTGAATTTTCACTGTGACGTTACCCTAAACGAATTCATTTCACATTGAAATTTGCATTCAGTCATTGCAAGGCCCACATGGAGGAAGGAACATGGCTAAACATTAAATTTGGGACTGAGATTGAGAATTTCCAATTTTGTTCATAAAAATAGAAAATACTTACAATATGTTCACGACTCCCCATAGACTTTGCAACCACCACATGCACAGTTGCCAGATGGCCTGGATACTACATTCTTTTTAAAATCCTTCACAAATCTAAAGGCCCTAACGTTACTTGTGTAATAATAACTTGTCGAATATATCGTCATCCTGATCAATGACAATGGTTCATGGATGATTGAGGTGATATGACCATGGAGGAAGTCCGGTAATTGTGTTTGGTGTACATGTAGGACCCCCTTCCATCAGAGAAGATAAAGACACATTTGGGGGGTTTTGGAACTTAATACCTAAACATCTGGCTATGAGTATGATACGAGCAGGAAATGCCACTTTATGTGTTTGGAATCATCTAAACAGTTCACTAAGATCCATGTTGAAAATCAGCTGGCTTAATTTTGTGGAAAGACTACCGGTACTGACTAGGGCAGGGTTTTGATTTATGAATGGAACTTGTACATCATGAAAAACATATTGGCGTCCTAAACTATGCCTCACATACACGACTACGACCACCTTCCTCAGGAAACTGGACAACTCGCACGCGAACTAACTCGCACGCGAACCAACTCTTACGCGAGACAACTCATACGCGGATTGGTCAACTCGTACGTGAGACAACTCGTACGTTAACCAACTCGTACGCGAGACAACTCGTGCGCGAACCAACTCGTACGCACGACAACTCGACCCTTATTTCCTCTATGCACTTAAACATGCCCGAACCAAAAGTGTTTCACTAAATGTACACGCGTACGAGTTGGCTCGCGTACGAGTTGGCTCGCGTACGAATTGGCTCGCGTACGAGTTGGCTCACGTACAAGTTGGCTCGCGTACAAGTTGGCTCGTGTATGAGTTGGCCCACGTACGAGTTGGACCGCGTACGAGTTGGACCGCGTACGAGTTGGAGTCTTGGGCCGCGTACGAGTTTGTCCGCATATGAGTTGTCCTGCGTACGAGTTGGTCGCGTACTAATTGGCTTGCATACTACGAGTTGACCTCCAGGTATGAATGTTCTCAACATTTCAGATCCCTTAAAATGACGAGATCCTATTTTGACGCACTCTCGCATTGAATTTGCGTTGGGCAACGCGCGCATTGCAACTAATGCAAGCATTAGACCCGTGAACGTGGCTTGTAACGCCACGTTCACGGGTCTAGCATTATGCCAGTGCGCCAATTATGATGATTCGAGGATACGGTACACATTCCAATTTCACTGCCACTTTGAAAAGTGATTCCTTACTAGGTCTATGGTTTCATAAACGTGAAAAAAATTATAACATTCAGGAACATTACCTCTTTCACCACCCATTTCGCGTCTTTTGCGTGCGATCCGTGAGCTGCGAACAAGAGTTTTCAGAATTTCATTTTTTGGACGTGCGCCCTCAGTTGACAGAATACGGAAATAGCTGGAGCGATACCTTTCATTTAATTAACCAATGAGGAAGCATTTTCGAGACACACCTCTTTATGTAGGTCACCTGACAAGAATTTCATGTTTTTGTGATTAACATGTGACGTAAACGAGACGATCATGAATTGTGCGAAACTGGACCGGCCGGCAGGACTCCGGAGTGCTAACAATAATCTTAGAGCAATAATCAACGCTCCCTCGTTGAAATAATTCATTTATATTTGAAGAACCCATCGTGTATACTGTCACTGTCAGCTATCACTGCACTGGCAACCATAGCTTTGTGTGAAGATGAATTCAACACCCAGCACTGGAGGGCAAAGCTCTGCCTCCGTCATTCCATTCTCAACGTTGTCTATCGGCCGACGAGTTTCCACGGCCAATACTGCAGCAGGACCTATGCGTGCACCACTCCGTCCCAAACCGCCCCGTGTGCGGGCTCGAAATCGCTCGAGCTCGAGCGAGTCGTGTGCGGAAGTCATCGAGTCTAGAGTTCTTGTCTTGTATGCCGGTGGAACCATTGGCATGTTTAAAGAAAACGACGGTGAGTGACGAAATGATGTCTGGGATTGGAAGTGTATTGAGAGTCCCAAATTTTCGGACTAGCCTTTGAAGGTGATAAAAATTGAAATATTGAAAATTATAGTCCGAGTAACTTGCACCCTACTTATCGCCTTTTTTTTAAAGGAGCATAACATCATGAAATCTTAAATTTTCTGTTTGGGATTGCTTATTTATTTTAAAGGCCTGGTTAAAGTAGCTTGAGTGCTTTCGAGTCAACTCGTACCTTGGGCGACTCGTACCTTGGACAACTCGTACCTTGGACAACTCGTACCTTGGACATCTCGTACCTTGGATAACTCGTACCTTGGACAACTCGTACCTTCAATTAAGACGACTCGTACCATCAGAATAAAAAGTAGAGTACATGTACACTGTACGTGCGTGACTTAGTGTGTGGTTCCTTGACTCCGAAACGATACGATTCTTTTCAAGTCAAAGTTAATTTCCTTCTCACAGAATAACCAAAGTATACAAGAGCAGTCAGTACTTTTAAATGATTCAGTCCTTTCATAGCTATAAGTCTGAAAGTCTAAAATGTAAAAAATAAAATTCACAGATGGTTTATTCATCAACTGGTTTATTCGAAACATTTACAAATTGGGGGCGGGGGTTTGGCCAGATGTTTCGTCATAGTCCGACTTGTTGAAATGAAATCGATTCACGATGAACAGCAGACAAGCAATCGTCTCTTGAGCAGCGCAATGGTTCATCAGAAACCCGCAAGATCATCTGAAAAAAAATAAATAGCGGTAAACACATAGTTTTGGGATGAAAATATATCGATTCCGTAATACATGTATTTGCAATTTTTTAAGTAGGCCTAAGTTGAAAAACGGCAAACTGCAACAATGTCACCGTGCACGGACGGTCCGACTTGTTAAAATGAAATCAATTAATAATGGTGGACTAGCAGCAATTGTCTTTCGAGCAGTGCAGTGGTTCATCAGAAAACCGCAGGTTCATCTGTAAAAAGAAAATAAAAAAAATTGCGGTGAACACATAGTTTGGGATGAAAATTAGTATTTCCTAACAAAATTGGAAATATTTGTCAGTCCAAGATTCACGTCTTATCATTTTTGCGGGAAAAAAAAGAAGTAGTTCAGGCGATTATAGGGATCAATAATAGAAAAATGTTGCAACCTGACGCCACTTTTTTCTTCATATATATATCATTTCAATGATGGTCATTTATTGCAAAAATGATGGTAAGACGTGAATCTTGGATAAAAACATCAGTTCCATAATATTTTCACGTAGCCTAAGTCTCTAAACGTAACGGCAGACTGCATCAATGTCACCGTTCACAGACGTCCATATTGACCGGTCAGCGCGGCGCAAGAACCGTGTCACTTTGCACGGATGCCGCGTGGGCCTGTGCATGCCGCGCACACAGTGCGTGTAAGCTGCCGCGGCCGGCTTCGCGCTTAATAAATTCTTCTTTTTGGGGGGAAAGAGAGCCTTTACCAAAAAGAGATTCACCTTTATTTTAATAAGCATTCCACTTTCAATGAGTTACGGTCCACTTTATTCAGCCTCGGATCATTATCCTGATTGACGGGGAAATCATTGACGGTACGACTTGTCTTATGCGTGATGGTACGAGTCGTCTTAACTGAAGGTACGACTTGCCGAAGGTACGAGTTGTCCAAGGTACGACTCGGTATAATGACGTCGAGTTGAAGGTACGAGTTGTCCAAGGTACGAGTTGCCCAAGGTACGAGATGACCTGTTACCGCTTGAGTAACTCCAGCTGACATGTTCCATATTCATTCACATGTAACTAACAGTGTTACATGTTACATGTGAACATGGAGATGTTTTATTTCTCCATGGGATGATGTGAATGAATATGGAACATGTCAGCTGGAGTTACTCAAGCTAGGTTAAAGGGAAACTAACCTAATGTCTTAGTCCCGAGAAAAGACATAAAACCCTGGTAGTTAACATTGGACGCGACAGACATTTTTTGACATACATACGTTTTTCAAGTCGTTTCTATTCAATGTATATGTCGAGCGCAATTTGAGTCCCCCACGCAAGTTTAAACTTGCGCGTGCAAGTTTAAACCTGTGCGAGGGACTCCCGAAGCACGCAAATTACACTGCGCCATTTTAATTTGCGTGCACAAGTTTAAACTTGCGCATAGGCAATCGCAACCTTCATTTAATTAATGAATTTATTTTATTAATTTAATTAATTTATTCGACTTAATGAATAAATATGTTGTTTATTAAACAAAAATCCTAATGAGCCATAAACAATAATACACATCATGATGCAAAGTGCATAAATTGTTCGCATTACTACTCCTTATCTCTCCAATTTCTAGTCAACTCAACATCATTAGCATATTAATAACATGTTTCAAAAAGGCATTAAAGCATTGTCTCCCGAAGCTCAGTGGCGCTATTAAATTGGAGAAAATAAATCTGCTTTATTTAATGTTACATATCTGCATGAGTATACCCGGGAAAAAAATAGCTTTAATATTAGTGGCTTTGTATGCGTGAACGGGAAATCTATGCAGTGCGCAAGTTTAAACTTGTGTGCGCAATTTGTAGCAAGGAAATTAATGCGCGCGCAAGTTTAAACTTGTGCGGGGGACTCAAATTGTGCTCGACATATACATGCAAAGGTTTTGCGATATTCGCCAGACCATGTTTTAATGTTAAAAAAGGCGATAAGTAGGGTCCAAGCTACATTTTTTGTACTTGGACTAGTGAAAATTAATGAATGGTACGAAAGCCCATTAGCGCCACTGCAAGTATATATGCTGCGGATTATTTAATTCGTTATTACGGATTATTAATTCGTTATTACCGATTATTAATTCGTTATTACGGATTATTTAATTCGTTATTACGGATTACTAATTCGTTATAACGGATTATTTAATTCGTTATTACGGATTATTTAATTCGTTATTACGGATTATTAATTCGTTATTATGGATTACTAATTCGTTATAACGGATTATTAATTTGTTATTACGGATAATTTAATTCGTTATTACGGATTACTAATTCGTTATAACGGATTATTTAATTCGTTATTACGGATTATTAATTCGTTATTACGGATTACTAATTCGTTATAACGGATTATTTAATTCGTTATTACAGATTATTAATTCGTTATTACGGATTATTAATATGTTATTACGGATTATTAATTCGTTATTACGGATTACTAATTCGTTATAACGGATTATTAATTCGTTATTACGGATTATTTAATTCGTTATTACGGATTACGGATTATTTAATTCGTTATTACGGATTATTAATTCGTTATTACGGATTATTAATTCGTTATTACGGATTATTAATTCGTTATTACGGATTATTAATTTGTTATTACGAATTACTCTCTGAGTTCTGAGTCATTACGTTCTGAGTCATTACTCGGCAAGTATGGCACAGGAGTGCAAACGTTGTATGCAAAGATAGTGCCGCCTAGCGGCGCTATATACACAGGCCCCTGGTCACGTGCTCTCCACGTGTGAGAACATCAGACCTAATTCGTAATAACGAATTAATAATCCGTAATAACAAATTAAATAATCCGTAATAACGAATTAATAATCCGTAATAACGAATTAAATAATCCGTTATAACGAATTAATAATCCGTAATAACGAATTAATAATCCGTAATAACGAATTAATAATCCGTAATAACGAATTAAATAATCCGTTATAACGAATTAATAATCCGTAATAACGAATTAAATAATCCGTAATAACGAATTAGTAATCCGTAATAACGAATTAAATAATCCGTAATAACGAATTAATAATCCGTTATAACGAATTAATAATCCGTAATAACGAACTAATAATCCGTAATAACGAATTAATAATCCGTAATAACGAATTAAATAATCCGTTATAACGAATTAATAATCCGTAATAACGAATTAATAATCCGTAACATATATACTTGCAGTGGCGCTAATGGGCTTTCGTAGAATGGTCTTATCTGTAAGGAGTGATTTACATTGAAATGTTGATGAGGAATTTGAATGACGTTCATGCTTCATGATGATAGTGATTTACATTGATTAGAGTGATAGATGATGATTTTGATGATGAAAGCTGGTGATGATGGCAATGATAATGATTCAGTATATGATTATAATTGATAGCACCAATCTATATGGAAAAAAAAATTCTATAAAAACCTCGGAAATTTTTTTTGCAACCTGACGCCACTTTTTCTACAATCATCTTAATGAAGGTTACTCATTGCAAAAATGATGATAAGACATAAATCTGGGACTGAGAAAAATTCCCAATTTGGCTAGGAAATACTTAGAACATTTTCTGGACTCTCGAAAAACTTCGTACACAACCGCTGAAGTGCCTTCAGGATGCAATATTTTTTCCAAAACATCATCATGATTTTCCCTTTTAGGCCAAGTAAAAAAAATAACCAGTTTCGCGTCCCCGCCACTACCTTTTTCCCTCCCGCCTCCTTTTCAAAATTATGCAATGCATTGTGTCTTTTTATTTGTTTCTGTTGTGCCCATTCTTGAAAATCACGCAATCTTAAGAATGCGCGCGCATTCTTAAGAATGAGCGCGCGTTCTTAAGAATGAGCACGCGTTCTTAAGAATGAGCGCTCATTCTTAAGATTGCGTGGGAATATCACGTGCACAATTTATGAATTTTGCGCAATCTTAACAAACATTGCACGACATGTGAACAATAAATTGGTGGCAATTTAAATGGAAAATAGCATTAGCACTATGGGATGTCACAGTATTCATTCTCATTCTTCACATTCTTCATTCTTACGTCCCCCCCCCCACTTTTATTGTCCAAAAAATCAGAATTCTTTCCAATAGTACACTGTTATTATGTCTCCGTTTTTTCCCCGGTTTCCCCCCCCCCCCCAATACGCATATACTTTTCATATCCACTGTACATGTACTTTTCAGCGCCTTGCTATAATTATTAAGAATCAGTGAACGAGGATGCAGCTAGACTTGCCAAGCGCAGCAGGTGCTCGGTATCGACAATTTAAGAATGTGCGCTCAATCTGGAAGAGTTATTTTTTGCGAAGATTGCGCAAGGATCCAGTTGCACAATCATAAGAATGTGCGAGCGCATTCTTAAGAATGCGTGATTTTCAAGAAAGCGCACAACATTTCCAACAAAATTCATTACGGACACACTCTCGCAAAATGTGGTCCAGCAGCTTTCTATACAAAAACCTCGTTGTCTTGGGGTTTTGTACGTAAACCTTATCAGTCAGCCGATCACGCTCAATTGACTTCGGCCAAACCGCAGTCCCATTATAAGAAATAAGTTAACAATGTTATCCGAACCATTTTTTCCGAGAGTGTGTCTCTAATGGTTGATGGGCTTTTAAAAAGAACTTTTGCAAATGGGAAAGACACTTTGGAAACATCCAATCAGTTTGAATATGCTTCATGAATTTCTGAATAAACGAGCACATTTTTAACAGTATTTAATTACCATTATTTTTCAGTGTGGTGGTGGGGGGGGGGTGGCTGTTGGGGGGGTGGGCTAAACAGAAGATATATCAGAATGGCGCAATAAGACCAACAGCGGGCGCAATAAATTTGATTAGGGTTTCAAAATTTCTACGCGTCCGCGTCGTTAATTTGCATAAAAAATGCCCCGACAATTTTTTGCAAAAAACGAGACCGTCTAGTTTAAAAATCGGTGGAATCGTGCGAATATAGCCGAGGATCATCTCCCTAGCTTTTGGGCTATTATCTAAGAGCAGATTTGATAAAATTAGGGTCCAAAATGGGTCCTATTTGCACGAGAAAATCATGTAGGGATGCCACTGGTAACTTTGGCAGTATGCAGGCTCAGCATTACCGGCAGGCTTCAAGCATTACGGACACACTCTCGCAAAATGTGGTCCAGCAGCTTTCTATACAAAAACCTCGTTGTCTTGGGGTTTTGTACGTAAACCTTATCAGTCAGCCGATCACGCTCAATTGACTTCGGCCAAACCGCAGTCCCATTATAAGAAATAAGTTAACAATGTTATCCGAACCATTTTTTCTGAGAGTGTGTCTCTAATGTTGGAGCTACTGTACATAATTATGCATTCAATTTCAAAATATGGCAGAAAGGGTGACGGCTTCTTTAAACACAAACGTGTCAGCAAGTGTCAGCAAGAGAGTCAAGGAAATGAAAGAATCCATCAACCATCATTGAAAATCTGCCATCTTAGAACAAAAAAGGGCCGCCTCCTTCCTTTTTAATTGGCCTTTTTATTTGGCCTTAAATAGCATGTCAATGTGGATGATGAAATATGTGACCCGCTCTACAAAAATGAGTCTGTTGTGGCAAAAATGACGTTTCGAGTTAAAGGGAATGTACATCATTGGCTTTTGCTGTAATATTCAGCAATAAAGTATTTGAGGGGTTAGTATATATAGATCAAATATTGTTACACTGACATGTTTGAAGTTTTGTGTTAAATAATGCTGGAAAAACCAAGAAAAACAACAATGTTCAAGTAGTCTGGTTCCCTGACTCCACTAAAAATGAAATGGATCAATTTATAGATGCCGGAAAGGTGTAAGGTAAGGGAAACAGTCTAGCTGGCCTGCACCCGTTCATAAACATGTAACCAATAGCAAACAAATTTTGAACTGAAAAAAAAATGGTAAATTTGGAGCAGAAGTTGAAAAATAGTTAGGTTTTTCCAACAGTGGTCGGCCGACCACCGTTGGAAATGTATACAAAAATACAATTTTCTTGAAAATGACTTCACACCAGGTGCCATAATTTTACAGAATGCTTTTAATTTGACTGTCATTTACCAACATCCTAGTAAGATATTTCGTAAAAACTTGGTAGTTCCAGATCAGCGTTGGAAACAACTGGCTTTTTTTTTCAAATACTGGCCCCAATTGCACTTGTTTGCAATCGATTACAAACCTATGAACGGGTACGAGCCAGCTAGACTGGTTCCCTGACCTTACAATTCCCCAATGTATGTAAACTGATCTGTTTCTTCTTATATGGAGTCAGGGAACCAGACTACAGGAAAATGATCGTTTTTCTTGGTTTTTATAGCATTTTCGAACCCAAAACCTCAAAAAAGTCAGTGTAACTATATTTGCTATATATTTCCAACCCCCCAATTCCATCCATTTCTGAAAATTACAGCAAAAGCAAATGATGTATATTCCCTTTAATAGACCTCTCTGAATCCGAATAGCACCTGCTTTTGTCATTTTAGAAAGATTTACAAGGTGGAAAATGCAATTTTCTTACGTTGCTGACGTTTTTGCTGGGTCAAAACTACCCCAACCCCTATCCCGCCGCCAGGCGCATGGACGTGTATAAAGGGGTATTGCGCAATCCCGCATTTTTTGACCAGTTAACCCCATATTTCTCTCAAACAAAGCTTGGAATATGTCTATGACATAGCTGTTTGTTCAGAATGTGGCATAACAAACAACTTACACCTAGAATGTGTTCATCCGTGGGGAAAAGTGTCCTAAACTTCACAATCGCAATAAAGTAACAAAAACAAAGGCTGTTTCCATTTCAAAATGGCGAAAGCTTGAATTCACATGCGACATCAGACTCATTTTTGTAGGGCGGGTCATACATGTCATACAGTATGATATGGATAGCATCTGTTCCAGCTAAAGTTGGGAAGGTTCCAGCTGTTGTTGGGATCCCCTCCACAATAGTTGGGACTGTTCCAAGTAAACTTGGATGTAACCCAATCTACGGCCAATCTACGGGACTAGTCTTGGATATGGGCTATAGTCTGGCTCTAGTCCGGGGTTGGATGATCGATTTAGGTAACAGACTATTCATCAATGAGTTTTTTTAAGCTACAATTGTATGTGGTGCATTTCTCAGGGCATCCCTTTTCATTTCCGACCGACTCTATCTTTGGCTCCTGACCCAAGGGAAAATAAAACCTTTTTCATAACCGCCGACCCTGTCTGGAAGGTAGTTTCTATTAACCTAAAAAATACAAACAAACTAGAGATACTATGTCTGTTTGCAACTGAATATAGGGCTTTTTTTGCATTATGCTTATTTTTTAGCTACATTTTGTCATTGTGGTCTTCGTTTGTAGTCAATCCGATAAAAGGAAGTGTACAATTTTGGAAGCAGAATAAAATTTTAAATATTAAAAAAAAAATAATAAAAATCAACTAATGAGGCCATCGTGACGTCACTTCGGACTTTGCATACCAGTACCATTATCTACCTACCCACCAAGTTTCATGACGATTGGACCTTCCCTTTAAAAAAAGAAATGTGCATTTCTCAGGGCATCCCTTTTCATTTCCGACCGACTCTATCTTTGGCTCCTGACCCAAGGGAAAATAAAACCTTTTTCATAACCGCCGACCCTGTCTGGAAACGTAGTTTCTATTAACCTAAAAAATACAAACAAACTAGAGATACTATGTCTGTTTGCAACAGAATATAGGGCTTTTTTGCATTATGCTTATGTTTTAGCAACATTTTGTCATTGGGGTCACAATGACGTCACACATTTTTCAAAATTTTTAGCATATTACCTAAGTTAACAAACCAAATACAAAAAGAGTTTTGAATTTTGCATGTTGCATTCGTCAGATATGGCTTAAAGGTCTAAAAATTCATATAAAATCGCACGATGATGATGTCATTATGAAGTCTTCTCCTTTTTCACCAATAACACATCCCGGTAGCTTTCCACATATCGAGTTTCAACCCAATTGGACTTCCACTTCTGTAGATATAGGATTTCAAAATAATATGCACATTTGTGATGACGTCACATATAACCCATGATGATGTAATCATGACACCACTATTTGGGACACAACTTTGCTATAAGGACAAGTGCATATGCTTAATTTGAATGATGTATGACAAAGATAAATGCCAAAAGTGGCGTGTACTAAAATCGTGATTCTTCTTTTGCTTTGGGATAAGACTTAGCATTTCATTTGGGCAGTGTTTATTTCCTTTTTGTTTTGCAGTCTATGTTCCAAGTCCGGGTCGCTTCCACAAACTGGTGCGATCAATGCCCATGCTGAATGATGAGGAATATGCATCCCTCATCGATCCGTCGCCAGGCATGGTGGAGAGGCCGTATGCTCTGCCGTAAGTTCTGGACACTGTTGCAGGGGTTGAAATTATTTGTTTTGAAACTCGGTCAATATTTGTACTGTAATAAGTGCATTCTGACGTCAAAGTTGATTGAAAAATATTGACACAAGGCATGTGGCAGCTGAAAAGTGGGTGTTCGTTTTGTCCGAACAATTTTTGTGTGTGGCTGATTTCATCATTTTAAAATCTGCGGTGGATTGTAGAACGGCCTTTGAAAATAACTTATGAAGTTTCTTGTTTGATGGAGTTTGTTTTTAATTTGAAAAATGCAAAAAGAGTTGTTTTTGTAAAGTTGCTCTGAAAGTGATATCTGTAATGAGGTCTGTAATGGGCAAACGTGTGCAATTTTGAGAAAATTTGTCCCAAAATGTTTTGTTGTTGCATATTTTCCCTGAACAAGACTGAAAGCCACTCAAGGTACAAGGCTGCGAGAGAAATAAAAAGAGTACCAGTAGGTTCTCAGGAAAACTGAAGGTAGGAAGTTTTTAGGGTGACAGTAATTTTGAAAGTCCTGAAGCTGTAGTTCAGATTCTTTATTCCCATAAAATGCACAAAGAAATCAGATACGGTTTCATGATCAAGTTGATTTCAGATATGAAGGTATTTTCCCCATATTTCAGAATATCACAAGAAGGGAAGCGTGTCATCTTCGACATCCACGAGTACAAGGTGCTTAAAGACTCCAGCAATCTCGACCCCACTGATTGGGCCGAGATGGCAGAAGACATTTGCCGATTCTACAAGCGGTACGACGGTTTTGTCATCCTCCACGGCACGGACACCATGGCGTATACGTCGTCCGCGCTGTCATATATGTTGGAGAATCTGGGCAAGCCGGTGGTGTTGACCGGTGCACAGGTGCCCCTGCCAGAGCTGCGAAGTGATGGACGGGATAATGTACTTGGTGCTATCTATATTGCTGGCCACTTTGTCATTCCTGAGGTGAGCCCAAAAGGACGAGATAAATACCATTTGAAGCTTTTGAGATAGAGAGTACAGTTTGGGAGATGTGCACTGTGTGAAGTGGATATCTGTGAAGTTTCTGAGATAGACCCAGAGTAATCAAGTTTTTCAGAGTCTTCAACTTGAAAAGGACAAGAAGCTGATTTAAACAGTCAGGGTGACCGTAAGGCAATGGCAAAATTCTGCTAGTAGCACTTCAGAAATCTGCTAGATTTAACAAAAATATGCTAAATCACCTATTAGTACGTGAAATACATTATAGACACTCATACTCACATGCAGATGTTATACAATTTCCTTAAAGCTAGAGTCCATCATTTGCAGCCATCCGAAAAGTAACTGGCGTAATTATTGTTGAAAAACAAACTTGGTTGAAAGATAGTAAGGGAACTAAACTCCCTGTGAAATTATTCTTTCTGGGAAGCTGTCATTTTGAAGTAATCAACGAAAGAAGGCATTTCCAACGGTGATTCTTAAGAAGCACCGTAGGAAAATTTAAATTAGTAGTTCGTTTTGTTATTCGGCGCAGCGCGCACAAGTATTGGAACGACGCACACGCGCGCGCGGCTGTTGTAATTCGTCGGATCAGTGCGCGACGTCACATAAAGCTGCAATTCAAAACAATTCAAAACATGATTCAGTAACTTTTGATTTGAAATTGAGATCTTAGAATGCTGGTTTTTCTCGGAATGTACAGCTGAAGCTTAGCTGAAACTTCATCAGGTTAGTTGCTCAGTATCCTTCATTAGATTTTGAACTCTTTTGTTGCTTTAAACGAACAAAATGCACAAATTACCAATGATGGACTGTAGCTTTAAACACAACAAATATCATAAAATTTCCTTGAAAAAAAATCAAATATATAAAAAAAAAAATTAAAAAAAATTGCATGTGTCTGGCCTGGCTTGCAATGGTCTAAAGTACTTTTGTACTAATACACGTCAGGGAACCTCAAATTGAAGCTTTTTCCAAACTAATCAGCTATATTTTTCAAATCGGCCATATATTTCTGTCAGATCACCAATTTTACAGAATTCTGCCAAAAATCTGCTACAAAAAATCATTCTGCTAAATTTTCAGTCAAACTCGTTTTTTTCCGAAAAATTATGTCAAATTTAGCCAAAGTTCGGCTAAAACGGTCACCCTGTAAACAAACAGTATAACGTGGAGTTTCCTGGATATGCTCTATGTAGAGTTGTAATCAAGTCATTACAAGTTAATCACAAGTTGATCGCTAGTCAGTCATAGTCAATCTGAAGACATCAAGTCCTAATTAAAGTCTCAAGCTTTTCAAATGAATTGTGACAAAAGCATAACTTTGTCCATCCCCTGTTTAATACTAGTGACTTAACTTGTTATTTAAAGCCTCCCTCAGGTTTACCTGTGATTTGCTTGCGCCACGATGGAACCGTCTGCATCAAGCAGAAAAGTCATGCTCTGTAGGTCACAAAACTGAGAAATCGTGTGATTATCGTGAAACAAGGGGCATCTGTCTACAGAATAATCGCAAACATGCTCATGTCACCTACGATACCACGATTTCGCAGTGATCACGTGACTTCTTCAAAATGACGGTGTGCGTGTTGATAACAATCAGATGATCTTCCATGGCCACGTCTGTTCACTCGGCTGCCATGATTGTTATAAACTACGAATTTGCCGCTCACAGATTGGCTACACAATAAAATAAGATGATCCAGATGCCTGCGGGATGTCGTAATTTCACACAGGTCGACTGCGATTGAACACGTTCCATCGTGGCGCAGAAGTTGAAATTTTCCTACTCTTGCAACTGTTGATTTCTTTTAGCGCCGACTGATGTCGACTGTCTTTAGCTTCACAGTTACACTCAGGCTGCAAAAAATCGGTGACAGTATGTTCCCAACGGTCGTAGCTCGATCCTGAAAAGTCAGTCACTGATGGTTCTTTGTCGTCACAAGGTCGATCTGAGGGCAGCTTAACTTGTAGCTGGACTTGTAATTTAACTTTTTATTACAGCTCTGTTTTATTACAGCTGTGTTTTATTAAAGCTATGTTTCATATCAGACAAGTTTTTATTAGACTCGACCAATGGACCAGCTATCTATGTTTTACACATAAGTTGTTAAGGCCAAAAAAAAAAAAATTCTGCTTCCGGTTACCCTACCTACTCTATTTTGACAACCCCTACCCCAAACTACCTTTTACACTTGACTACACGCATACACCTCCATCTGATCGTACACACACAAAAATTCTCCCCCCCCCAAAAAAAAAACCCCCCATTTTCCTACCTACTACCCTGTTTTCAAATACCATGCAATCGGAAGCAGAATATTTTTGTTTTGCCTAAGCTCACACCCCATTTTTTTCATAAGATGCAATTAAATGACTTCAAATTTCATAATTCTCTTTGTAGGTTACATTGTACTTCAACGATACATTGTATCGGGGTAATCGTGTGAAGAAAGTGTCCAGCGAGAGCTTCAGCTGTTTTGACTCGCCCAATTTCCCACCTCTCGTCAAAATGGCAGTCAATATTGAAGGTATTTTTGGAACTTAGAGATGCTAAACATGATTGATCACACAAAAAGGAGCACATGTAATGATCTAAGTTTTAAATGATGTGTTTTTGTTGGTAGAATTTGTGGGAGGCATATGGCTCGACCGCGTCGTAGCTGCGTCCTTTGCAATTCAGCTTCTGTTGCGAGTAAGGACGATTAGACCCCCCCCCCCCCCCCGCAATTTTCAGTTCAAAATTTTGTGAAGAAATTGGAAGTCTTGCAAAGCATATAGGTGTTAGATCTCTGCCATAATCATTACACATACATTCCGTGTACACAGGCCATTGGCATGCATGACCCCTTGGTCACTGGTTATCAAAGAATTTAGAGATCACTATCAAGCACCCTTGGATAGGGCTTTGAGGACGAACAAACTGTCTTCGTGTTTTCTTTGTGTTAAGGAAACTTAAATTTGCTTATGTGCTTCCACTAGGAACCAGAAATGTCTGAAACATATTTGTTCTGGACAAAATGTCTAAAATGTTAACAATGGCGATGATAGTTCAGACAGTTGGTCACTGTTTGAGACATTTTATGTAATTCTGTACAAACTCTTAATATTTCAGAAATTCTGTTAACCTCAAAATATCTGAAACGTAACGGTTTCAGATAGTTCCAGGTGACTGATTGGCCAGTTTCTTGATAACCTTACGTTTCAGATAATTTGAGGCTAACAGAATATCTGAAATATGGTGGTATTAAGTTTTAACAGGTTTATGTTTCAGACTTTCGAAACATCTGAAATGTAATTTGAGGGGATTCTGTTTTAGACACAAATGTCTGAAAGCGGTGACCAAATGTCTGAACTACGGTCGTCATTGTTCATTTTTCAGACGTTTTGTTTGGAACAAAAGCCTTTCAGACATACATATCTGGTTCATAGTGTTCTTTGTTCTGATCATAACGTTCCTATTCCCAGTTGCTTTAGCAGTTTAAGTTTTTTTATTGTCTCACCAGTGGCATGGGATAATCTCTTTCGACCCAACACCTTAGAGAGTTTTCGAGTTCACACCTACATGGAGAGCAACGTGGGTCTGCTGAGGCTCTTCCCTGGTATCACAAAGGAACCGGTGAGAAATTGCACTAAACTCTCTTTTAGGTACTCATTAACCCTAGGGTGTGTGAAAAATCATATTAAAATTGAGGATTCAGGACTGTTATGGTTGATCATTTCTAACTGTTTTGGGATAAAAGAAGTAACCATGCACTATAGGAACCAGAAATGTCTGAAACACTTTTGTTTTCAGAGATTTCACAAACGTTCTTCCGTAAACACTCAAGGATAATCTTTTGTAAACTACAGAGTGTGCCCAAAAAAGTGATACATTATTCAGAAAACAAGTAATTAAAACTTTTTAATGTTTTTTCTTCAATGAAATTATGTTTACATTAAAGCCTGACTACAATGTATATCTCAATCCACTCCTTTTTACCCCATTCTATTTGGGTCCCTAGATCCAGAAAAACAATCAATGAAGTGAAAGGGTGTAAATTTTACTTGGGCCACTCTCACCTGTAATGTCACCAACTTCAGTGGAAATTGCTGCCGGACAAATTTTCACTGCCCGAAACGAACGGCAGGGAATATCGATCGCACAGTGCTTGTATGCATGTTCAGGCACTGTGCAGTCGATAGGGCCAATTACATACGGGCATGTGTGTTTGCGCTTAGCAATTTCTCCTCGTGTAATCTTTAAATTTGCAACTTTTCAAACTGCATCATTTTTTAGACACCGTTGTCAATCTTGGACGATTTACAGTATTTGGTAGCAAACAGGGTATCAAAATGTAGCTAACAAAATTCCCCAAAGGTCTATATAAATGACGTCATCATAAGTCGATCAGATTCAAATTTATAACCCCTCCAATGAGTGTGGAGTTTCTTTTTTGCGGTGTTATATTATTGGTTGCTATGTGCCAGTAAAATGCTGTTTTCCTTGTGGGCTGATAGGCCTGCTTCTCAAAGTGTGCTTACACGAGTGTCATGCTGCATGCATGGCCCTCCGTGTGGATATTTAAATTAAGTTGACTTCTATGTCATAGGTCATTAGGCCGTTAGATCTCTAGAATAATTGTCATCCACCATCATGAGAGATTTTGAGGGTGTGTTCAGACTTCTTTCTTGCTACTAAACACTTTATGCTGATTTTTTCCCATTGTTCCAGGTAAAGGCCTTCTTAAGTCCCCCCATGAAGGGCGTGGTCCTGCAGACGTTTGGGGCGGGGAATGGTCCCGACAGTAGGAAGGACTTGATGGAGGTCATCAGGGAAGCCACACAGAGAGGAGTGCTCATCATCAACTGCACACAGTGCTCCAGGGGTACAGTGTCGGCGGCCTATCGCACTGGACGGGTAGGTTTCACAGGAAAAGTTTAACGGAAAAAATGCCTTTCGGATCTGAAGACCATTGAAACAATTTTAGTTTGCAGTAATAATAATAATAATAATAATAATTACCGGGAATGGGTCATTTGGGAGACTTTCCCATAGACTTGTGCACAAAATTTGTCCAACTTAAATGTGCCCTAACCCAATAATCCCTTGTCCTTTTGTGCACGAATTTCGGTATTTTTACTAATTAGACCACGAGCAACAAATATAACCTAATTGCGACAATAAAATTTTGCCTCTAAAGGGGGGCTGCGCCATTAGGGAGACAGTTGTGTGTCTCCCTAATAGCCGGTGTCTCCCTATTATTGAAGAAATTACAATAACGTGTCTCCCTAATAGTACATTTAGTAGTATAATGCCGAGCACGTATCTATCAACAATTAGGTACTCAAGGTGCTGGAACGGGTTTATAATCATTTGAAAAGCTTGTCACTTGACTTTAGACTGCTTAGATTGCTTTGTGAGGTCTTGTCTACAACTCTGCGTTATCACTTTACTTTATCTACTAATAAAGGCAGGTATCATACCGACACAAAATTCCATCAAAAGTCTCTGGCTGCGAATTTGATATATGTGGGGCGTTCTTGCAAAATGAGACACAACTGGGCAAAGGTTGAAATGAGGGTTTGCGGGTATAAGAAAAGAGAATAAAATTCTCCTTTATGAGAAAGATTTACGGTAGCACCATGTGACAAATCTCTTTTGTGAGTTTGTGAGGTTCTGAAAAGAACCGGGGTAAACTCAGCGTTTTGGACAGTATGCCTTGCCTGTCATCGGGAAAACTGAGGGATTCCAACGGTGAAGGAGTGTTATATGTAGTGGGATTGGAAGCAGTGAAGCGTGTGAAGAATGTAACAGTGGAGTCCTAGCTGGAGCAGGGGATGCTGGATGATCAGTGAGGCGTGTCAGGCAGAGAATACTGTCCGAAACATTGAGTTTTCCCCTGATCGTTTCCGAACCTCACATTTGCAAAAGATATTTGTCTCATGTTGCTACCACAAATCTTTATCAGATTGCTATCTTCAGCCATGCAAATCTTCAAATCTCATCCAACGTTCTCCTTCATGTCCTTACAACATTGTTTATTTGTACCTTAATCAGACATTCCGTTGACAAGTAATGGCCGTTTAAAGTTTTGTAGTCATGAAAAAGAAAGATGCTAATTATTTTCCTTAAATTTCCTTTTTGTTCATGGTTTTTATACTATTTCTATTAAATATGTGTGGTAGACATATCAAAGAGTTCAAGTATCAGTAAATCTGAAAATTGAAAAAAAATCAACCCTCATACATTTTTTTATGCATTTGCCTCCACTACGACCTGTGCCCAGTTCCACCTCATTTTGCCAGAACACCTCACGTTTCATTGGATAGACTCATTCGTGGTTTTCTCTTTTGAAAACGACACAGTCTCTACTGGAGGCAGGCGTCATACCAGGCAGTGACATCACGCCAGAGGCAGCCCTGACCAAACTCTGCTATGTCCTGGGCAAGAAGGAGCTGTCCCAAGGACAGAGACTTGAGATGCTTAGTTGCAACCTGCGAGGCGAGATCAAAGTCTCCGGCAAGCACAAAGAGAGCAGGACGTTACAAGACAGCGAATTCATCCGGGCGGTGGTCGACACACTGAAGCTCACCAGCAGTCAGGTTGGGTGAAATTTTCACAGCCAAAAATACTGCCCAGGTTATCATATTATTTATAGAGTAAAGCCTGTCAAACTGTATTTCCCTTTTGGCAAAGATAACCACAGAAACTTAATCTTTTATGGATAGTAAGCCACTGAAATTATTCAATTTATTATTCATTTAACTAATCTGGCACCCACTAAAATCCCATTGTAATGTATTGTATTTGTATACATGTTTGTAGTCATTTTTTATTGAATGCAGGGCCCCAATGGAAACCAGTTTTGAACTGTTTGGGCATACCCTGGGTAAAGAAATGTAATAGATAAATAAATAAATAAATAAAATAAGTTCAGTTGTTCCAAAGATCCTTTTGGTCTAAAGTTACACTGTCCTTTAAAGGTCCCTATAATCAGGGTTCAACTTTAGCGGTAGCCCACTAGCCAAATGCTAGTCAAAACAGCGACGGGCTATTCAAAGTATTCCTTAAGTAGCCTGGCTGGCAAGGCCAAAATTATTGGGCTACGGCAAAGATGAAAGGACAGGAAGAAATGAATCATTAAATTCAGAAAGCAAGCCTGTATCAATTTGTATCTAATTTTATTAACTGTTTAGGGTTAAATTCTGAGATCTGTTTATTAAAAACACTGACAAGATTGCCTCAGTATATGATACATTTGACATGTATGCACACTGTTGTTATGAAACACTCTATAAAAGGAAGGCTAGTGAAAATGCTCGTGGGCTAGTTAAGAGTCTTTTTTAGTAGCCCAGCTGGCTAGGGAAAAAAAGTTAAGGTCAAACCCTGCTGTAAAGTTTCCTTTGAACGATATTTGTGCTTGTTTTTAGGCTTTGGCAAGCCCAGGTTGAGCTATGGAAAGGGTTGACAAACTTGTGTGGCTCAAGACATACGGCAAAGACTAAAATCAGCAGAGAATCTGCAGTGTTCAAGTTTGTGCACCGTATGGCAGCAGAAAGTGACACTGAAAATAGCGACCATACAACTCTTTCATATTGAACTCATAATTCTTAACTTGTTATGGCACTCTTTGCTTGATCCAGGAAGTTAAAGCTGTACAAGATGCCCTCTTCACTCCACTGATGTGTGCTGCAGCCAAAAATGGCGACTTGGCATCACTCAAACATTTCAGGGAATGTGTAAGTTTTCATCATTGCTTATCTGTTTTTTGGATCGCACATTGAAAATTAACATAACCTGCATACATAAATGAAAAATTCTTAGGAGTTGGAGATTTTTGCACAACTGGCTCTCATTGGTGAAAATATGGAGCAACCCTGCCCAGCAGTGTAAGGCAGATTCAGTCTCAGTTTCATTTCTCCCTAAAATCTCAAGTTTCACTAATCAAGGCTTTTTCTTTGATTTAAATCATCCCTCAAGGGAGGTGACTTGAGTCTTGCTGACTACGATGGGCGGACACCGTTACATTTGGCAGCCAGCACACGGAACCTTGACGTTGTGCAGTACTTGCTGGAAAATGGCTGTTCGATTTACGCCAAGGACTCATTCGGCAACTCACCTTTCTTTGAGAGTATTCGATTAAAGTGAGTATTCTATTAAAAAAAACCAGAATTTTAAAATTTGCAATAAAAGAGTTTGCAAGTCATGGCCCAACGTCATGGAGCAGCTGAGCAAATTTATGGGCTATGCAGAAATCTGCGTAGAAACTCTCAATGCCACTGCTCATTACTGCGTTAATAAAAGTAACCGGGCAATTCCATGATACCTTTTGTTACATTTAAACCGACGAACCCGTGTTCACAGGAACGGAGTGCCCATCTCTCTTTCGAAGCGATTGGGCCAGACTCAAGTGCATCAAATGCTGCTGTGGGAGGCGCCACACCTCCTCCACAGCGAGTCTGTTACCTTCCCAGCATTGAATAATGCCAGTACCCATTTAACACCTGGGTTGAGAGGAGTAATTGAGGTAAAGCGCCTTACTCAAGGGCACAACACGCATGGCCACTGCGGGGCTCGAACCCACAATCTCACGATCAATGATCCGATGCTCTACCGTTAGACCACATGTGCCCACAATTTAAAGGGGATCTTCCATCATGTCTGTGCTGTTAATTTATATAAGCAGAGCATTTAGGGCGAATTTTTCTCACAAAATCCCCTGAAGTTAAAGGGAATATACAACATTTGCAAACATCGAAAAATAAAACTACCAAGTTTTTGCGAAATACCTTAACAGGATGTTGGTAAATGACAGTCTAAAGCATCTTGTAAAATTATGGCACCTGGTATACTGTCATTTTCAAGAAAAGTGGTATTTTTGTATCAATTTCCAACGCTGATCGGCCGATCAGCGTTGGAAACAACTGGCTTTTTTTTCAAATACTGGCCCCAATTGACCATCGCACTTGTTTGCAATCGATTACAAACCTATGAACGGGTACGAGCCAGCTAGACTGGTTCCCTGACTTTACAATTCCCCAATGTATGTAAACTGCTCTGTTTCTTCTAATATGGAGTCAGGGAACCAGACTACAGGAAAATGATCGTTTTTCTTGGTTTTTATAGCATTTTCGAACCCAAAACCTCAAAAAAGTCAGTGTAGCTATATTTGCTATATATTTCCAACCCCCCAATTCCATCCATTTCTGAAAATTACAGCAAAAGCAAATGATGTATATTCCCTTTAAGTGACTAAATTACAATTAAAAAAAGAAAAGAGGCCAACCAATTTACTTCCTGTTGGTTTTTCAGTACGTTTTTTTATCGGTAACTTGCATTAAAAAAAAAAGCATATGTCAAAAATGTAAATACCTTTACAAAAGTGTTCTCATACTGTGCCCCGTTGGAAGAAAGTTTTCAGTGCCCTTACATCATTAGGGTGTACGTTTTAAAAAAAAAATCATAAAAATCTCTAGAGGGATGTAACTCAAGTTACGGTAACATTATAGTTTGTCCGCTCATCTTGGTACAAGTTAAAAACATGTAAGAAACTAATAATCAAACAAAAAATTTCTTTTTGGCATACAATAAGAACATTTTCTCTTCCTTAAAAAACAAAAACTCACAATAACACTTGCTTTTTGCATGTGAAAACAAGATGCCAAAATGATTACCTAAAATCCTAAGCTTTAGCAAAAATACATATTTCTTGATAAAAATACATTTGACCATATTCCATCTCACTGGCACACCGCGCAAATGAAAGTTCTTATTCTCTTTAATTTGAAACCACATTTGAAGTTGTGATGCTTGTAGTTCCGATGAAGACTGTCCACTTTTGCGTGGAATCCCCCAACCTGCTACGCTAGTCTTTTGTGCTTACCAGAATTCTGTCCGTAGCAGCTCTGGAAATTGACCCCAGATTAGAGGGATCTCAAAGTAGCACCCCACCCCTTTCCATTTACTCTCTGTTAGTTTTGTGCTGATGTCCCTTCAAAATTTAAAGGCGTATATCATAGGATCATTTCATTTATCCCAAAAGTAACCTATCGAATTAGTATCAAAAAGCTTACTTGGAATACAGATCATTCTGGTATAGGCACTAAACTCCCCGTGAAATTAAAAAGAAATCAAGAAATGTAGGTGATTTCCAACGATCAGTCCGTTGACTGATTTTTGGAAACGAAGAGTGCTGTTGACAAAATCGTTTTTCCTGATCAAAACGTTGTGCATGGTGTTTCACAGTTTTCTCGAAAAGTGTAATATCCACTGAGCTGAAATTTCAATGGGTTAGGTTTAGACCATATAATCTTCTTTGGATTTGGAGTGGTATTATTGTTGGAAACGAACAAAATGCATGAAAGGCAAACATGCCTTTAATCCTTACTTCCACAGACTTTATTGGGATGGAATGCTAACTTCACTAAAATACTACTACCCCACAACAGAAAAACAAACTTAATGCTCATGAGTTTTTATTTTGAATGGATTTGTTTCTCTCATTTTGCCAGAAATCTTGAGGTCATCAGGATGATTAAGAAGACAGGAGGACATCTGATTCACACAGCTAGACATGAGCTGGGAACGATGCTATGCCAGTAAGTCATTAAATTATGATTGAAACAAAAGAACACTGTGGAGTTATTAGTTTCAGGGCTGCAGACTCCTATACTTGAACCAATATCACCAGTAAAAAAAATTGGATTCAATAACAACTAAATTCATGTACTAAAGCATTTTTATTAGCAAGACTCATTTTTGTTTGTTTTTCTTTTTAACCCTCCACCAACATGATTTCATAAGCACGGTTTACTCAGTGCTTTCCAAGGGCTTGCATGGGAGAAATGCACAAATTTACTTTGCTGGGACTCGAACCCACGACCTCCTGCTTACTAGTGCAGACGTCTTACCACTCAACCACCAAGCTTGCTCCACATGTGGTCAACTTGCCAGTTGAAATCTGATACAGCAGCAGTAATCCTAATCAACCACTATTTTGTTTGATGAATTTTGCATCGGGATGGTTTTTTTTCCAGTGCAGCTGCGTTGGATGACAGGGAGTTGTTGGAAGCATTCCATGAAGCTGGGGAAGATATGAACGCCACCGATTACTGTGGAAATGCGCCACTACATGTGGTAGGTGGTCGCTTCCTACAATGTCTGAATAACCAATGATGAACGAGGCATGGCTATCAGAGCGCTGCCTTTTTTTACCCAGATATCCACATGGACCGAAAAGGAAACTTATATTTGGAAGTGAAATCCCCATTTTTGTCTCATTTTGGAACAATTCATACAAACCGAGAGCATGCATATCAGTATACAAAATAAAAAGCTACCTTGTCCTCAAGTAATGGTAAATTTCTGAAATTACCAAAAAAACCCGCTAGTCTTTAACAGTGCTGTGATACTTTGTCGTACTTGGCATTATGTAGTCATGTAGCTTTAGATTTCATAATGCATAGAATTAAGCTGTTTTCAAAGTATTTTCACCTGTTCAGATGCTCAGGCTGTGGCTAAGATTGAAATTAGGCACCGGTAACTGTTTCCACCTGATTGCTGGATTCATCACTGGCATAATTAGGGGGGGGGGGGGGGAGAGGGGTGTTGCAGGGGAAGGACGGAACATCCCCTGAGACTTGTGCCCCCTGTCTTTTATCCCAAAAAACACCCTCCTTTTTTTTCTATTTTGGGCGTCTGCAACACTCTGTAAAAAGGTTTTTGTTTAGCGCACAAACAGATCCGGTTTGCGAGCTGACTGGCTCCCGGTCCATACATTATCGATACCGATTGTGTGCCGGGAACCAGCCTACTCCGTGAGAATGGAATTATTGTCTGGCAGCCAAAAAATTCAAAAGTGTAAAGTAATAGTTTGAAAACTTAACGCATGCCGATTTGTTTTTGGTCGATGTCTCATTCAAAAGTGAATAACTAGAAAAACAGCAATTTTAGAAAAGGAATCTATGTTTTGTTTTGGGATGAAACTCGAGAGTAGCATGGAGAATGCATCTTTAATCTCTTGTGTAAAGCTAGAAGCTCAATACTTTTATTTGATCTTTTGTTTCCAGGCAGTCATGAAGAACAGCAAAAGTTGCATCGAGTTTCTGTTGGAGGCTGGGGCTGACCCAAGCTTGAAAGACCATTGCAATAATACATCTCTGAACATCGCTGAGGAGAAAGGTTTGGATGGAGTAGTTAACCTCATGCGAGGAGTAACTGTTAGATCGAACACATCCAGCATCAGTTCGTCATTTAGCAGCTGAAATAGCAGTCATTGTCATAGTATCCTCTTTCCTCAAATCCTGAAGAATATTGAAATATGACGCATGCGCATCAGTGTTATCAAACAGCTATTCCAAAGAAACTCACTTGCAAAGCTGTGATACCCGCGTGGCATGGAAACAGTATAATACATTGGATAGAATGGGCCGAGTAAACTGTCCACCAATCAACCCACCTACCCACCCACCCAAGTGTGTATTTGCCTGCAATCGGGGACCCCCTATTGTCCCTCTTTTGTTTGTACTCTAACTTTTTAGGAAGACCTCCCACATGTTTTGTACACGAATCCAAATTGGGGACCTCTCGGGAATTGGGGACCCTATTGAGAAATGGGGACCCTATTGTCCTCTATTGTTCCACGTCCCCTATTTAATGCAGAAACAAACTCACCCACACACCCAACAACATATATAGTGAGTTCAGGCACACGGTACGTTTTCACACCGCCTTGGGAAAAAAACTAATACAAGTATTAGCAAATACCACTAGCATGTAATCTTGTGAATTTTTTTCTCAGGGTGTATGCGAGTGCTTATTTATGAGCTTTTATAGGGATAGGTAAATCAAAGTCTTGAGCGAAACTTCAGAGAAGTTGAAGAAGTAAGGTGGTTGTGGTGCAAGGAAAAGGAACCCAAGTGTTGTGTGACGATCTTACTTGCTACTTCTCTCTCTTCATTAGGGCTGTGCATGGGAACCGGGTACCCGAGTACCCGACTGTCAATGTCGGGAACCGGTTCCAGATTATGGAATCGAGTACCCGTAACCATCTTCAGAAATTACTCAGTAACTTCTCAGAGAATGAAAAAGACCAGCATCGAATGTCATTTATAGAGAAAATTTCAAAATGAAAAAACAGACTACATGGAAAACAAAACCAATTCCATGTTCACGATGCTCGTGATAGTTGCAATTTTTGCCATAAAGCTAAAGAGCTCACTCTATACACTTGTAACTTGCGTACTGGCGCACCGATATGAGGTATTATTAGCATGCAGACCTTTATGAACAATCTGAACAGCAACTTCTGAGATTGACATTTTTTTGGAGCTGGGTTTCTTTAATGGGTACCCGAGTACCCGTATTTTTTTTCAATAGGGTACCCGGTTCCTGTACTACCCGTAAATGCACATCCCTACTCTTCATCGGTCAAATTTTATGTATTGTAAGAATCGACCCAAGATATTAAATTGTTGGATTCCACTTGTTAATTACTTGCAAAGTCCCACTCTCCACTGGTCAAATTATATAAAATTCTGCAAGGATTGTGCTTTTCTTGGGGTTGTGGAGTGAGATAGGATGGCTTGGTTCAGAGCCAAGATTTCGGACTATTGATCCAATTTTTAGTTTTTTTACAGCCCTCTTTTTTTCACTGTATTCTCAGAGTTGAGGTATAGTTGTGACCTTATCATGAGAAAGCATGGTTCAGAAACACGATATTGTTTTACGTTTCAGTAAATTACTTCATAGTTCTGTTTTTGTCATTTTTAAAATTGTGTGTGCTTTTAAACTTTGGTATTCTTGGGGGTTTGAGATGAGAAAGCATGGCTTAGAGCCAAGTAAAGAGACCGCTGGCCAACCTTTGTATGCTATTTACTGGTTCTGTTATTGGTCAGAATTTATGTATTATTCAAATTGAGGAATATGTGGGGTTATGTTGCAAAGAAGCACTTCTTAATTGGCCCAAAGCCACGGCATTGTTGGAAAACCTTATCAAGCACTTGCACGGTTGGTTCTAATCTCCATTGGTCAAAATATATTTAAATGTAGCCTATTGTAACTGTTTAATCTTGGTATGTTCCATGGGATCAATACCTTTTAAATATTATCATACCTTTTTAAATATATTATGAATTACTTGGTGGGCAAACTGAAATTGAATCACTTTGTCTTTCTAGAAATTGCATTTTGTACAAAACAAAACAAAACATTTTAAGCCTGTAACATGGAAGAATTTCTTTTTATATTGAAGATGACCACCCCTAAAAATAGTCCTGAAACCCATCGCCATTTTGAAAAATGATGCCTACGCTATGATTTGTAAAATGCAACGCTTTTGGTGCCCAATTTCATCTAAATTTCACAAAAACACCACCTCACAGTCCTGTGCACGGCTTCCATCCTTCTTTTTTTTACAAACCCTCAAGTTCATGGCCCACAAAATGCTCTAATACCGAACAATTTGAGGGCATGCAAATCGTGATTTGGCCGGCGTAGGCAATTTGGGCCTATTTACTGGTCTGGACCCTTTGGGACAATTCCATGACTTTCCCACGACTTTTCTATGACCAAATTATGAAAATCCTTGACCTAGTTGATCAAAATGCAGATCCAAATTGTAAAAATGGTTCCGTGAAAAGTGCTTAACAACCCCCCCCCCCCCCCCCCCCGAAAACAACAAAACAAGGCAATAATGTCAAGATAATGCTTCTTTCATCGGAATGTCGCATTTTGTCAGGTATAAAAATCAGATTTCCGATAACAAATTGTTATGGTTATGGTTTATTTGCATATCATATCACAAAAAACGTATTTAACAAGAATCTATATAACGAATGACATGAAGGACATGATTACAAATTTAAAAATAAAAGTAAAAAATGTACATATAATTCACAAAATTCCATGACTTTTCTGTGACGTTTGTCTTTTTTTTTCTTTTCTTTTTTTCACATTTCCTTGACTTTTGCAGGCCTTGAAATTGAAAAAAAATTCTGTGACTTTTCCAGTTTTTTTCCCAGGCGGAGGGATGTCTGATGAGTATTACATTGAAATAAATTCTCCACTTCATCACAGTACCTCCGGAGAAAAACACTAAATTATTAATCTAATATTGATTTTATGTAAGGATCTCTTCATGAGTCACCAATTCTAGCAAGACGAACTAGTTCGGAATAACTCCTTCATATCTCTATTTCTCTAATTGCATGATCTCTCCGGTAAACCACATGCCTTTTGTATAAACAGGGTCAACATTTGCAATACTTTATTTAACTTATTGGTAATAATTTTAGTCCCTGAGCATGTCTTTATTTAAACTTCTACAACTGGTTTTTGTTAAATCCACAAACTTTAATGTGATAATTTCCGTTTTCCTGTAAAACATAACTTACTATTAATAGTTTTATTGAGTATTTTGAAGCTTTGTGGCACCAGTGAAATATATTTTTGGAATAGTTATGAGCTGTCCGTTAGCCGTCAACTGGAAATAAAAATCGAACATCAGAAAGTAACACAATAAGTAAGTTACAATGTTGATATAGAAGTGTCAAATTCAAACGCTGTACATGTACTAATGTATATCAAAGTTTGCACTGTGGCATATAAACAAAGCAATATTTTTAGAGGACTGAATAGAGTGCCGAGTGAAGTGAGTGTTTCCAACTTTTTCTTTTCATTGAAAATGTTGTTTTGCAGGAAGAAAGCCATTACATTGATTTTCTTTTAGCACAGCGTACCGGCTTTAGGTATTAGGTAACTTATATGCCTAATCAATAATTAAGCATGCCATTTTGATTCGCTTTTAATTAGTAATGAATAATGAATTAATTGGTAATGAATAATGAATTGATAAGTCAACAAACCAAAATACCATTGTGAGATCACAAGTCTTGTTTTCGAACACTGAATGGAGATACACTGCAAAAACTGTACTGTTAATTTAACACCATTCAGTATCTATATAAGACAACACCAGTAAAATTTAACACCAGATTGTCCTATATAAATACCAATGGTGTAAATTTAACACTCCAGTTTTTGCAGTGTATAACATATTCAAATGCTGTCTCAGACAAATACTGCTGATATAGAAGTCTTAAATGGACTCAGCCGAGCTCACAAAGCTTTATCCCACGCATGCCATGTGCTTGCAGTGATCTGTTTGTCCCCATCCTTCTCAAACTTAGCTGTGTGTCTGTTGTGATGGACCAGCTCCCATCGTTTCATCCAAGGGCCCATGATGGTCGTGTCCAATTCCTCACTCACATTGTCGTCATGGCTCACGCCCAATTCTTCCTGTAAAAAAAAAAGAAACATGTAATTACGGATGAGGTCAAATCGAAAATATAACAAACAAATTAATTGATGTAATGTCAGCATGAACATTGCACATTAAACCTGTATATGGTGCTTTATCGGCATGTTAGCTTGTTATCCATTTTTATCACTATGTCTTTAATTTATTACTTTTTTGGGTTGCTTTTCGCCTTTCGGCCGTTTTTAAAACTTGCCTGGCCCCTTTAGGGACCACCTGTTTTTACGCCTGTGTCCCAGGTCCTTCTTTTGTTTCGGTAGATTCAATTATGTCCTTTTATGTCTTGTTTTATTCATTGTGAATGACAATAAAGGTTTTTTTTAAATAAATAAAGTCTTGCCTCCAATCCCAGAACTGAATCCGCGGCCTTGACGTGCCTATCAACCTTATCGAAGGAATCAAAGTCGATCACGTGATTAGGATCCTTTGGTGTGCGCATGAGCACGCTCTCCTTGATGCCATAGAAACCGTTTGGTTTGTCCGGCCTCTGCCAGCGGAGGTCGAGGCTCCAGCGCACTTTGTCAGAGTGGTTCTCCAAGCTGGAAAAGGTTAAGGAAATATTGAAGGCATTATTGTGATTAATTACGAAAATCTGGGGCAAATTTTTGGAGCTCTGGTTTTGAGTTATCATCTTTTACTCGGATGTTTCATAAAAGATTTCTTAAAAGATACTCAATATGGCGTTGAAACCAGGAATTCTTCAAAACATTTTGAAATCGCCGTATCCAACTCCAAGCTACAAAACGTATGCTGACGTCCATTACATATTATTTATTCGCTCCTTGTCTTGTGCATCACACGAGCCCTTGTTTCCATAAAAGTTAACATAAGACAACTGTTGTGAAGTTTATTAAATCCGATGGATGTAAGGGTAATTCCCCAGATTTCCCCTCCCTCCCCCCCTTTCAATTGGCAAATTATCACTCTGCCATTATGGCACGATGGACCACATACCTCTGATGCGGTATCGCGTTATTCATGAACAGAACTCCGCCGTAGGGCATGTCCATGGTAACCGCATCTTTGACATCCACACCTAGTGACGTTTTCATTACATCACAATCCTTGATTTGAACATACCAAGTCCCTCCCACACAGCAGGTATGGGTGGCTGTGATGCCCTTCCGATGCCCACGAGGTATGACCTAGAACAAAGCAACCCATCGTAGAAGAAATGCACTCAGTGCATGTGCGATGTGGATTTCAAACTTCCATTCCCAAGGTGCTTGCATAATTCAAACACATAAAAATCAATAACTTGGTATAAGTATATGGCCATGGAGGGTCAATCTTTGCAGCAGCGTAAAATAACGGTAGCCACGTGTTACCTGGGAGTTACAATAATTATTTATCGGAATTTTCTACAAACGATTTTTGATAGCCCACCTTTCCTAAAAGTACATGAAAGTTACATGTTACCTGCTTTTAAAAATGTTGTAAGATGATTTTGTAACCGATGAATTTTAATGCTTTGGTGATTGTTTTGTTCAACTCTTTATCAGACACGGCACTTGACAGTTCAGAGATAGTTTAATATTTTAAGACCATTTAAAAATATATAAATATTTGAATTTGTGATTTTTACACCCCTCGATGGAGCTTCAGGGAAAACGCCTCTCGACTCCCAACAATTGAAAGTACCTGCATACATCCATTCTCTTTGTTGACATCTAACATTGGTATCCATGCTGTGGGCTGCAATACATGGAGAGCTTCCGGATCCAAGTATGCATTGTCTGTCGGCAAATAAATATTTTCCATAACCAATTCGAAATTAACAACACCATCTTCCATTCCTAAATAAACTTTGACAACGTTTTTTGGGAAGTAACATTTTTGAAAAGGTACTTCTATTGTTTTTTAATCTACAGTGTACAAGGTGGTGTAGGCCTACACCAAAACGGAGACACGCATTGTCAAAGCTACCATTCAGGTGCCTTGGCCTAAGGGGTAATAATTAATTCCGTGCAGCAACCAAAAGCTTTGTTTCACAATGAATTACTTCTGATGTTCTTGTTTTATATGAAAAAGTATAATGCATTCACCTTGGTGCCAGGGAACTGTTGACTGTTCATGTTTAGGTGTCTAGGAGAAAAACATGAAGACGTGAGATATTACAAGTTATGCACAAACCAGAGTTTTGTGACTCGAGTCGAGTCGTTTTAAAGAAGTGTCTCGAGTCGAGTCGAGTCATTAGGTCAAGAAGGTCGAGTCGAGTCAAGTCACATAGTGTAGTCGAGTTGAGCCGAGTCGAGTCAAGTTTTTCGCTCGAGTCAATTCGAGTCACAAATATTTGAACATAATACATTGTACAATAAATAAACACACGAGAGAAAGTCTTTTTTTGGGGGGGGGGGGCTTTTTTAATTTTACATTCGGGCTACTACATGCCGTGACACCACATTTGACTCTTAATGAAAATATAAAGGGATGCCAGCTGATCGCCATTCAACTAATGGGGACACTGATCAAACCACGTTTGTATATTTATACATTATTCGCAAATATTCTGAAGCCCGGTTCATACTCGGCGCGAAAGCGAACGCGAATTTGTGACGTCATGGATAGTATTCGCGATGCGAATTCGTAAAAGTTGAACATATTTCAACTCGGGCGAATTTCGCAGAGAATGTTTCATGACGTCAAATTCGCTTCGCATTCGCGTGGATATGAGCCGGGCTTAACGTGACAAAACCGGCACCGGAGTAAGTCATTGCAAATATTTTTTTCGCAAAGTTTTGTTTTAATTTTTGGGACTCGAGTGTTATTAGCCTTCCTCGAGTTGAGTCGAGTTATTTGTTCGCAGTGACTCGAGTCGAGTCGAGTTATTTGCCCTTAGGGACTCGAGTCGAGTCGAGTCGAGTCACCAAAAATTGTGACTTGAGTCGGACTAGAGTCGAGTCATTGACTTGTACTTGTACCAAGGACCATCCCTAACAAAAATTTCATGTAAATCCGTCCATAACTGTTTTGAGTTATCTTGTTAACAGACAAACCAACCAATCAACAAACTAACCAAATCCGATAAAACATAAGCTCCTTGGCGGAGGTAATAAAATCACCAATGAAAAAGACAAGCAACTTGATGGCGTTACCTTGACTCTGAGATTCCAGACAGGATGACCGGCTATCTCTGGACCAATCAACTGCTCCATGACATTCAGCAAACGCTCGTTGGACCACAAATCACGAAAGCTCTAACAAGGAAACATTTTTAAGGCAAGAGGCCTTTTGAGTGAGAGTTTCTAAACCAAAGAGCAACAAACAAACTGCAACGGGCCGGGGAGTTGGCCAACAAGCATGCTTGACTAAACCAACAAGCACTATTGTAAATGTCAACCAATAATTATGATGCCATAAAGATAGGTAGGTAGAAAAAATAAAAATTCAGAAGTGACAAAACTGACACACATCTTAAAAAGTTGTACCTCCTTTAAAAAAAAACATTAAACAAGTTCGTTCTGTGTATTTTAAAGTACCGAAGCGTTAAAGGGAAAAAGTACATAAGCGTTAAAGGGATATAATACAAACTTTTGGCTATATTGGCTAAAAATCAAATTTCTGATAAATCGGCACTTTAGAATTTACACATTTATCTGTCTATTCGTGAATGGTCTTCTAATGGTACTTGACCCTCAAAACACGGGTTTAGACACCTTACTTGAGTAGTTATGTGCTATATTGGCCGAGATATGCCAAAACATAATTTTCCTGTATAGCGGCACTAATTTGCTTATTCATATGCCACAGACACACGTGGTCACTTCCAGAGTAGGTTCATTGTGATCTCTGACCTTGAAAACATGGGTTTAGACACCTAATTCGTTCAGTTATCTGCAATATTGGCTGAGATATAGTGAAAAATATATTTTTCGGTAATGGCGGCACTAATTTGCATAAAAACAATACGTGGGAATTTTTTTTTAATTTTTTAACATAGCAAATCATTTTCTACGCATTTTTGCCGACCTAAAGACGTCAATTAGAAGTTGATTTCCGAGGGTGCACGATAACCCCTTCTTCCCACTAAACTAGTTGAGTTAGTTTTGAATACTGCCGCACAGTTGTTCGCAGTCTGCGGAAGTGTAAGAAACAACGTTTGTGTATTTGGTGCTGTGCACACAACGTGTACAGGTCATTGAATAGAGACGGCTTGAAATGCGTATGCTTATTTCACAAAATGTCCGCCTCTTCCGATGCATTTCGTCTTTTCTCGAGAACGGTATTAGGTTAGTTTCCTTTCAACCAGACCTTTGAAATAAATTTTCGGGGATTTACGGCCGTAATGCCCCCTTAAACGGCTGTAGAACGTTGAGCATTTAGAATTCGAAATATTTGCAGACGTTGTCCAGTCGTATGTTGCTCACGTCGGCTTCGTTACGGGTGATGTTATTCAACTAGCAAATCAACTCTGTGGGGCCGCCTCGTCGCAGATTGAAGGATCGGCATCCAGGCTCATCCCGGCACGCCGAGCCGCACGCGATGACACCCTTGGCCGAGAACTCCTTGATGATGTGACCGGTGAGGCAGTGGGGTGAGGAGCGTGCGTCGGCGTAGTGTGTTCTTATTCCTCCATGGTTGCAGGCAGGACATCGTGGGAAAGGCAAGCGCGGAGCGGGACTCAGATGATGGACTTTCGAAAGCTGCAGATAGTGTCATCCATGCGATTCCATCCACGCCGCAGTTGCAAACAATCGAAACCAACTCCCCCATTTGGTTCTCCTGGTGCCCAGTTGAAGAAGTTGCACTCTCCTTCACCAGACTTCACCCACTTGATGCCTTCCTGCTCCTTGTCATTACATCCGATTCAGAGATTCCCACTTTTAACAATCTTTCTGTACATTTTATAGATGAACTGTTGTTCATCCATGAAATCAACAACCGCCAAGGCAGTGCCCATCTCCGAGCAGGCAGCATTACCTTGGTCCCATGTCATACTCTCGTTCAGGAGTTGATAGAAAGAATCTCCGAATCTCTGCTGGCTGGGTTGGCAATCCTCGGCGTGAAAATACGCACATGTGATCGCAATATTCAGCCAAAGTAACTTTATCGTGCGACCTGAGTTGGTAAGGGAATAAACGTGTGCTTTTGAGGGTTTTAATTACTCCGTTTAAGACCGCTTGGACTGTTGGAGTCTGGGTGCTGATAATTACCCGAGTAGAAGGGGAGTCTGGGTGCTGATATTCGGCTCGGGTAATTATCAGCACCCAGACTCCAAGCGGTCTTAAACAGAGTGATTAATACCGACCAAGCACCTATTTATTTCCGTTAATAATTACCTTTTCGGTCCAAAAAATCAACACTTTTCGGTAAAAAACCCCGATTTTGTTCAACAAGTTCACTTTATGTTTTTTGAAACACCCCTCTAGCTAAATCTTGGAGTGTCCAGCTCGATAGTTAAAACGCAGTACGGAACGTACAGGAGTATTTTTAGTTTATACGTCCATCATTAGTGTGTTCCCGCGTAGTTGTAAAACGTGACGCAATAGTTCCTTAGACATTTGGATGCCGTCATGCCAATTCCTTGGGGGGTGGGGGGGGGGGAGGGGGGCTGGTTGCCTTAATACTTCTTTCAGATTCCATAGCAATTAACGTTACCCATACTGATTGCCTTTTGTGTGTCCCTCAGTCACAATTCGTCATCATCATCATGTTCATCCAGTGTAGGATGTAGCCCTCCTCATGTTGGCGCCATTATTCTATTCCTTGCTGTTCTTGTCCATAATGTTCCTGCATATGACGTTATGTCATCCCTCCATCTTCTTCGCTTTTCCTTTTTCCCCGTCCTTAGTTGCCACCTGTTGACTTTCTGTTGTCGTTTCTTCGGGTAACAATTGTTTACTGCTGTGATGTGGGATATGACGTTTTGAATACACGAGGGGCGCACTATGCGCCACAAGTGGTGATATGACTTATTATTACGTCATAGTTATGGCATATCTTGTAATGATGACTTAGTATTAAGTCATAATTATAATATATATTTCATAATTACGACTTAGTAATTGTTAAATCATAATTTATTTCTCATATTCATGACTTATTGTTAAGTCATATTTATGACAGATCTTATTATTACGACTTAGTTTTAAGTCGTAATAATGACTTAATACTAAGTCATTATTATAAGATATTTCATAAATATGACTTTATGACTTTAAATCTTAATTATGAGATATATCTCATAATTATGACTTAATACTATATATAGGCCTATAAGTCATTATTATAAGATATGTCATAATGACTTAATAATTAGTCATAATTATGAGATATGAGTCATAATTATGGCTTAATTATTTGTTTAGTTTGTATTTTGTCCAACGCTTCCGTATTGATTTTAAACGAACGATGAGCGATAAAAGATCGTAAATAACAAAACTTTCAGTACGAGATACGAGAGGGGCAAAGTTCATTCTTACAACAATAAACCTCTCACATATTTATTGTAAGTTTACCTGAGGAAGATATCCGGTCTTGTGAAGCAACACAGCAGCGCCGGGGAACTGTTTCTCGATGAGTATCATGCGCTGGAAGAAACCAGCGTCGCTACATTTGTCTGAAGCGGAAAACCAACTGACATTTATTGCTGATTCAGACAACACACAGTCTTCACAAATCAGAAGCTTCAACATCACCACGAAGACAACATAATGAGATTGAAACTGTATCTTGCATTATTTTTAGATGCGGAAAGCAGCTCAACAAATGCCCGCCATGTCTCTCCATTAGTTGGTTGGTTAGTTAGCAACAAATGTCAGCAATGGCCTTGCAAAAAAGCCTATCTGGGTTTCCACTGACCGCCATGGGCGTCGCCAGGATTTTTTCTAGAGGGGGGCAAAACATATTTTCCCCAAAAAAATCCTGTAGTTCTCAACATATTCTCGATTTCTCAGTTTTAGAGGGGGGCAGGGACATTTTGCCCCCCCCCCCCAACTCGCGACGCCCATGCTGACCGCCTATACCAATATTTATATGCAGTCCTGGAAAATTGGGTCACTAGGGTCAAAAACCTGACGTGTGTACTGAAAACACAACTTCCAGAAATTACATGGCGCATCACCTCACACACATGCATGAACACAAATGCACAGGCCCGCAGCTTCCGAAATCATTTTGAGGTTGTTATTTTAATCAACAAAGTGATCAGACATTTAACACAATTCATGATGGAGGTCAAGTCCAAAGGAATTATCTGACTGTTTAATTGAACGCACCTTTGATCTTGCCAGCATTGTAAAGTTTGTTGGCCATAAGATCCACGGCTTCCGCTATCCCTTCCCTCACGGGATCCAGCTCAGACGGTTTGAAGAAATCAGGAACAAGTAGATAGCCCTGCAGAAAAGAAAGTAATGTTTTTAAAAGTAAGCTACACAATGCAGGTTACAATCAGGTAGGGAATGTGTCTACAATAATATGAAAACCGACAAACGAAATTAAGCGAAACCTTAATGGCATTTTGTCTCCTTTATGTATGAAGACATTCAAGAATCAGGTCCTAAAGATATGGTCTTCCTAAAAAGAATAGTGCCTATATAGTAACTTTGCAAATGATTTCGCCTAAAGTTGAACCCAACCATGGAGGATAGGAAGGAATAGCCACGCAATTCTGAAATTAAGCTTTGCGGCTAAAGGGAATATTGGCAAATAAAACAGCTGGTTTTGCTGATTTCATTTTTCTCCGCTACTCCCCACATCACGTCAGTTTATCCACGATGCTAGGTTGATGGGTGTGTGTGTGTGTGTGGGGGGGGGGGGGGGGGGGGGGGGGTGTTTCCGATGCACATTAGGGAAAGTAAATTCGAAAACATTATAGTGCGTACTGTAGAAAGATACCGATATAATCTGTTGTACAGTCTGTGGCATTTAAAATAACACCCCTAGAAAGTCAACAAACGGCGAGAGGCGCTTTTATATTTTATATACGTACCTCGTTGAAATAGTGTTTGAGTTGTTTCTCTGTGAGCTGGCCGGGTTTCTTCACTTTGGGTTGTGGTGGGACGGTGGTGTACAACTCCGGCTCAGCCTCATTATCCTCCTCCCCACGTTTGCTCTTCTTCTCCCCCGATAATTCCCCTCCCTGGCTAGACCGTTTCCTTGTGTTCTGCGGCATTTTGTCGTGACGAGGACTACGTTGTGGTGTGATTTGTACTGTAGCTGTCCCGAGTAGGCGTACTAGTGTAATATATCTTTCTCACTTATCTTATCCAATCAAGTGTTCCCGTAGGTTGTTTGGTAAGTTTGTTCGTCCGTATGTGGATTGTTAAAGGGGCTCGTTCATATATTTGTCCAGAAAAAGCACACCAATATAACCAGGTTATGTTTTGTTGTCAGTTTTGAATATTCTTTCTCTCATCTCTCAGTCTCACTTGGGACCGCACTTGGGATCGAATACAAGGAATCGGGATGTGCCTTAGTAAAAGAATATTGAGTTTGAACACTGGCATGTGAACAATGTAAAAGGTTTTCTCATGTTTTTTTTTTAGTGTGGTATTTTACATTTGACTCATGCCTGGTCGACTGAGTCAGGCGAGTCGATTTCGTTTGGGGTTTTTAATTTTCATGTAACTCTGCGTTAATGGGTGGCATGCACATCAGGACGTAGCCCACAGTTAACGTAAAATAAACGACGAACACTGCAGCCATCATGTTAAATTGCAAAGAAAGGTCGACTTTGTCTTTGTGATTGCACAAGAAAACACCAATTTATAAGCATAGGCCTATGCCCTTTATGATCCGTTCTTGAACCTTGTCCCGGGATATCGAATCAATCATTGTTGATGTACCCTAACGTGGCGCGGCCCCTAACGTGGCGCACTTTGATTTTTCGCCTGTAGCGCCTAGCTAGAGCAAAAGTTTTAACTGAAATTTCACAGAAAGTGAAATTTCATCAAGTTCTAAACACTCCCGTTCATAAATCGCGAGTTTATTTACCCGTTACAAATTTAAAAGAATTTTTTTTTTGGCGTGATTTTCCGATTTTATTTTCAAGTGCAAAGTGAACCCTTTGAAAATGCCCCGAAAAATAAGAAAATAATTTTCTGACAAACATCTGGCTGGGTTTGTAAGTAAAGATAATAATGATTTATCAGAATTTATCAAGTTTACAGAAATTCTTAAATGTTAATTTGGAATTTTCTGAGATTTATTCAAGTGCGCCACGTTAGGGAACACTCCGCCAATTTGTGCCCAATTTCCGGACGCGACCGTTTTTGCATTTCGGATTAAATTTTATGAAACCGAAATTGTTAACAGAGGTTAAATAGCAAGCATTAAAAAGGTAAAAGTACCAGCATTTCACTGCATGAATTTGAGATTTATCAACAAAGAGGTTTTGCAACACTACACGAGGAAAGTTGGGTAAGCTTCGAAGTGCGCCACGTTAGGGAACACGACTATATAATTCAGTACTCACGTATGCGCCGCAATGTTTACAATGGTCACCTGACTGAGTCACATGACTTCATCTCCAGACCGTAGACGTCGGCTTGCTGTTGTTGAGTAAATTTATCGATACAAGTCAGTCATAGTCGATTCTTTGTTGGGGGTACAACTAGCAGGGCGCACAGTGTCGCACGTGTATGGTCTGTACTACAATATAGCTCTATGGTCTGTACTGTCGAGATTCATAATCTTTGTAATCGATACTGCAATACCACAAGTCGATCGGGCAACGAAGAAGCACTGAAAATCATCCATGCATGTAGACGTGCGTGGTCTGTCATCATCACTGACATCTGGTCATCATCCATCAGCTGAGTTAATTCCTTCCTCCATGGTGATACTGATAGCTTTTGACTTCGTTGTTTGACAACTATTGTTTCGGTTTACATACATGCCGTAAAAATGTCAAGAGACAGGGATCTGGAGCTTGCTCTAAAATTGCAGGCACAATTCGACGAGGAAGCAGTGCAAGAAATTACTGAAAACGATTCATCCACATTCACCACATTCACCACATCAACCGAAAATGCCCCAAAATTTACGCCATTGGGCAGTGGCTCATCACGAGCGAATTCCCGTCGTAATGAACCGATGTCCATTGTGGATGAACAATGGGAACTCCTGGACCCCAACCCCGACATGAGAGCCATGTTTCTAGAGTTCAATGACAAGTATTCTGGGGGAGATTGGCGGGGGTTGAGGTTAGATGGAGTCCCAGAATGACATTGTAAGTTGGTGTTAATGTATGATCCATGGTCATGATCATGGTGTTATTTCAATCAGATTGTGATCGCACCATATATTACTCCTAGAACTATGATGCTCCGCTCACCATAGTTTTAGGAGTACATATATATCGCACTGGTACTAAACTAGCTCTAGGAGTTGGGGGGGGGGGAGAGAGCTCAGAAAAGGATTTTGGGGTGGAGTGAAATTTTGTGAAAAATATAACTTGACTATAATTTCTATAAACTCCAGAGCTCTTGTATTTGTATCATTATTCATTATGGAATGAATGTAGCATCCATTTCTTGATTAAACGCCATTTCTTTGGTTGTGTACAAAGTCTATCATGTCTATGACAATTCAGAGCATTTTCAAAGTATTTTCTACTAAAATTGAAAACGTTTCTCAGTGCCACATTCATGTCTTTTCGACATTTTTGCAATGGTTGACTTTCACTGAGTTTATCTCAGATGAAAAAAAGTGGCGTCAGGATAAAACATTCTTTCCTTAATGATTTGTAAGAAATATCACTGTTTCCTTTTCTCCATGCTGCTACCTATGTATGATGCATTTTAAGATGTCAATGTGAAAATATTATATTCAGTTGAACTGAAAAATATATATCATTTGTATATGTGTTGGGCGCAATCGCTTGATTCTCGCTGCGCAATTCGTCAGTCGTGCCATTCCCCTTTGCCAGTCTCAGCTTTCGAGGATTGTTTTGAAAAAGGGACTTAAAGTCTGAGATATCCTACTACATGATCAAGGGATCGCGCAAGTGCATTATAATTCTCCATGATCGAGTGATAGTGCAGATCCAGTGCCAAACATGTGTCACAAAACAGTTCATGAAGACATAAGATATGGAAACATGCATTGTCAGCCTGGTTATTACTTGGGTCATTATTGGTGAAGACCCCCATTGGTTTGTACACAGTATGCCAGGAGGTGAGATAAAAAACTTTTGATCGTTTGTGACCTCTTAAATAGTAGGAGGGTTAGCTAATCTGCTAATTGCTACATTTTACTAACAGGTGTGCAGGGTTATGCTGTTATGAGGGGCATGGGGGTCTGTGTTCCATCCGCCTCAGCTCACCATTACTGAAGCTGAGACCAAGAAAAGACTTGGTGGAAACGTTACTGGTGAGAACGCTTGCTCATAAATCCTGTTCTGTTACATGAGTAAAGGCCTTCTTGCCTAGTTGTTCATGTAAGCAACTCCTATAAGTCATCGTAAGTTATCTAAGTTACATGTCATAAGTCATCGCAAGTCTGTCACAAGTCATCCGGTCCCAAGTCAAGTCACAAGCTATTCAAATGAATTGTAACAAAGGTGCTCATTTGTTATCGTTTCGGTTTGCGGTAACACCATGTGGTAATAACTACTGCTTAGAAGATATTAGTTCTGAAAAGAACTTGTCCTGCTTATTATCAACTTTGCTAAGTAGTTTTTTGTTCTGATAAGAACAGTCCTGCTGTAAGTTCTAAACGAACTTGTCTTGTGCTCCTTTGTTATTGTTCATCACTTACGTGTGACCTTGAGGATGTAAGCTTGCATCTACACAGTAAATGTCACAATCCAACTCCAGTTTGTTAACAACATAAACTAATACCTGTAGGTTCAAGACACGCAGTTAAAGTTATGAAAACATGAACCAACCAGGATTTCTGTCAATTGATGATCTTGTGCTGCAGCTTGAGTTGCATTTTGAAGGTCAAGGAAGCCCCACACGATAATGCCCCACCACACACAGAAACATTGCTGTCAGGAACTTGTTGAGTACGGCTAGAGTAATCACTCTGAATCATTTGTGGGGGGGGGGGGGGGGGGAGTACACCCTGTATAATCATATGTTCGCCAAGAGAGTAGTCTTTGGCAATTTATGTAAAGATAACAAATTAGTGACTAGTCCTTCTGTTCTTTTTTTTTTCTTCAACTTTACAGCATGAGATGATCCACGCCTATTTGTTTGTGACAGCAAATAACAAGGTAGGGCAAATTTGTCAGTTTCCCAAATTTCATTCAGATTTGAGGTTTTAGCCCAAAGCTTACTTGTAAATGTATACTTTGTTCTAACTATCATTAATGTGTTTTCATTCCACAGGATCACGATGGACATGGGCCGGAGTTCTGCAAGCACATGAACAGATTGAACCAATCTACCGGTACAAACATTACTGTAAGTTGTGTCTTTGCGGGAAAACTTGGATAGTGACCAATATCAATATGTTATAAATTGCTCTGTCCTCAGATGCTGTGTTTTGAGAGTACGAGGTCAAGGCTAAAATGAGACATTTGCTTCAGTGTTATTGTTTTGCGGAACTCTTTGTAAGCAAGTTTAATATTTCGGGGAATTGTCAGGTCAGGGAGCCAGACTAGCTTGCGTGCACCCGTTCAAGGATAATTGCAAACAAAATGTGGACTTTAAAATTGGTAAATTGGAGGCAGTATTTGAGAAAAGTCCGGTTTTTTTCCAAAGATGGTCGGCCAACCATCGTTGTAAGTTGATACAAAAATTCCACTTTTCTTGAAAATGACAGCACACCAGGTGCCATGATTTCCCAGGATGCTTGAGACTATTATTCAATACTGTCAAGTAAGTTATTTTATAATAATTGGGTAGTTTTGTTTTTTGATGTTTCAGATGTCGTATATTACCTTTAATGAAATAAACAAGTCAAAGTTTCCTGGGCGCTAGAACATGTATATTTTTGCATATTTTAAACATGCACATGTGGGTCATTCTATATATTTAGGGATCAAAAATGTGACATTTCTTCTGTCCATATTAGTATTACTCTGAACTTTGTAATTTGCTATTCATAAGAGTCATTAAAAGTGACTTCAAACTAATGTTTATTTGTTGGGTAGGTAGTTTGCTATTAATAATCACTCTTGAAGGAAGAATACTCGAAGGAGTGCATGAAGAGTTACAAAATCATAGATGTTAGATTTAACGGGGACAGGAAAAAAGTATACCCTAAATTTATAGGACGACTCATCTACGTTCATGCAGAAATCGCTGAACATTTTTTTTCTTCCAGATCTACCACAACTTTCACGATGAAGTGGACGTGTACCGTCAACACTGGTGGCGCTGCGCCGGGCCCTGCCAGAAACGACCCCCCTACTACGGAATGGTGCGGAGGGCCATGAACAGACCGCCCTCCAAAAGGGACCCCTGGTGGGCGGAGCATCAGCGCACATGTGGGGGGTCCTATACAAAAGTGAAGGAACCCGAGGGATACGGGGCCAAGAAAGGAACCAAGAGGAAGAAAGAAGATGCTGATATGGAGGGGATTGAAAATGGTGAGAATATTTTGAGGTTGCCAGAAATTTATACTGTTATAAGTCTGCTACTGTCATGTATAATATTATTATTCAAATAATGAAAGTTCACGAGTGCAATGGTGAGAATATTTTCATAAGTTGAAAGATTGATTGTGCCGAGTTGAATGGAACATCCGTCCTTCAACGAATGAAAATATACTCACCATTACACAAATCCAAAACATTCATTATTTGTTTTATATAACATCCAAGTAGATCTTTGTCATTCAATATTGGATGATAAAACTTTAAGAACAAACAAAACTCACAAAATTGTATCAAATCCAATCCTTTTTTTAGCTTGTTCAAGGCTAGCAAAGGTTTAAAAGTCAAACCATCGACAGTAATGTAAATTAACTTTGTAAGTCCTTAAAACAAAGCAAAAAAACTCATCAAGGCAACTTCGTCAACTTCAAAGTTAAGATTTGTACTGCTATAATGCATGCTATGGTCTAAATAGCGCAAAGAACATATAGCTCCGGGCCGCTGCACGTCTTAGCGTGCGCTCGGCATGCACTACATCAAAAAGGATGGGACAAAAATGCACGGTGAATGAAACAAAAGTGGCATGGTTATGACGTAGGCCGTGCAATGGTTCGATTAATGAATGCCGCGTGACCTACAATCCTCCAATCAAATGACAAGGATTTACTTGGGTGTTATATAATAAAGTATGTATGGTGACAGTGACAGATGGAATGTTCCATTCCATGAGGCAAAGCCAAGCGGAATGGAGCATTCCATCTGTCACCCAATGAAATTATTCTTTCCATTGCTTGAGTGTGAAACATTTATTGTTTGTTTTAATGCAATGCCTGAATAGCGTGATCATACAGTGAAACTTCTATTTACTGTGGAATGGAACTTCTGTTTTTGTAGTGGATTGGGATGAATAATTCAATTGCACGTGATCAACAACCCACTGATCAGAAGACGGGTATTTATTTAGGCCTTGTATAAAACCACATATTGACTGTTGCCTTGCAGAAAATGTGTCTTCAAGAGATTTCCTTTAACTCTGCACTGCTCTTTGTATTGTTTTAGGTTGATTTTTGTACAATTTTCTATTGCAACGGCCATTCCAGACTGGAGTTCCAGAGCTGGGCCAAACCAAATTATTGGAAATATTTGAAAATTTTGTGAATGGAAACCTCAACATTTTAAACAACTAGGAGCGACCATGTCAAAAGAGTGACTTTTGAAGTTGTTCATCAGTGTGACTCAAGAATGTAATCAATGGAAAATTGTACAGTTGGCCTGTCTGAATCCAAAATCGCTTTGGGTTCTACCCGAGTCGTTCCTAAGACAGTTTGGTCAAGGTTGTAATGTGCCTTATAAAAGTTCAGTTTTCCTTTGTTTGGATATTTTTTCCTCGTAATTTTTGCAAGTTGTATTTTAAGGAATGCTTTAATAGTTATCATGCTCTCTCTTTAGAAGGCTTACCCCTATATTGTCATTACTTTATATCTTATAACTTTTGGGAAACCTTATCTTGAAGGGGAACACATCTGAAAAGTATCTTTTAAAGATTAACTTCCTCACCAACTATGTTTTGTCCTTGCATCTTAGAAACAAAGAAGAGGGCAACAGACACTGGCACAACCTCATCATTTCCTGGTAAAGGTTTTACCATTGGGGGAGCCAGCGCCACATCAAGACTGGTTCCCCCAAAGACGGCCACCCTGGATAAGTTCCTGAAGAAGGTGGAAGGTGGCAAGAAGTTCCCAGGGCCGCCGCCTCCTCCCTCACCCCCTTCCTCATCAAAAAGCCAAGATGATGATGATGAGGAAGATGGTGGTAGCCAAGGCAACCGGTCAAAAAATGCAAGACTGAGAGCCCTAGCAGCGATATTCGACAGCGATGATTCGGATGATGAGGACATCGTGATCGTGAAGCTTGACACATCGCTCAAAAAGGATCCCAAGAAGGAACCCAATGGATTCTGCAAGGATTCCGACAGCAAACCAGGAACATCCAAGTCAAATTCTCATCTCACGAAAACTTCTGTTCCTCCAACGCCAAGGAACTTGCCACCCACAGGGCTTTCGTCCAACTCTAAACCAACACAGGGTAACAAATCAGGTGTTGTGTCCAAAACCATAGACAACATTGCTTCCACCTCAAAGGGAAACACAGAGGATCACGGGAAGAAACAGGACTCCATTATAGATGCCTTCAATAGGGTAAGACAACGATCTGGGGATATTGGAACCAAGAACGTAACCAGAGTCAACGCAAATAATCCACAACATAACGATGGATCCCCTTTGAGAAATTTGTCCTCAGCCACAGATGCTACCGTTAGTAATGTACGCGAAAATGGAAGACCCCCAGACACTGAGATGGTGGCCTGCCCCGTTTGCCAGCGTAAAGTGGAACAGTCCAGAATCAACCAACACCTCGACCAGTGCTTATCGTGACAAGACTCAACGGGCGTCACCATTTGTTGAAAGAGGCAGGGGTGTGCATTGAACAGTCTTTGGATCAGTGTATCTCATGATTAGTTTCTCCAGTTTGATAACTGAAAGGGGCCATATCATAAATCCGACGCCTCATAGGTCCGACGCCTCATAAGTCCGAAATTTTGGACTTATGAGGCCTCGGACTTATGAGGCATCAAATGTATTTATTCCGCCTCATAGGTCTGACGCCTCATAAGTCCGACGCCTCATAAGTCCGACATCGGGAAAAGCGAGGCGTTTAATTTGTCGGACCTACGAGGCGTCGGAGCTATGAGGCGTCGGAACTATGAGGCGTCGGACTTATGGACCTTTATTTGGTTAGGGGATGCGATTTTGTCGGACTTATGAGGCGTCGGACCTATGAGGCGTCGGACCTATGAGGCGTCGGACTTATGAGCGGACCCCATCTGAAAGGGGTAGCTGATGGATTGCAAGTTGATATCACTGGAGTTTCGCCTAGATGCAATATTAAACTTGTCGTTTTTTGGAGGTTTTGTCACATTTTTGATTTGGGGGATGAAGGAAAGTGTAGGTGGGCAGGTCCAGGATGGGGAAAGGGGTATTGATTGGGAACCCCATCTGGAAAAAAGTTGTGGACATTGTAGGTGCAAATCTTGTCTGTGTTTTACACAATATCTATGCGGTAAGCATCTCTTGAATCTCAAAATTTGTATCCATTTGAAAAAAACAAACAGAAAAAGTCTCCTCTGAGATGCTTGGTAGTTAAACTGAGTATCTGGATTTGGTTGGACGTAATTTTACTTGTGATTGACATTACTTCAACTCTGCATGCAGGCAAACAGATTTAAGTTGGAGCAAGACCTATCAGTATGGTTTTGTTCACACTGTGACGTTACATGTATTGAACATCATTGCTAAAGGTATGAACTGTGCATGCACTTATTTTATGACTTCAAGTTCAAAATTTTACCTGTATAGTGTGATACACTTTTGTAATTTTGTGATGCAACTTTTGAATAGAGTATTGCATCATGTTAAGACATGTTCAGACAACAAACTCGGACATTTCTCAGGTTAAAATGGTAGTAGTTACATGTACATCATGACAATATTAACAGTTTCCATGTGAATATTTATAATAATGACACACATATGCATTTTGAGAAAACCTATGCATGTAAGTAAGCACTGCAACCTTTATTCAACTCTGTAATTTTGTCAATTTTGAAGCATTCAGAAAGGTGCTCCAAAGATTTATACAATGCACAACTATAGTTTGAGGAGTCAGGGTACCAACTTGGCTAGGAAAGTAAGCACTGACTTCTCTTTCTAGAATGTAATAAATTATTACAGTTTTTAACTCTTGTTTAACATAATGTAGGGCCATAAAATTGATACATTTTATATATTTAATTACAGATTTTCCAACGAAACCTATGGTCACAACTTTTTAATGTGTTCATGTAAGAGATTTTGATATTATCTTAAAAAGAGCTTCCTGTCCATGTAGTCACAATAAAAGTACACTTTATAAAATAATACCAAAGTGATTCTATTGAATACCATACTTGACATGTTCTAACTACTTTATAGGTACTGGGTGTACTACAGAAGAGTACTTTTTGGGGGTCAAAGGTCGTCTGTTTTGAAATTAGTCAGTTGTCCATGACTTTATGGGGTATTGTTAAAGGCATATGGGATAATTTGCATTTATCCCAATAGTAACCTACCAAATTATCAAAAAGCTTCCTTGGATTAAAAATCATACTGGTACTAAACACCCTGTGAAATTATTCCATCTGGCTTGCTGTCATTTAGAAGAAATCAAGATGATTACCAACGATCAGTCAGTTGACTGTTACTTGGAAATAGTGCTGCAGTAGATGAAATTGTGTTTCGTGATCAAAAGGTTGTGCATGGCTTTTCTTATTTTCTCAAAAAGGGTAATATCCACTGAGCTGAACTTCAACAGGTTTAGGTGTTGAACATTTTTCTTTGGATTTTGAGTATTATTGTAAATGAACAAAATGCATGAAAAGCAAATGATCCTATATGCCTTTAAATGATGCAGTTAAGGAATATGTGGAAAAATTGGTAAATCCTCCCTTTATAGAAACAACCATGCTGATAAGTCTCAAGGTCATGTTTTTACCATACCAATCTGTTATAATTGATTTAACATTTTTGCTAAAACACCCTGTGTATGACCTTCGATTTGACATAATGAAACATATTTGACCCTGTATACCATTTAATTTAAGCACTGCAATTTTCTATAAAAACACAACTATATCTACATGTATTTATTCTTTAGTTCAATTCAAATGAACATGTAGTACACACTTAGTTTTAAATATTTACTAGTCATTAAATTATGAATATTTTCAAAGGAATCAATACAAACGATATTGAATGTGTACATATACAAAAATGTACACAGCCATACAATGCCATGAAATTGGCAAGCTCATATAAAACAAAACATAGAAAAGTGAAAATAATTTGCTGTCCTATGGAAGTATGTCTTAGGAACCACACATGTAGCGTGATCAAGGCGTAAACCAAAGATCTGCTGTTCAGAACTCTTGTGCAATATAAAAATGGTAAATCAATATATGCCAGTTAAATAAGAAAAGCACACAATGTTGCAAATAAATATCTTTTTGCAAGCTGCAATGGTTTTTTTTTTGTAAATGAAACAAACTTAATAAATATACATTTACATGGTGAAGATTTGTCTCTAAAACTGCACATGGTGACAAATTATTTTACAAACAGATCACCTTTTTGCTCAATGACTCTTGTAACTATAAATCTACTTCAACAATTCGGGCAATTCACAATGCAGTGCGCCACCAAGAGTTTGCCACGGAGAGTTCAATTTTCCCAGTGCATTGTGGGAGATGGTCGAGAAATTCCCAGCGCGGGACATTTGAAAGTGTTCGTTTTTCCGTTTAGTAGTTTCGTAAGCGTACGATTGGAGGATCTGTTTGCCCTTTTCTTTTCTTGTTATCAATGTGGTGGGTTTTTTTGCAAGGTCAGAACGTATATGCCCCAATCTATAACGAATTAGCTCAAGTTGTCTACCGACACTCATTTAAATGGGCCATGTTTTGTCGGCCGTAAACTTTAAAAATGGACTCTCCATGGCAAACTCTTGGTGGCACACTGCATTGTGAATCACCCGAATTTAACAACCCAAAACAGAGTTTTTCCTCTTTGTCAAACTTAAAATAAACCCTGACTCTATGGACTTCTAAATTCCTTTTTCACATCCTTAAAAAGTCAAATTATTCATTCTGAAATGTTGGTACTAAACATTTGGAATGTACACAAACACTACACCAACATAATGGTGTTTGTGTTCTTAGGCAAGACACTTGACTACAATAAGCCATTTGCGAGTGACCTACATGTATACCCTTTGGGATTTAAATTTGAAAAACATCTGGTACACTGACTTGCTCAGAATGCTTGGCACATTTTAACTTTGAATTGTCCAGACCAAAGACACTGTTGCTAATCACATGATTCGGGGCAAGCTCTTGCATAGTTACCCAAGAGATGCTCAGCACCAATACATTGTTCACAATGGGTGAGAATGTAACAAAGACACCAGACCATGCCGGAGCTGGGGATTGCTAGCATAAGGTTTGCCCCGAATCACGTGATTATAGTAACAGTCTCTTTGGTCAGGAGAATGCAAAGTTAAAACGTGCAAAGCATTGGATCAAGTCAGCTTTCCAGATATTCAAATTTAACTCGCAAATGGCTTATTGCCTCTCTCCATCCTGTTGTATTAATCAGCACCTATGAGCATACAGGGAATGGATGTAAGTGGACTGTGACATTTTATGCCCGAAATATAAAGTATTAACCCCAACTCCCTAGGCCTTTTTGCTAGGATGTAGCCTCAATCCTGCAAAATCCTCCAATTGGGCTCCTGGAAATATAGCATATAGCCTCAATCCTGCAAATTCCTCCATTATTTCTTGAATATGGGTTGTGGAGGGGTGACCACTGCCTAAATCCTCCAGCAGTGACTGTCAATATGTTGAGGCTTGGCCAGTGACATCCCGGAGCAGTACGGAGGATTTCAAGCATAATCCAGGCCTATATTTATGCATGGCTGAGCAGAAACAACACAAGGTCTACCCCAAGACTTTGACAAAGTGCATCCTACGAAATCAGTAACGCACTTTTGCCATGTAACTTCAATCCTCCAAATTCCTCCACTTTGGAAAAGAGGATTTTTAAGGATTCAGGGCGGTTAGGGTTAAGGAAATGTACAGTACTATACACACACATGTATGGTGCCAATATGTTGTTTACAATTTGAAAAATGCATGAAATCAGGCATTATCTCAACTATAATGGCCTGATGAACAGGGGCAGTACATAAAATTGTGAAGCACTTTGAGACATTGGTGTTAAAGGCAGAGTACATCATTTGCACCTATCCAAAAAGTAACTGACCAAATTATTGTAAAAAAAAAATTATTGGTTTAAAGATAGTAATTGGCACTAAACTCCCTGTGAAATTATTCCGTCTGGTATGCTGTCATTTTTGAAGAAAACAATAAAAGAAGGTCATTTCCAAAGATGAGTCAAGTGACGCATTTTTGGAAATTTCCCTCAGTTGGTTTGTAATTGGGTGAAGCAGTGAATGGGTGCGCGCACAAGCATTGACAGAACGCACATGCGCGCGGTTGCTCCGTCAGTTCAGTGTGTAACCGCATAGCTGCAATTACCGGGTTCCGGATGCTGATTTTGGGCGCAATTCAAAATATCACTCGGCAATTTTTGAATTGAAAATCGAGATTTTAGAATATTGTTTTCTCGGAATATACAGTGTTCACAAAACTAAAACTTCATCAGGTTAGGCCAAATAAAACAAAACATGTTAAACGTCCTACCTTTTTGAAAAAAAGGAAGGAGGAGGCCCTTTTTCCCCCCTAAAACGACCAGCCAGGCTATTTTTCAAGATGGCCGCCAGCTTTTTTTTAAATGGCCGCCACTTGGACTCAGGAAATAACATACCAGCTTTATATGGGCTAGATGCAACAGACACAGAGGCCAAAATGATGTCACCATTTAAAATTTATCATTTCCCACCCCCCCCCAAAAAAAGAAGGAAGCGGCCTCCAAAAAGAAAGTGGGCGGGTACGCTACACATGGTTTTTTTTTGTTATTTGGCCTTAGTTGTTAAGCACCCATCTTTAGATTTTGAGCACTTTTGTTCCTTCAAACGAAACAAATGACAAATGATCTATTCTACCTTTAAACATTACAGGAATATAAGCATATCATACTATTACATGTATTCTTGGGTAAAGGTACATGTGTGTAGATTTAGGAAAGACAGTAGACAATGGAATAGAATATCAGAGGTAATGCTGGAGTCCTTAACATCATTATTCAAAGATGATTGTTGTCCTCCATGCCTTAAGCATCCCTCTAGCATCTCACTATTAATCTGGAAACCACGGCAACCGCATAAATTACTGCTGCTGATACCCTCAATTGATCGCCTGCACTCAGATTGCATTTGTCTGTCTCGCAGCACTCCACGCACCCCCATCCGGCCCGCGACTTGTCGCAGAAGTAACGTTTCCCAAGTTGTTCCGTAGCTGCATCGCACCCATCCTGAGATGCACAATACTTGTCAATCCTCAACTTGCCTCTCTCAGCTGAAATAAGAGAGGAATTGAAAGTAGCCATCATTGTAACAGTTACAAACTCATAGTCGATGTCAATTAATTTTTTTCTGAGGAAAAAAAAGATAGAAAGATCCAAGGACCAACAAACAGGCAAATTTTTTTTACTCAAATCACAAAACTCTTGACAAAAAGAACAAAGCCCTAAAACAAGTCCCCAATTAAATATAAAAAAAATACCCCCAAACAACCAGCTGATCCATCCACCCACTACACTAAAAGTTGAAATAAAGTTCCCAATGAAAAGAAACCACAAAACGAGGAACATCCCCTCCCCCTCCAAGAAAAGTGCATGGAATCCTCTGCCATTTATACATCACTTGTGCTTCGCACTGCTTGCCAAAGTTTCATTTTCAAAGCATAACTTCCTTGCATCTTTCAATATTTTGTTTTCTTCAGCCAAGTCATAGAGTACCGAAGTCTGACATCAGCTGTCTCTGTTCTGGTTCATGTGCTGGCTTGCCTGCTGATGTCATCACACACTTGAGCTATGTGCGGGAATCGGAATATTTGGCACACTGCGTTACTCTATTGCATTTTGCCATCTGGTGCTGGAATCCCAAACTAACATAGGCTTGGTTGTAAGAAGTGATGTAGTATTTAATATTAGGTTTTGCCCTTCACTGACGTATACTCAGAGTGTTACCTCCCAAGTGTGGGACTCGAACCCACGACCTTTTCCTGCTATGTAGTGCAAACGTCTTACCACTCGACCACCGAAATTGCGGGATCGGTTGGCTGGTTCGAATCTGTGTACATTTAGCAGCGGGAACCGCAATTAAACTATTCATAAGATGGAATTTGCGTCGGAGTGATGTACGTCGGTGAAGGGCAAACTCTAATATTGATTTAAATCACCCCGACGCAAATTCCATCTTATGAATAGTTTAATTGCAGAACCCGCTGCTAAATGTACACAGATTCGAACCAGCCAACCGATCCCGCAAGCTCGGTGGTCGACTGGTAAGATTTCTGCACTAGATAGCAGGAGGTCGTGGGTTCAAGTCCCACCAGAGTGATTTTTTCCAACTTTCACTCAGGAGGTAGGCCTAACACACTGAGTATACAGTGTTTATACGTCGGTGAAGGGCAAAACCTAATATTGATTTACATCACCCCGACGCAAATTCCATCTTATGAATGATGTAGTATTGTCCACACAAGTCAACAGCTAATCAATCACAAGTCATCTAAATCAAGTGACATGCTGAATTAAATGGTGACGGAGGCATCCCCCAGTACTTGTGACTGACTTTGACTGAAATTGTGACTGACAAGCCTACAAGTCTGTTTGTAACTTACTTGAATAAATAACCTGCGTGAGACATTGGTCTTCCCTGGCTGAGCATGTCTTCAGGATGGGTGCTTCGTTGATGTTGCAATTATCATTGGTATCCTCAGCTGCACAGGTATAGCACTGCAGACTGGAAACTGAAACCAGAACAAATCAAACAGGGTGATTATGGACAATAGTGATTAGTTTGTCCAAATAATTATTAATATAATAAAAGATAAATTTGTAGCCAAATTTAAGGTTATTGCTGGAGTCCATGGTTTGTCTATGTCGAGTGCAATTAAACTTGCGCGTTTTTAAACTTGTGCGCGCAAGTTTAAACTTGCGCGGGGGACTCAAATTGCGCTTGACATCTACAGTCCAAATAAGTCTAATTTCTCAGACTAGAACTTTAGTAATAGATCCTAATATAGCTCCAATGCTCATTGCGAATTTGATGGAGCTGGAGGCACATCTACCTTTTATCCAGCAGTTGGAAAATAGCAGAGGCCGTGAAATTTGGCCTCAACTAAAATGGTCCTTTTCCCCATTATCCAAACCCAGTTGAGATTAAACTCACCTAATAAAGTAGTCATTCACGAAGCAAAGGATCGACTTGAAACACAACACTATGAACAGGCATGCAACTTGGAAATCACAAAAAAAGAGGAAATTCAAATTTTTCCCAGACTTTGTACAGTGTTTTTCTATTTTCAATGGCACACATGGGAAGTAAAAAAAGAGGAAATCAGCTGATCCGAGGAAAAGTTGCATGCCTGTATGAAAAATATTGATGATTTCGGTGGCTTTTCAGATAGAACTGTCGCATCGCAGCTAACTTTGTTGTGGCGAAGTTTGAAATCACAACACACACCTGAAGCTAGTATGGTAACCACATCATGTACACATCTCCATGCAGTGCAGTGTATGTGGTTACCATACCAGTTTCAGGTGTGCGCTGTAAATTTCGCCACAACACGGCTGCGACGCGACGGTTCTATTTGAAAAGCCACCAAAATCATCAATATTTTTCATATTTTAGTCACTGTTGTCCTGTTTCAAGTCGATCCTTTGCTTCGCGAATAACTGCTGCATGGTATGACATGTATGAGGTACTTCATGGGGTGCCTTCTAATTCTAGAATTAGGTATGAGGTATGTTTAATCTCATCTGGGTTTGGATAATTATTAGATAGTGGATATTTTGCCGGAGGTAATGACGGCAAACTAACAATTACTAAAGGTTTGCCGGCGGCAATCCATATCAACAGAGGGCGCTGTACTCTTTAAAATAGGGCTGAATTATAACATGTATTAAATTCCCACCAAAAGTTGTGTAGCACGTTCAGTGTAATGGTTAAGCAAAGGCTCTAGTAAGTGGGATGACTCGCGTTCGATTCCGACCGCACCACATTTTTCAGTTTTTTTTTCTCATCCCCAAATAAATAAGAATATTCTTCTTTTATTATTTTAACATGTCTCAAACATTTTTTGCAGAGTATTACATTTTCTTTTTCAGATTTGTGGCTCTGGAGGATTTTTTTTAAAAGGGAAATAAAGTCCGAAATTATAAAATGGTCTGAATCCCATCTTGTGAATACGAGGTAACAACGATAATTTTGGCATGGAGCCAGACTAAAACTTGTCACCGGAAAATGTTTGAAGTACAAAAAAACAGTAACTGCGCATGTTCAGTGCATATCCGGCAAACTAACGTTTACTAAAGGTTTGCCGTCTCCGGCAAAATATACACTGCCTAATTATTAATAGGGAAAAAGGACCATTTTCCTTTTTAGTTGAGGCCAAATTTCACGGCCTCCGACATTTTCAGACCGCTGGACAAAAGCTAGACCCGTGAACACGGCTATATACATAGCCACACTCCAGAGTTGCGTAGAAACACTCGACGCATGAGATTGTATTCAGGTTGCAAGTTAAAAATGCAACATTATTTCCAAAAAATATATTCATTTGCACACCAGTTTTCATCAGTTGCCATGGGTTACCACTCACTCAGTACTCTGGACTCAAGAACCATTGACATGATTGAGCTTCAGCTAGCTAGATAAGCTAATGTAAAAACATACAACACTGTGTGACTCAACACTACAGAGTACAGCTAGCTCAATTCAACAACGCTGCAAGTGCAGCACTGGCACTGGCAATGGCAATGCTGCGCTGGCTGACATGTTTATGACAGACATGACAGACAGACATGCCGATTGCCGGTAGCTTACCAAACTGAATACAAGTCGCTAATACAATCACGGCAATGGCTATGAACAACGAGCACCAAGTGCATGACATGCCTGCCAGTCAAATTATTGTACTTTTTGGTGTCTGGCAAGGCCAAGGCCTCTCTGCTTCGTTTAAAACAACGTTGTGTGAAAGAAATTCAAGCTACTTTGCGTGGCCGCCTTGCCTTGTTTTGACAGTGCAGCTCAAAGCTAGCTCTTGAGGGCGCGCTTGAAACATCACACAAAATTGGCGCTTGAGGGCGTTTTCACTTTTCAAGATCACAGAATCATGAAAATCGACAGCGCGCGATGGACGTGATGATGATGGAAGACGTACAGTCCGGCCGATTTTGCCTTATCTCTGTATTTTCTTGATTTTGAAACCACTTAAATGAAGTCAATATGAAACCAGATCAACACAGAAAGAAACGGAGTGCTCAGTACAAGAGAAAGCACGGTATATCTCAAAAGACAGATGCTACAAAGTCGAAGGCAAATTCAAGTTCCGCTGTGAAATGTGCAGACGCTTCAGACACATCAACAAGGCCAAAGGAATCGGGCCAAAATTTAAAGGAATCTAATCACAACTCGTCGTCAGATAGACATGATACTTATAGAGCTAGAAACAGAGATTTCACTCAAGATGAATCTGAGGTATTTCTAATTCTAGCTTGAGTAACTCCAGCTGACATGCTCATATTCATTCTAAATGTGAATGACTAGCATGTCGGCTGGAGTTACAGTCAATTGACCGGTTCCGCAATTTGACCAGTTCCGCAATTTCGGAAAACTAGCTCTCGTTTTCAGGAAGACGAAAACACCAAGGACTTAAACTTTGGTATCGATGGAAAGGTTATTCAATCTACTTTTCAAAAATGGTTTTAGTTTTAGGATACTCACTTACATTTAAAAATAAATCCCCTACGACCGTCACTTGCCGTTAACGAACTGCCGAAATGGAACGCGCACGGAAGCGTGATTTCATGTTTGTCGGCCTGCTACACGATTGTTCAGGGGAATTAAATCATGGCGATTGATGCAACTTGTTCGGAAATTATTCATTATTCCACCATACAAATAAGAGATTTGAAGTCTTTGAATTTTTTTTTCTATACCCACCAGAGTAACTGCTGGTCGTTTGGCCGGTTCCGCAAACGCATTCATACTGCATATACAATACACTGGCCATGGTGTGACTGTATTAACCAGTGCTGCTATTGATGTTGTGCCCATTCTTGAAAATCACGCATTCTCGAGAATGGGCATGCACATTCTCGAGAATGGGCGCGCATTCTTAAGAATGAGCGCCCATTCTTAAGAACGAGCACGCGTTCTTAAGAATGAGCGCTCATTCTTAAGATTGGGTGGGAATATCACGTGCACAATTTATGAATTTTGCCCAATCTTAACAAACATTGCACGACATAATTATGTTAAATGAATTGTATAGCGGTTAAAAGGGAAACAGTTCATATAAAGAGGAAAGAAAATGTGCTATGCTTCTGTACTCGTATAACTACGATAATTTGAATCAAATTAAACCTGTTATTATTGCTTTTTTCTGCCCACTATGGGAAGTTTTGTAATAACGGAGGACTGGGAACTAGTCTGGGAAGTGCTTTATTTAGGCTAGACAAGTTACAAGTCCCTGCATGTATCATATGCGTGCCACGAAAAAAAAACGATGTCCAGAAGCTGCCAAAATTGCTCTTTTGACTAGATAGAATCTAGCTCTGCGACGTTATGGTGGGATGTGAACAATAAATTGGTGGCAATTTAAATGGGAAATAGCATTAGCACTATGGGATGTCGCAGTATTCATTCTCATTCTTCACATTCTTCATTCTTACGTCCCCCCCCCCGCTTTTATTATCCCAAAAATCAGAATTCTTTGCACTAGTATTATTATGTCTCTTATATTTTCCCGGTCCCCCCCCCCCCCCATATTAATACGCCTTTACTTATCATATCCACTCTACTTTTAAGCGCCTTGCGTTGCAACAGTATAATTATTGAGAATCAGTGAACGAGGATTCAGCTAGACTTGCCAAGTGCAGCCGGTGCTCGGCATCGACAAGACCGTTATCTTGTCGCGCATTCTCGAGAATGTGCGCTCAATCTGGAAGAGTTATTTTTTGCCAAGATTGAGCAAGGATCCAGTTGCACATTCTCAAGAATGTGCATGCCCATTCTCGAGAATGCGTGATTTTCAAGAATGGGCACAACATTGACAAGTATTGTTGATGACGGCCCCCTAGCGCGGTGCACTTTATTTATTTTGGCATGAATCTTTTTTTTTTTACAACTTACAAAGAAATTGAGAATTTCTATTAATCCTTGTTTAAAAATGTCGAATGTGATGATCATTTCTGGGTGTTCAGTGCATAAAATTGAAAACTAAATTGAAACAAAATGATTTTGTTTCTGTCCAGCTTCCAGACAGCACTGTAGGTTTTGGATACAAAAAATTTGGACTTTAAATTTAAAATACAAAAATCTTTCTTAATAGTAGTATAATACTTCCCACTAAACGCTTTTCCTTTGCTCTAAAAAAATTCACCCCATACTTGATGTTGAAGCGGTTGTGCCTAAGGGGTTTGAATCCATTTTAGAGTTACAACTCTCCACATCCAGGGTGCATGAGTCAGCCCAGGCTAGGAGGTGAGGTTTGTGGGGACCAATTAAGAATATGTGCATAATAATATGTTTCTAACCCAAAGGACATTTCCAGTAATATAGTAAATTTAAAATTATCCTTTTTTCGGTGGGTTCTAACCTGACTCTTTACCCTTTTAAACAAAAAGAAAAATAGGTCCACTAATATTTCATAATGAAGACCAGTCTCTCGTCAGTACAGAGACACAAATTTTGAATGTTTTCTTGGAGCACAAAATTTGTCAAATACTACATTGTATAAACCATTTCTCATTTTTGTCTCAATTGGTCATAAACTAAACGTTTTATATAAAATTTCTTTTTCATACAGACAATGCCAAAGACAAAGAAGAAGATTACGCCAGCCTCCTGATAGGCCATAAGAGGCCATCAGCACATCTTTTTCAGTTTTACCTGTGAAGGTCAAGAAGAAGTTGAATATTATAGTGAAAGTACATGTAGCTGTGTGTCTTCATCACCATTTCTTTGAATTAATTTATTTATGTGACAAGTTTTTTTTGTATAGTGCTAGCTTCTGGAGTGCTTAAATTATTTGTGTATAACAATTAAACAGACATGCAGGTGTCATAAAGGCAATAAATTTAAAGGCGTTACATACATTTTTATTAACCAGTACATGTGAAAGAGAAGTGAGGTGTTTGAAAAACAATGCTACTTTGCATGAAAAACTCACAGAACATGTCTATTTCTGTGATTCATCACCATTTATTTATATGACACATATATTTTTGGATTTAAAAGGGGTAGCTTCTTGAGTGCTTTAGTTTTGTATTACATTTACACATGCAGGTATCACATGTCAATATATTGAAAGGGTTATTGGGATATTCGTGATGAATGTGTTGACATTTTCTTTTAAGAGCATCACCGAACAGTAGATGAGGTTTGCTAATACAGTTGCCCAAGCATGATACATGTACATAGTTAATATGTGCAACAACGTATGAGGAGTAACTGAACATTATAATTAGAAATTGCCATTGCTATGAAACAGCCATAGGATTTATGACATTTTTAACAACTTGTTTAAATTTGTTTGTGAAACTTAATTTGAATGTGAAACAATATGTATGTGGCCTGTATGTATCTGGCCTGCTGAGGCCTGTTCCCCCTCCCCTCCCGGCCCCCAGGTTCCCCCTACTGGATGTTGGTGCACACAAAATTAAGCATATTGTGTTGTAATTACCCTGAACAAATTGAAACACTCCCCCCCCCAAAAAAAAAAAAAGTAAAATGAAAAAAAAGGAGGAGGGAATAAACAAAAGTAAATAAATAATAATAAATAAATATTAATAAACAGTGCTCCCCTGCAGACAATGATTCAGTTCCAATTCATCCAGCCATGCAGTAGCTTCCTTAAGTGTCATAGGAATTAAAAATGATCCTGGAGAAAATATTAATTCAAATTCATGAATAGCTTGTCTGTGCTTATGTGAGAAAAAAACAACCAACTGGAGCAATTCGGTACAAGGTTTGTGTCTGGTTCTATCCAACGTCAGAGTGTGTCTAAATAAAAATAAGACAACAAAAAAGCAAAATATTAGTGATTGCAAGATGATAGACAGAATGCACAAATAGCAAGAAAGTCATTTAATTGGATTGAAGCAAGTCAAATAATTATAACGTAAAAAAAATCCAACGAACCATAACATTTTCATGGAGTTACATTTTGTAAATTTGGACGCATTATAATGTGCAGACCTTGGCTCATGCACAGGGAAATATAATCCATATCTTTTCTTAGCTGGTTTGGGGGCAAAAACGATTTAGATTTGGCCAGTAAACAAGGAATATTTTCAGTCCAGTCTCGCAGAGGGCGCCGTTTGCGAAACCGGAAATCATTTGCGGAACCGGTCAAAGCACCGACCTCTACAAAATGTTCTGGCAAATTTCTCTTTCAAACGATCACAGAAAACTATTCATATCATGAAGTAGGTGAGTAATTTGCGCATATTTATAGATAGGTAGCTTCCTGTGAAAGCGCGTTTTTTCGCCACAAGAAGCTTCAGACGATTTGCGATTGCGGAACCGGTCAAACGACTCAAGCTAGCTTAAAGGTATTTCCATTGTACTCAAGAATTATGATAGGTGTACGTCAGCCGGTGAAATCAGCTATTCATTTGCACGCCAGTTTTCATTGGTTTGCTATGTGTCATATACCATTCAGCACTCCGTTGAGTTTCAAGAAAACGGGTCAGAGAGCTGGATAAGCCAATTCAAACAAATTTCCAGATGTCCCCCCTCCCACTTTTTTAGCATACATTTTATTTTTTTTATTTAAAAATAGCCATGTTTAGCTTACACGGTATTTGCCTCGGAAAGAATGTTGCAACCTGACGCCACTTCAGCGGTTGTGTACAAAGTCTATATGGAGAGTCCAGAAATGTTTCTAAGTAGTTCCTAACAAAATTGGAAATGTTTCTCAGTCCCAGGTTCATGTCTTATTATTTTTTTGCAATGACTGACCTTCATTGAGATGATTATATAAATAAAAAAGTGGCGTCAGGTTGCAACATTTTTTCCTTAGCCTCAAAAAGGAGAAGGCCCTTTATATTTGATAGTTCTGGGTAGTTGTCTACTACTTGATGACCACAAACCTTCTTAAAGTGCTGATAGACCTTATGCGTATGATGTCACCACTCATCAGTCCTATAGAGAGATGCACAACATGACCTCACTGACTGAGGTCAAATCTCGCATAAGTTTACTGTTACGGCTGTGCATACCCTCTATTCATGCTATTGAACATTAGTAAAGCTAGCTGGAGTTACCCAGCCCTGAGTTTTATCATTGGGTTGTCATGACAACCCAATGATAAAACTCAGGGCTGGGTAACTCCAGCTATAGTAAAGCTAAGTCCGAATAACTAGGACTTTACGAATTGCCTTTTCAACATTTGGACAGAAATAATGATACAAAAAAGGCGATTTGTAGAGTCCTAGTTACTCGGACTATTAAGTAAAGCTAAGCATCTGAACTTCTGAAACATCTTTAAAAACTGTTATGCCTGAAATTTACCAAAACAAATTTAAAAATAGACACAGCCTGAAAAAGAGGAAGTGGGCGGGGACGATCAACTGGTGGTGGTGTTTTTTTTACTTGGCCTTATGTCTTTCTTTCTTTTTTGTAATAGGCCTACATGTACCTGCTTACTAAAGACCTTGTCAGTGTCACTAAAATTTAAATGTTAATGACACTATTTATTCAGAAATGAAATTTACTGGGTCAGTCCATAAAGTGTGACAGTTTTGTGTCACTATTATACCTGGCCTGTGTAATTTGCCATACAAGTACATGTATCATTAAAATTGACTTCAAACTATTTGTAATTGGTTTACATAATCAATCTTGGAGATAGAAGGCATTGAAGACTGTGTCCTGAATTTTACAAAATCTTATGTCAGACTGGGACCTTGAGTGCAGAAAAACATGCAAAACAACATCAAACCAACTTTACTCACTCTATAGCTGCCAAAATTCTCCAAAATTGTCATGGGGCAATACGACAAGGTGCTCAGTATTTCACGAGCCAAGTTTGAGGTCTCAATTCAATTTGCAAAGGAGATGTTTCTCTGATACTTTGCACCTGAGTGTGAATCCAAGTGATTTCAATTTGAAGCTGAAGACTAGACTGGTGCATGTCTGGTGGCAGGACCATAGAGAATGTGTAAACAAAGAGCTAGGAACCAGATGTTTCTTTCTACACAGTTGATTGATGCAGTACTAAAGGGGTGTTGGACTGGTTGTTTCATGTGCCAGTCTATTATTGTGTGTTACATGTTCTCATACACAGTATGAACAAATTGGACCCAAATTTATGAATTGACCCACTAACAAATTTCGAAGCCAAGTTCCTATGTACACAAATTACTTGTAATGCTAACCCTGATGTTCCCCACCTGACTGTATAGTCACTGATCACTGATGAATTAATGATATTGCAGGAAGTCCGAAGCTTTGCAAGACGGAAGATTGAGAGCAACTGGGACCGTTATGAACCACTGGATGATGATGTAGATGAGTCATATAACTATGATGGATTGAAGGGAGCAGACTTTAAGGCATTGCTCAGCCTAACAGGTAAACCTTCATGTAAATTAAAGTACATGGGATCATTTGTTCACATTGTTTTTGTTTGAAGCAACAAAATTGCTCAATATCTTAAGTACATGTAGGGTTCATAACAACTAACCTGTTAAGGTTTAAGCTCAGTGGCTACTATACATTTTGAGAGAACAGACAATTGCACATTTTTTGTGGTCTTGCTGCCGAGTATAAAGTGTGCCCACGGGCACACTTTTCAGAATGTCCTTTCAATCGAAAACATATCTGGCAGAATAATTTCACTGGGTATTTGGGCCTAGCCCCATTGTCACTTTGAGCAAGGTTTTAGTCATTGCATTGGTAGGTATGTTTCCAGGTACTTACCAATGTATGTACATGTACCTGCCTTTAATAATGATGTCTCATTCGTCGTCTTTGAAACTAGGAGATTTTCCAGCAAAGGAAGTTTTTGTCATATATCAGATAATGTTCAACATTTTAGTGGTCACGTGTACTGTTTTTCTACTTCTAGGAGATGCGTCAAGTCAGTTCCGTTTTAAAGACGAGCAGCTGTGGGAGGAAGAAGAGTCAGACCTAGAGAAAACACAGGTAAGAGGTCCCTCTAATTTGGTATTTAAATATTATTCATTATATTCATATGTATTCACATATAACTCCTCCCCAGGTTTTACAAATGATCATTATTTAAATGTTATCCCAGTGAATCAAAGATTATCCAGATTGGTTTTAAAATGATAATGCAATGACCCCTTTAGTCCAGAATTTACAGGAACCTAGTGGAGTGAAAGATCAATTGACATTACTATTCAAGCAATGTTGTCAAGCCTGCTGAATTCACCAGAATCTTACAGTTACATGTACAATGTACTTGTATGCATAACTGTCTTTTGCTCGTAGTTCAGATAGAATTGTCAAACGAGGTCAGATGTAGCTCAAACTTGCTTTTGTGTGTGCTGTTTTACTGGCTTTGTTTGCCTTATTCCAAATTTTTCTCTAAAGTTTGCCTTACAACTGAACAATAGCCATTTATCATAAGAACCGAACAGTTGCTAATATTTAAATTTTCGTCAAAAAAATTCAATTTGATGAACTCATTTCTAAACCATAAGTGTTTCTTTTTGAAGGATGCTTAGCAACACTTCAAATTTGTGGTCCTCTTTTTTGGGGTCTCAGTTGTACAAATTTGAAATTGTAGTTTAGTTTGGGTTTTATATGCAAGGCCCAACAAGTGCACTCTTCCATTTATGTGTGATATTTTTGTATTTTCTCAGGAATCAGAAGGCATTCCAGCAATTGACTGCCATGATTTGTCTCAAAGGCTCATGGCAATCCCTCTACAAGTCAGACTCAACATTGATTGCGTTTTCTTTGAGGTTAGTTCCTTGACGCTTTTAAAATTAGCAGTTTATTAAAGTACTCAAGCATGGAAAGAAATAGTGTAAAGTACAAGTATAATACCGTACTTTAAGTTAAAGGGAAGATGCAACATTTGCAAACATTACAAAACGAAATGATCAAATTATCACGTAATACCTTACTGGATCGTTAGGGATTGACAGTCTAAAGCATCCTGTAAAATCGTGGCTCTTGGTGTGCTGACATTTTCAAGAAAAATGGTATTTTTCCAACACTGGTCGGCCGACAAGCGTTGGAGAAAACTGTTTTTTTTTCTTCAAAACTGCTCCTAATTTTTCATAATTAGTTATTCCTTGTTTTCTTTGCAATTGATTACACAACTGTGAAGGGGTACAAGCCTACTAGACTGATTCTCTGATCTTACAATTCCCCAAAGTCTATAAATTCTCCGTTTCATCTTAAGCGGGGTCAGGGAACCAGACTACAAGAACATGAATGGTTTTCTTGGTTTTTCCAACATCTACAAGCCCAAAACGTGAAACAAGTCATTTTAACAATATTTGCTATAACATACTAATCCTCCAAATCCATTTATTTCTGAAAATTGCAGCAAAAGCAAATGTTGTACATTCCCTTTAAATTCACCTGTAGAAAGCTAACTCAATAAGAAAGTGACCAAATTAGAAACAAATATTTTTTAAAATATTTGGTTTGGTTTGCTCCATTTCATAAGTGATAGAGATAAATTTATGTACATCTTATTGACTAGTAACTGTGAAAATTTCACGTAATTTACATACTCTATTCCAAAGTTATGACTATTTTAATAAAAAGATCACAAAATTCAGCTGTCCACCACTTATCATTTACCATTTTACGAACTGATGAATGAAACATGGACGTTTTCCAAACTCCATGCAAGAACGAAATCTTGCTAAGGAAAACAAACAAAAATTGCCGTCAATATTTCAGAAAGAAAAGAGTTGACTTGCTCCTCATATTCAATACACAAAATCTGACAGTAAAAATAATGTTTCAGTCTCGAATCAAATAAATTAAATCTCATTTGTATTTGAATGCCTGTATGTAATTTGTAATTCTCACTCAGTTCAATAGCTTCCAATGGCATTCCATGGACAGCTGTAAAATTAGGTTTTTTTAGTAAAAAAAAAGAATAACTAGTAACTTCTGATAGCATGGATCAATTTCAGTAATTCTTTTTTTTCTGTAGATGAGTGGAAGAACAGGCTCTTTTAAAACATACTTTATTTGTTTATCAAATATTGTGTTTTTTTAAGAACAAAAATTCATTACTCCGGGTCACTTTCTTTGTGACTAACCCTGTAGTGTATGCTTTACGTGAATACAAAGTACATGTAGTGGAGAGAAGCACACAATAGTGTGTGTTCACAAATGGAACTTATTCTTACATTCGAAACAAATGTGTTGTTGTGAGACAAATGTGAGACTGTCTTCAAGCACTATAAGTTCTTCCCTTTTCCCTGTCTATCATTCCAATAGCCGCCTACATTGAAGAGCTTTGAAGAGCTTGCCTCAAGACACAAAGAGAAATTAGACAGCGGGGAATCTAGCGTCTGGACACCTGTTAGCAGTGATAAATCGTCCCCGATATTTTCAGCCCGAAATCAGGCCGTGGATGCAGGAGGCAGTGACAGCATTTGTCTTGATTCTGATGAGGAGGAGGAGGTGAAAGACGAAACAAGTCGGCCCAGGGAGGAAGAGAAAGAGCCTCCTTTGGACTTGTCTATCAGCCATTCACAGGATAATGTCAAACACTCGAGTCTTCCTGAGTTAAGCAGAGGGCTGCAAGATGTTCCCGATACAGATAAGGAACCGATTCAAGATGCTCCTGCAACTCCGGATGTTAGAAGTGGTCTGGATAAATCAGAACATTTGGAAGATGATGAAATGTTTGTCAATCGAGAACAGACTGCCGCTGAAGCTAGAAAGTGTAATGTTGGTAGGGAAGACCAACCAGGGACTCAAGAACAAAGTGAAACGACAGTTGACCCTGTGTCAAACCAAGGGGAGATTGATAATTCAGATACAAGAAGTACCCTACAAAGCCACACAAAACTTGCTGTTGTGTCCCCACCCAAGATCCAAGCAAAGACAAAACCTCTATCGGAGCCGAAAACTGATGACATTGATGATGATGATGATGAATTGAACTTCTTGTTGGGCCTGGAGAACCCGGTACAGACCAGGAGCAAACCGGATGTTACCAGTGGACAGCTGGAGGAGGATGAGGGGATCCTAGATGAAGGGCGGGAGAGGCCTGCAAGTCAACCTGTAGATGCTGATAAGAAGCCTAAGCCAGGACATGTGCAAGCTCTCTTGAAGACTGAATGTGAGTAGTCAAACCATTTTACACAGCATATGACAATGATGCACTGGAGCCACATACCTTGAAAGGACAATGGACACCAAACCATGTCCCATTTTGTTGGTTCCATGTACCGAAACTGAGTTCATAAGGGTGAATACATAAAAAAAAATACCGGTAGTTTCTCGTCCAGGCTTTTTTACTTTAGTGCCGGAGGCAGGCGCTTTTAATTTTTCCTCCCCCCCCCCCCCCAAGATGGTGGACTGATTTTTCCAATTTCTTGACTATTTTGCTGATACAAAATGGTGTCCGAAGGAGTTGTAACCCTTTCTACATTGCTACAATTTTTGTTGAAACAAATAAAAAGACAATATATTGACAATATACTTGCAGAATATACATGTATTGCAAGTGTGTGAATTAAAAAAAACTAAAGCAGGAGGCGGGCAGGAAAAAGAAAGCAGGCAAGGACGAGAAACTGGTTTACTTTTTACCTGGCCTAAATTCTGAACCACAATTCTTAAGAAATGATCACTGGTCATTGTCTTTGAGTTTGTCCTAATGGTTTTGTTTGTATGTATGTAGGTTCTGTCTAATATAGATTCTTGGTGTTCAGATTTGTTGTCTTGAAATTTGCTGAAAGTTGGTGCCCAGAGACCATATCAAAGTGCCAAAAAAATTGCAACATTTCAACGTATTAATGACTTGTCTCAGTTGTTTCTCTTTCTGTAGACATCCAGCGAAGCAGCAAGAAAATGTTCTTTGATGGGCCAGAAACTGGAACAAACTAAATTATTTTCTTCATTGGTTACTGTATTTGGCAACCGGTCCACCGACTCTACTTCGACTATTCTTTTACTGTCATTAACGCCATAACAAATCCCGAGTGTCTTGACATATTCCATCATTCCAAAATATATGTGTAACATTTATACGCGCTTAGGGCCCATCTCAATTCATATCCGGAAAGAGTTCCGGACAAGTTGCAGACATTGTATCGGGTGTAAGTTGCAGGATTCTAAACAACTTCCCTGCAGTCTTCCCCCAATGAAGTTATCAGTATCGGAACATGTCCTGGACAAAATCAATGATTTTACCCGCAAGTTGTCCGGAACTCATCCTGGATATGAAGTGAGACGGGCCCGTACTACTGTGTAACTTCAGTTGTGATTTTTCCCTTTGTACTTTTCAGCCACTTCACAAAACGGCACAGACAGCCTTGAGGACTGGCTGGACAGCGTGCTGGATGACTGACGATGTCAACGTCTAGAAGTACAATTATATTCCCAACAAAGATTTGTTATCTATTTTAAAATTATTTTAAAACTTGGTTTTAAAATAATTTTAACTTTAATTGATATGCAGAAGATGTTCTTTATTGCTTTTTCTACCATATAAAGCTGTTTTTAATGTTCAAAAGCCTATACAAAATTTGTTGATGCTCGTTGACGACCGTTGACGCTTGTTGACGCTTGTTGACGCTTGTTGACGCTTGTTGACGCTTGTTGACGCGCTTCAGTAGGACCGGATGTGATTGCTCCAGGTTTTGGATTTGGCCAATATCATCCTGGCCCTCAAAATGAATGTAAAACTGAGACCACAAGAGGGCGCTGTTTATAGTAGATGGGTCTATTGTGTTGTATAGAATGGTACAATTGGCAAACATACATTTCTGAAAGCTTAAAAGTTTTTCAGGCTGTCTAAACAAAGTGGGAACTAAAGAGGCTATTCTAAGTCTTCCATGTAACTTTTCCCCTCAAATTTTTCTGTCAATAAACTACCCTCCTTTAGCTTTTTTTTTAGGGCTGTTAATCTTTAAGCACAAAATCCACCCTGACGAAGACCCACAAATCCTTGGCTACAGCTGCTGCCTGTGCTCTTACATATTCAAGTTCACAGCTCTTAAATCACATTGTTATTTAACATTAAAGGGTAAATGTTTTATGGTTATTAGCCAAGCCAAAGTGGTGTTTTTCCAATTTTGAAATAAGCATCCAAACTCTAGGTAACAAATCTTAGTGCCGAACTACATGTAGGGATGGTAGGTGAAGCGCATTTGTTTTATCAAGTTCAGGGATGAGGACATTATGAGTAAGATAGTAGGGTCACTCAGATGCCTTTGGCCGGTAGTCCATGTTTGCCTTCCTTGTGGCCTAACTTAGGCCACAAGAAATTGGTGAAATTTAGTTTTCTTTCCTTAGGCTAAGGAAAGAAAACAAAATTTCACCAATTTCTGCTTTGTTCCATACGCTGGCTCCGTGTTGTCATTGGTTTGCTTTAGGATCATTTGCATTTATCCCAAAAGTTACCTTCCGAATTATTATCAGAAAGCAAACTGACTTAAAGATCATACTCATACTAAACACCCGGTGATATAATTCCATCTGACTTGCTGTCATTTAGCAGAAATCAAGAAATGTAAGGGATTTCCAACAATCAGTCAAAGAACTGATTTTTTTGGGGAAATCATGTGTTGTGATCATATTAAAGGATATGCATGGTTTTTCACTGTTTTCTCGAAAAGGGTAATATCCACCGAGCTGAAGCTTAAACAGGTTAATTATGCATGAAGAGCAAATGATCATACATGCATAATTCATTTATGTGATTCACAGAAGTTGAACGTGTCACCTCAAAGGAAAACAAGACCAGGGTTGCCTGGTCGACCCAAAAGTCTCAGTTGAGGACATTAATAATAATCAGTGACTCAGTCAGTCAGAGGGCAAAAGGCTGGCTCTTAAGGTCCAACATTTATAAACAAATAATGTATGCAATCTGGTCTTCAAGACAAGTTTGCAGTGACTGTTTTACAATTTCAGATGGATATTAAACAAAATTGAGTCAAATCTGAGTGCAAAACAGTCACTTTTGCACCCATTCAACATTTTTAACTTAAAATATTTTTGACGTTTTAAAACGAAATTAAAAAAAAAATATTGTCATTACTATTACAACATTTTTATTTGTCAGTAAAAATTAAAGTTACCATCTTTTTGTAGCTTGTCCCTGCATACCTGTACTAGTACATATAATTATTTCAGTTTATGAAGGCTGCATTTACATGTACATGTCTCTAAAACCCATTCTCGAGTGATCATTTCGACTAAATATTGATAACCGAAAAACGTGCTAAAAAAATGGACCTTCGTTAAAAAGTGCTAACAGAAAACATGCCCACACAGCTTTTTGAAATTTACTGAAATGTACTGCTGGGACTGTTTGGCATGTTCAGTTGTTTATGTGACTTTCATTAACTTACTTCATTCCGAAAATAGCACCATTGTAATTCACAGCTGTTACACTGACAGAACCGACCTGTTGGCGCAGAGGATGAAAAATAAAATCATGTGAGTTATCAAAGCAGTATATTGATTGATACGAGCATTATTGAAATCATCAATCACCATCTGTTTTGTTTATTCTTTTTATGGCCCAGTGTTGCGTTTCGTTGATTTTTTTTTGTGCCGCAGCAGGATGTTACCACACTGAAACATGTGTTTTACGTAATTTCGTTATTTTATTTTATTTTATTTATTGTAATTTTTAACGAGGGTAGTCCATTTCAGTTTAAAAAAACTGCTTTCCAAAGGAGCCCTCACATTAAAATTACATGAAAACAGAATAAAACAAAGCAAATAAAATTACAAAAATAGAAAAGACTTTACCACAAAAAAAAAAAATTAAAAACAAAACATACAGTATGAGAAAAAAACCAACATTTCTGTGCTTGTGATTGAGACTTTTTTCATAGAGAATTTTTTTTCGGAAAGAAATTTGTAGAATTATGATGTTGGCCAATGCATTGTCACCCTAGGTTCTGGGAACTATTTTCCATCTTCTCAATCTGTATTGTAAGCGTTCTGGGTTGGTTTGAAAACGTCTTTAAATAACGTACAGTTTGTGTACATTGTATTGCATAGACTAGTGGGGCAGATGGGGAAAATATTTTGGGGAATTGTGTCATTGATGATACAAGCATGGCATTTGACACACAGTCAGAGTATGTCATGAGAAAGATATTTGGCTATACCGCTAGGGCCATCGCAGATTTTTCCTTTGAAAAATATAGGTAGAATAACAAGCAATTTTCAAAATGGTTGTCATTGCATTTTATTCTACCTATACTTTTTCAAAGGACAAATCTGCCATGGCCCTATAGCCAAATATCTTTCTCTGACTCTGTGCCAAATTCCATGCTTGTATCATTAAAGGCACAATCCCATCACCTAGCTGCCGTACTACTAGACTAGTCGTATACCAAGGGCGGATCCGGGGGGGGGGGGGCCAAAGGGGGCCATGGCCCCCCCCCCAAAACGAAACCAATTTTTTTATTTTTTTATGTGACATCGCAATAAAGGCAGGCAATGAGTACACCACCATCTTTTCCTCAAAAAACATTGGTTAAAGTGGTCAGAAATTGCCTCAGATCGCACCACAGAGCATCTAGAATCCAAAAATTTTTCGGGGCCCTTAAGCGGGCCCCGAACCCCACGCCGTAATTTTTTTGACTCACTTTTTTGGGGGACCAATTTTTTTTTTGGCCCCCTCCAAAAGTGTGTTCTGGATCCGCCCTTGTCGTATACTACTGCAGTTTAGGCCAAAAAAAAAAATATTCGGTCTCTGGTCAGACCAAAGTTCCGGAATTGACGCGGCCACGCGGCTTTTTTTTTTTTTTTTTTGCTTTTTTTTCTTTTTTTTCTTCAAGCTTGGATTGTACAGACAAGGTGGGTACTATTTTACTTTTTTGGTGTCCTCATGTACATTAGTGTCCTCCATAATTTGCCTTGGTGCTTTCGATCATTTGCCTTGGTGCAATTTCCCATTCCTTGGTGCTCTTTGGTAAAAAAAATTTGAGGAGGTGCGGAAATAGAGGGCGCTGTTGGAGCTACCGCGGAACATTTTGGAGGAAAAAAAAGATCGACGCGCATGATTAAAATCGACGCGCGCGCTGACCAGAGACCGACTTATTTTTTTTTTGGCCTTACATCCGTTTATATTTTCAAAATGCTGGAACAAAGTTTCCCCTCCCCGCCTCCACCCATACTCCATGCACAGCACAGTACAAAGCGTTCTCCAAAAAAAATGTTCTTCAGTATGACTCACCGATGAGTATATTGGCTCACCTACCAGTTGTCATTTTCTAAATTAAATAACACGTTGCTGTTGTCATTCCTCTCGACAAAATCGAGCTCGGAGGAGAATTCTAATTTCCTCCAAGCATGCTCCAAGCCCAACCTCGTCCCCAGGGTGTCGAGCAGTACGCGCCCACCACTACCTGCTCTCTCACCCTGGTATTGGATCATTTGCATGTGCAAGATTTTTGAACACGTATGCAAATTAGGAGTAGTCTGGTGCCTGCCTGTGCGTTACATTTGCGTTTGTTTTTGTATGCGGTGTCAGGGGTAAAAACAGAATCAATTCGTCGCTGAGCGAGAATGGCGTGAGTTACGAAAACATGATTTTATTTTAATTAAACTGTTACGATCTTAACGAGACAACATGCAGTATCACATTTCATATTAATATTTTAACAAACTGGAAAGGAAATGAATATTTCGAGAAGGCGTGGACGAATGATCGCGAAAACACGTACTGCACGTTGTGAATAACAACACCAAGTACACGATATAAATCCATTTCTAGCCAATTGCGGTATCGAATCAGGATGCAGGAAGGAAGTTTCCCATCCAGGGTTTACTATTGGAAACAGCGTTGGAAATAAAGTAAGCACTGGGGACGAGGTTGGCTCCAAGCCTTAAAAGCTGGTCCGAACTTGAACCAGTGGATTGAACGTGCTGGATGACTCTATTATTTTTTTGCTGGAAATAAGATACCACTATGTTATAAATAATAATGCCCCTCGGTAGGCCATTCTTGACACATCGTCGTGAATATGACACCTGTATAAATAACAGACAGGTGCGCATTCTTACTTGAGGTTCATTCGATTACACCAGTAATTATGACACCCAGGGGAACGAAGAACATTAAGGAGAAGCCACTTACATTGACTTGAGTTACAATAAATGAAGCAGATTTATGTGTCATTTGGACTATGAGGCCATCAGCCTGAGGAAATATATTTTTTCTTCAATATTTATGAGTGGCTGTTATGTGGCGGAGTTTGCTGCGGTAGGTCGTGCACTGCGGGGAGCAGGTCAGTAAGTCACCATATAGACCCCAGTGGTAAATCCGATCCCCCACTTCGAAAATTCGGGGACAATACTCGCAACTAACTCTTTGAGATGTTTGAAACACACATCATATTTAAGCTTATTCATCATCTTTCATTTTCTGTTCAATTTTTGGGAGGTTATTATTTTAACCAATGACTTTTGGGAGAAAATTCCATCCAATTTATGATCACCCTAAAAGCAGTCCTGGAGCGGCCATTTCAAAAATGATGCCTGCGCTCCATTACAAAAAAAAAGCAATTTTATGACCCAATTTCATCCGCCAATTTCACAGAAATACGAGCTCGCAGTCCTATCTATGGCTTCCACCCTTCTTCTTTTACAAACCCTCAAGTTCATGGCCCACAAAATGCTTTCATAGCAAAAGAATATATTTATTTTGCTGGCATAGGCAATTTCGGACAAAAATATGTACACCCTGCGGTTGTGCACCCTGAAGCTGCTTCATGGCAGAAAATGTTGCTTATATTAAATAGAACTTTATGTGGATAGCAAAAATCACATTGGAAACCGTCGCAACCAGTAAAAACTGCATGACATTTTAAGCTTGTAACCTGTTTTCACTAGCAATGCTTACCAAATTTCTGTGTAAAGTCATAGCAGGTCACTGGTCACGCACCCCTATAGCCTATTGGTCACGCGCTACGTCTAGCGAATCAAATCGTAGCTAACAATTTCATCATCAGTTACCACAATGAATGGGAAATGAAGAGAAAAAAAGAAGAAAACAAGGCTTGCCAAGATTACCTAACAATAAGTCCAAAATTGGGTCTAACTCGGCGAAAAAGTGGTGTAAGAGTGGAGTGGAGCAGCACGATTTGAGGATGCCATGTCTTTCTTAGTGTGACTAGTGTCATTGTTACTCCATTCTTTTTAGATTGTTCAATATAAAACCTTTTTTATGTGGCCCAGAGGCACGGAAAAGCCGAGTCTATAGTAAGATAAGACAAAGAAGAATTTTCTTTCGGTTTATAACATTTTTGGAGGAAAATCGTTGAAAAATCCAGGGAAAGCCACAATGTCATGTTTGCCTGGGTGAAATTCGGAACCTGGGTCACCGGCGGGAAAGGATAATTGCCAATCCTACTTCCTGACTTCTGGTAAGCAGCTGGATATTTGTAAGGTCATCTACATAGTGGGTGGCTAAACAACAATGGGGCTTCCCCCAATAACTGTGGCGATGAATTCAGTAACTTCAGTAATGTTACAGACCAATTGCCGTTAATATGAATTCATGTATCATTCATATGAAGCTGATAACAAATTTTAAGTTAGATTTGTTTTTTTAACTTATTACAGATTAGAAATGAGTTAATGGTAATTAGCATGTAGACTATATTGCATTCAACAGCCATCTCTGAGGTGTTTGCGTTAATTTAATCATGGAGCTATAAAGAGGATTCACTAATGCGCTTATCAAATGTTTTTCCCACCCCTCCCCTTCCCCCCGCGCAGCCCCAGGTTCGATGTCGGGATTTGGTTATGTTTTTCATGCCCCAGGGTGGGGATTTTGGTAACTCAAATTGCATTGTTACCATTGGCGTGCTACATGGAAATGCATTTACTAGTGCACCCCATGTATGTATGTCGGGGCATGGTCGGAGATTGTCACTTAAATTTTGCCCGAGGGGTGGGGATTTTGTCACTTTAAAAGTGACAATCCCCACGTCTTGGTTGGGGCAGCCCGGGGGGGGGGGGGAGGGGTGGGGAAAATAATTAATAGGCACATAATGAATTCACAAAATTAAAGGGGCATTCCTGCCTGAATCCCCGAAATTTTCTTGTATTTGGATTGTTTACTTATCCTTTTATTTCAAAGGTCTGGTTGAAATGAAACCAACCTGATGTCTTAGCGGATTAACAACTAGCACTCGGCTAGCTCGATTATGGTCGTCTGGACGTTTATAGGGCCTATTCTGGTTTTAAATGCTCTTTCTATTAAATGTCATTTCGTTTAAAACGCTTTTTTTGTAGCCCAATCGGGCGCATTAATGCGAATCACAAAAGCACATTGTGCGGCCTCAAACATTGTTGTTATGCAAAGATCTATACATAGCGATGACCACAAATTCAGTTGTTTTTCGCTGTCAACTTCTATTGGGGAAAATTCCTTTCAAAATAAAGAATCACTCGGCACCTATTTTGAAACCACATCAGTCAGCGTCCAGTGATACCCGTCTCCCTCGATCGGGACCGAACCATTCCCAGCCGGGCAGAGGTCAACCTCGTCCCCATCCCAGGTGTTCCGACGGATGACTATAATAATGGGTCACGTGATATCTTGGATCAAAATCTGGAAAGAGTTTTTAATAGCACTGCAGGAAACTGCTATATATTTGTCACCAACTCACGGCTTCCGCTTGTGTTTGTATTTACACAGGGGACCATGGCACGGTTCAAACAGTTAGGACTATTCAAGTCTGTTTAGAACTATTATAGTACTACATTGTGTATTGTTAGTTGTAAGCAATTTGCACAGTGAAATAGGCTGGTGTCCTTTTCTCTCTCTCTCTTTAAAACGGAAACGGAGACGGTTTTGAAGAGGATGTAATTTTAATGAGTAAAACAGAAGCACATCCCGAGAATAAATTCAGTTGTCAGCTTGACCATGAAAAGGAAACTGGAACCCTGAAACACAGATTTGACGTAAAGGTCGAATTACTTCGGCTTCATGATTTTGGTACTATAGTTTGACTGTTTTTCGGTGAAATTCGACAGGTTTCCCAAGTTTGCATTCACCAGCAAATTTTAATGGAAAATAAGATATTTATTCCAACCTTTTTTATAGCTGAAAGAAAGATGAGGACCTAAAATAGCATGAATGAGAAACTTTACCGATATTTGTGTAGCTTTCTATGTAACAGTGGACAAGCTGATCTCATTACTTGAAATCTGATAGAGACAGAGCGACAAATCCGACAAACTGGCATACGAAGAGAGAAAGCTCGAAAACTAATCGAACCCCCCCCCCCTTTTCCCGTAACCATTCAACAGTTACCTCCTCAAAGGTCATAAAACAATATTATGATGGATACAGTATGGCAAGCCTTAAAAAATCGACTAGGCTTCATCATGTTTTCATAGCCCTTGGCTAAGGTTATCAAAATCCATCGTGCAAGTGTAATTTTTTTTTGTTTCGGGGCCGACTGGAGAGATTTCCTGTAACCAGCTTCGACATCAGAGCTGGATGGTTCCAGCATGGGGTCTAGTCTCTTGCAGGTGAGAATCATTTTAGACTTAACCTCACTCGCGGGTCGCAACACGTTACCACTCAGACACGGCATGACATCCCACGCTTCTAGGTAGGGCTGACCCTTTAGCGCGACCCCAGGCTGTAAATGCGTCTATGTGCTTGAACAAACAACCGGGTTCATACACGTGCTGTTTCAATCGCGCGCGTAATGAACTCAACCATTTCTCTTCATCACCATACGACGTTTGGGTTCAGCTCTGTGCCCCCGTCACGCCCGTGTGTGTCTCTCTGTTTACTAACATTGGTCCACGGACGGTACTAAGATGCGGAATAACCTGGACCTGCCTCACTCAGTGGATTGATGATAAGTAGCTATGCCCGGTCGCTCAAACTGCATTCCTTCCGTGAGATAATTCTGGGAACGTGGAATGTTGTATGTGTTTATAATGTTCCATATCTGCACTTGATAATGGCCGCGTGCGGTGAGTGTGGTTAGTTATTACACACGAATAAATGGATTTTGGCACGTCAGCTGTTCCATCTTCTACATTCTGTCAGGAAGTAGGACTTATTCACCAAAAAGTAACATTCACAGTTCGGATTTCTCCAAGGATGTGCGGTATCGTCGGCTTACAGCCAATTTGGTCCGTAGCCTGCTAATTGGCGTCACCGGTTGTCAATTAAATTGTGTGCAGATCTGCGCCACATTTTCACGTTTCTGTGGTTCAGGTTCCCACGTTATCAAGATCCGTCTTCTTGACATAACTATGGCAGATTTCGCTGTTCTAAAAAACTATAAACGCACAGATTATCATTATTGAATATACCTCCCCGAGGAATTCAAAGTCCAACAATTCAGTTTGGATCTATATTTTGTTCAGTCTGAATCAATGACTACCGAAGGATAACATGGACAGCAGCAGCAGCAGCTTGATAAATCACCAGATGTTTTAAACGAGACGCATAATAATTGGCACAACAATGGCGATGCACCGCAGAGGCAGATACTCCCTCCCAATGGCCATAGCTGCCTTGTTAGTCCTGGCCTTGGCCCCCTTGCTGTTACTGGTCATCAGTCGGGACCCTTCCCTGATCCCGCTGTCGGACCCGGGTGGGATCCAGGGAGGCAGTCCTCTCCAGATAATGGCCCGTCATCGCGGCAGGCAGCTACCGTGGAAGATGGACGAGAGCGTCGATCCAGCTACGGTAAGTGTGTGGTCATTTTTTTTTTTTGACATGGACCCGTTTGTATCTTTTCGTTTTGAAATGTCGTTTTTTTCCTCCAAAAGTCATACAGAATCGTTTGCATTTATCACAAAATGTTATTATCAAAAAGCTTACTTGGATTAAAGATCGCACTAGACCCCGTTAAATGATTCCGGTTCAGCTTGCTGTCATTTAAAAGAAATCAAGAAATGTACGTGATTTCTAACGATAAATAAAGAGTGCTATTGACGAAAGCGTGTTCGTCATCAGGAGGTTGTGCATGATTTTTTTTAACCTTTTTTTCCCCCCGAAAAGTGCAATATCAACTGAACTGAAACAAAAATTTATTCTTCTTAGGACTTTTAGTGGTGTTATTATTGGAAACGAACAAAATGCATGAAAAGCAAATGGTCCTATAATGTCTGTATACACCAAATTATTTTATGGAAACGTGGATTTATATTTAGGGGTTGGGGGGTTGGGAGGGGTATGCCGTAGGGCGCACATGGAAGAAGAAAAATACAATGTATACTAGGCTATGTATTGATCGATCATCATTGTTTTAATATTAAATTTAAAGGGAATGTACAACATTTGCCTTTGCTGCAATTTTCAAAAAGAAATGGATTTGGAGGATTGGTATGTTATAGCAAATATTGTTAAATTGACTTGTTTCACGTTTTGGGCTGGTAGATGCTGGAAAAACCAAGAACACCAATCATGTTCTTGTAGTCTGGTTCCCCGACCCACTTCAGATGAAACGGAGCAATTTATAGACTGGGGAATTGTAAGGTCAGAGAATCAGTCTAGAAGGCTTGTACCCCTTCACATGCAGGTGTGTAATCAATTGCAAAGAAAATGCGGAAAAACTAAATATGAAAAATTAGGAGCATTTTTAAAAAAAAGCCAGTTTTCTTCCAACGCTGGTCGGCCGACCAGCGCTGGAAAAAAATACACTTTTTCTTGAAAATGTCAGCACACCAGGAGCCACGATTTTACAGGATGCTTTAGACTGTCATTCCTTAACAATCCAGTAAAGTATTTCGTGAAAATTTGACCATTTCGTATTTTGATGTTTGCAAATGTTGTATCTTCCCTTTAAAGGAGCAATATTTTTGTTTGTTCTTGAAGAATGGAATAGGCCCATATAAATTGAATTCCACCCGCAGTCTTTACCGTATATATCTCTGCTTATGATAATGCTTGATAATGAAACATTCATACCGTGCAGTTTTGAGAATTGAGTGGCGAAAGCGTAAGGGGGTATTGACCTTTGGCAACCTCTGTAGGACAAGTTTATTGAGACGAGTTAAATATATAACGAGCGAAGGAAAACCTGTTTAAAATATAAAACGGATGTCTTTCGGATCTGTGTTCGTTTCATTCCAACAAGGTGCTTGGAATGAAGGAAACTAGAGTTGACATGACATTTTACCTGACATTTTATTTAGCACAGAATAAAAATAGAACTACCTTGAGAGGCCGGATTGAGGAGATTGACAAAAAGAATCGACCCCTTAAAAAGTTTGTCTAAAGCCCACACCACCTTTTCCATAAAAAAAATACATTTTATGCGGAAATATCTTGACGTGTTTCATATTTGTGGATAAGCTTTAGGGGGACCAACATATTGCAACACCGTAAATTTTCTCGGCGAGTTGCATTGGGGATGTGGATAAGGGTCCTGATTCCCCCCCCCCCCCCCAGGTTAGAAGATCCAAAACCGGCGGAGGGGGGGGGGGGTGTTTGTGATAGAAATTTGTACATGTATTTGTACAGCGCGTCCCAAAATACCCGCAATAATATTTTTTGCGAGGCTCTATAGCGTCGCCGCGGAACTTGACACTTAGGCCCTACCGCCATGATATTTATATCATTTTAAAGCTTGGAGTCTTAACTTACTCCCTGGTAAGAATTGGTTACATTATCAAAAGGGTTTTGAAATAATTCGTGTTCAAATAAAGGCATGTCAAAAACAAACTCAACCGATTTCAAGGAAAATCAATCAATCTTTTTTTTCTAATGTGGAAATGCTTCATCATGTTCATAATGTGACGATCTCGTTGCCTTTAACTTTCTGTATCTCCTTTTCTTTTCGATCCACTTAGACTACACCTTAAATAAATTGACAATATTGTTCTTCGTTTCATGTTCAATGTGTTTTTTAATATAAATCAACTGTTTTTGTTTTGTTTTGTTATTTTAACAGTTTGTTGACTCGAGTTTGGATCTGATGTACCGCATCATCGATTTTCAATGAAATCGGTTGAGGTTGTTTTCCACATGCCTTTATTTGAACACGAATAATTTTAAAACTCTTTTCAATATCAAACCAATACTTGCCAGGGATAAAGTTCTGTTTTTAATCTTAATGGTATAAAAAGTAATGGCGGTACGTGTTTCCGCGCCGACGCTAGACCCTCCCCAAAAAAGTTGCGGGTATTTTGGGACGCACTGTGCATATGGCCTACATAGTCCGTTCCGAGTCTTTCATTTTCAATCTTGATTACCGTACCGTACCTTAAGTTACTCTTTCAAAAACAACTTTGCTAGATCATATTGATTAGGGGTTGTTCTTTTAACATCGGCGGTGGAGGAGGGGGAGGAGTCACTGGGTTATTTTCGGGTCAAGAATTTATGCTCGCCATCTATGGATATACGCCCGTGGGTCAAGCTCAATCTTTCAGAATGCAGACCCCCGCAGTTTTGTTATGATAGTGTTATCAAACACTGCAACAACACTTCTCATTTCCAGGACCCAATTTCATGATGCCGCTAAACAGAAAATACACGGTAGATTTTTGTGCTTATAGCGGCGGGCGCCAGACAGTTTTCCGGAGACAATTTTTTTAAGGTGTTCCCAACTGCATGCGCAGGACCCAATGCCATAGTGACCGTTTTAGCCGATTTTCGGCTAACTTTGACAGATTTAGTTTTGTTAAAAAACGAGTTTGACAGAAAATTTGACAGAACGGATTTTTGGCAGATTTCTGGCAGAATTCTGCAAAATGTTTATTTGACAGAAAAACAAAGCAAATTTGAAAAAAAAAGTTAGATTTGTTTAAAAAAGCTTCAAACAAACCCTTGCAAAATAGGACTGGTTGCCTTGTCTAGATGTGCTGAGGTTCACTGGGAATCAGATTTTGTCCTGACCCAACCTCGTTTTGACAGAAATTTACTCAATTTCATAACACCTTTATATGCCTATAGATTGTTTATAATGTAATTTGAACCTTAATTAAGGCAACATTACAACATCTGCATGTGATTGTAAGTGTTTATAGTGTTTTTTGAGTAATTCATGGGAATTTGGCAGATTTTTGATACATCTGACAGATTTTTGAAGTGCATTTAGCAGAATATGGCCTTGACCTTAAGATTACCTTGCCAATGCTGCTATTTGATTGTGCTGCCATTCAAGCTCGCTAGCCTATTTCCCTCATTTCTGTGTCGCCCTTGCGTGTCATCGCAGCTCTGTGCACGAACAGTTAAAGCAGAGTAAATTATCTTGACAAACAGCGAGCAGCTCCAGGGACTGCGGAGGAAGCGGAGTGTGTATTATCTCCGGTACGCACAAAGGTTGCAGACAGACACCGAACTTTGCTGCAGGTTCTGCATGCTCAAAGGGACTGTCGCCTTGGTTATGTTCCTCGGTCGTGACTCGTAGATCCTCCGTAAATTCACCGACTTTTCCATCAAAGAATTGAAAACAAAAACAGCACCCAGCAACACATATAGGTCTAAAAACTCTAATTACTGCTGTTCGTATATTTACTTTTAGGCCGTGTGTTACTCCATTTCATATCATGATGACATTAACAGACAATCCATCTGCAAATGTATTGAACCTAAGCAGTTTCTTAATACCTGTTCACAGCCCCCCCCCCCCCCCGTCTTTCGCGACTATCCAGCAACACATTGTTTTGAAATCAGTTATGAAGATATCCAAGCTTAGGACATCTTCAAAACACAAAGTCTAAGCGGTCAAGGGATATTTTCCATTAATGTCAATCAGTAATTCACATTACAGTCCGTCAGTAATTACTGCTTCCTTTGCACGGTCAATGCCAACGTTAACATTTTTACATTACCCTGCGTTCGCAATGTTGACATATAGATTTGGTGTCACCACATGCGCAAGACATCAGCCGACAAGCTCGTTAAGGCAACTCAACAGCATGCACTCCCCCATCCTCCCCGGAAAAATGTGTGTGTGTGTGGGGGGGGGGGGGGGGGGGGATCCCATGTTGGCTATTTGTGGGGTGAATGAGAGAAGAGTTAAGCCGAGTCTTTTAATTCTTCCATACTGTGCAGTTTGATAAACGTAAAAAAAGGGCGTAAGCTTTCTCTGGCCTTTATGCGGTGGCCACATTTCAGTGCCTTGTCCTTGAATGTCACATTCAATGAGGGAGGGAATTTTCGAACCCCTTTTTTGAGTAACCTAACCTACATACACGAGCTAACTTAGGTATAGACCATGTTACTTGTGTTTACAAATTGGATGTGGTGGTCACCGTGATGCCACGCAAACTGTTCTCCTCTGCACTGCATGACTTTGTGTATCTTTTGAAATGTGATTGGTAAATGTGGTGACATAAACTGTTTAATGTGGGCAAAACAACGTACAATTATGTTTCATGTTTGGGTTGGTATGACGTCATAGGGCACATGGTCTATAGCGGCCACAGGAGGATGGCGCTCTTTCGTTTATGCGCCCTTTTTTCTGTTTTCTAAAGCTGTAAACTTTTTTTTAAATTTAAGTTTGTGAGTTTGTTCAATATCCGAAGGATAACTGGGGAGGGGGGGGGGGGAGAGTGTTAATGAGATTTCTTGGAGAAGGAGACCTTGAACTTTTCACCATGAACATGAGAACTAGTTTTCAGTCTTCAAAATCACTGATAGGCCTATTCATGGATTAATGGAATTATGTGCTCCAACTCAGTCCACAGTTTTCTTTCAACATTAGCCAGCTGATGCTCATCAGGAAGACAGTGTAGCCG